TTAGCTCACCCTAGTTCTGGGAAATCTATCTCCAACACTTCTGCTCATAAGAGGCACCCTGTTGAAGCTATTCAAAATAGGGTTGGTACTGTAGCCTCTGAGCTCCTTTCCCAGGTAGATGTCACTGTAACTTGTTGAATTTCTGACTTCCCATTGGTTGACATTTTGTCTTGTGCATGATATTACAAATTATCTGGGTTGTACTCAATAAATATAAATAGAATGATACATATCTTGAGAATAATGAAATGTAGGAAAACATTATACTCTTTTTCACCTTTCTTATTTTTGTTATTTAAAACTGCTCTTATAGTTGCAAGATTGGAACAACCGGCGGCAGTTTACTCCCCCCAGTTACTTTCATTCTGATGGTGTAAATGACTATTTTATTTCTCAGGTAATAGCTTCTCAATTGCAGCTTTAAGTTCCAGGTATCAATTCATTTCATGCAGCTTGTTTGTTCTGATCTTAATTTTCCCTAGTAGGCTGTAATAGAAGGCACAAAGGCTCATGACATATTGAAGCAAGCACCTTTCTTGATTCCATTCACTAGCAGAGTTAAAATATTCACTGTAAGTGAGTAATTAGCAAATTTTGCTTCCAATCTTTAGTTGAAACTATTAGATCTTGAAAAATAAGATCAAGCTGTTGATATGGGTATCATATATGCATTCCTCAAACTGGGTGGTCGGGGAGTTACCTAGGAAAATGAGTCTAACATTTGGATTCCTTTTAACTGATATTTAATTTCCTATTTTCTTTGCTATGTGTCTCCTTTCCATAACTCCATCTACCAGTCACAACTAGAATCAGTTAGGCAGACACAAGGGGCTCATGGTGTTTTTGCTGGAAATCGATTCAGAATACGAAGGGATCACATTTTGGAAGATGCTTATAATCAGATGAGTGCATTGTCTGAAGAGGATCTTAGAGGACATGTATGCTTTACTTAAGACTTCTCACATATGAAAACTTTATTATCTTTCATAGCTTTGTGGAATCTGGTCTCTTCCCTCTTGGCACTGGCCAACAATGATATAATCAGTTTCATTTGCTTCCCTACAGATTCGTGTAACATTTGTCAATGAATTTGGAGTGGAGGAGGCTGGAATTGATGGTGGTGGAATTTTCAAAGATTTTATGGAGAATATTACTCGAGCTGCATTTGACGTACAGTATGGGTTATTTAAGGTTGTTAATATATGCTACTCATTACACCTCTTCATCTTTTCATATACACAAGTTGGTTGCTTAATAAGCTGGTTGGGATATGTTCACTGAATTTTTTTTATTTCATTTATGGTAAAGATGCCAGTAGTGTCTTCCTTAACTTTCTCGCCTGATGGTAAGGATTTAAGATGACATGCTTCTTTCTGATTGAACAGTTGGATAGAGAAGATCAATATCCAATTCTTGCTGAACAAGGGAAAGATAAAGAATAATCACATTTTCTTGATCAATTTTTTTTTTCAAATAATAAGAATGTGCTTGGCTTGATTTGAATACAAAGAGATGGTCCATTTCAATGGAATATTTAAATGATAAAGATGGATTTAACAATGTTGGAATCTAAACTTGGTATAAAGATTCGAAAAGATCATGGAATTCAAATAGAGGATGTCATTACCCTCTTCTACTGGTTGTCTTCTAAAATTAGCTGTCTGTTATGGAAAGTTCATTATCTTTTCTCGTTTTTCATTTAAAGTCAACTTTGTTTCTCACGAGCAGGGTTCTATATATTTTGTTGTATATGGCAACTTGTCTCACTTGTTATTTATTGTTTTTCTTATAGCATATGTTTTTTGACATAATACTTAGCATGTCTACACAGGAAACAGCTGATCACCTCCTATACCCAAATCCTGGATCAGGAATGACACATGAACAACACCTACAATTTTTTCATTTCTTGGGAACACTTCTTGCAAAGGTATGTCATTCTATTACAGAAGCTTAATCTTATGCTGTATCTATATCTAATATTTAAGTTGCCTGTATGCTATCTCAGCTTTATCTATTACAGGGCTTATTGATGAGGCATAATGTTACCTTTCTTGTAGGCCATGTTTGAAGGGATTCTTGTGGATATACCATTTGCAACATTTTTCTTGAGCAAATTGAAACAAAAGTAAGCCTTTGAATGGTTTCCTCCTCTTTGGAAGACTTACTTTTCAATTGTATTCTAGTGATACTAATACATATATATTTTTCCTTTTTGATTAGGTACAATTATTTAAATGACTTGCCTTCCTTGGACCCTGAATTATATCGCCACCTTATTTTCTTAAAGGTATTTTTCTTGAACTTTTCCTTTTTATATCTCCTTCATTCATACTTCACAGAAAAATAGTGACTTTATTTGTGTACTCATCCATTCACGTGGTTTACATGTTAAAGCTCTAGGCTTCTAATTCCCACCTCCTATGTTATGACTTTCAGCATTATAAAGGGGACATTTCAGAGTTGGAGCTCTACTTCGTAATTGTGAATAATGAATATGGAGAGCAAACAGAAGAAGAGCTTCTTCCAGGAGGCAAAAACATACATGTTACTAATGAGAATGTCATCACATTTATTCACCTTGTATCTAACCACCGATTGAATTTTCAGGTTGTGAGATCCTTCATTGCAAATTCGTTTAATGCATCTGTTATACCTTGCATGATGGTGACACTTGGAGATGATGTCATTGCAGATACGACAACAAAGTTCCCATTTCCTTAGGGGATTTCAGCAGCTTATACAGAAAAATTGGATTGATATGTTCAATGAACATGAATTGCAGGTATTGTGGTCTACTTCAAAATTTCACAGGTTGTACTCACTTTGCGGGCAATTGTTTCCTAATATTACTTCAAGGTCATTGTCTGCCTATATAAACATGATAGATAGAGTTTGCTGGGATTCCTTTTCACTTAAAAAAGTTAATGAACCTTCAAATTATTATGCCTTGTGAACTGCAGTTTTTGCTCAAGATTTGCAATTCTATCATGCCAAAATGCCTTTAAACATTTTTCACATTTCCTAGCATTAACATTGATTTTCATTCAATTATACTTTGTATATGTAAGCCGCCTGACATCAATTCTTAAAATCTTTTCTGTGATGGTTTAAGATCTTGAAAGTATTATTGTGTTCACCTTGGATGAAACATGTGCTTATCCTTCAAAGTATAAATATTCTTCACTAGAGTTATCCTGCTTAATGTCATTTTGAGCTTTACTTAAATCCTTGAAATCTATTGTCTTTGCAGCTTCTGATATCAGGTTCACTTGACAGCTTGGATGTTGATGAACTACGACGCCACACCAATTATGTGGGTGGTTATCATGGCGTAAGTTTTTTAACCTTCTCACCCTTTTTTAGTTGAATTAGAATGGGTTATTATGCCACAAGTGTGCTTTGACTTTTTGTAGTTTTATTCCAGTTGGAATGACAGGAGTGTAAATTGTTACTGAATTTACTTCTTGCCCTATCCGTCATTATTATAAGAGTCCGTTCTTTGTCTTTGCTTTCAGAAGCTTATTTTCACTTCCTTGTTTGACAGGAGCACTATGTCATTGATATGTTTTGGGAAGTCCTCAAAAGCTTTTCACTGGAAAATCAAAAGAAATTTTTGAAGTGAGTTGCATAATCTGTGATCTGCGTGCTTGATGTCTTCCCATGTTGATTACTTCTATTATTAGCTTCAAGAATAATGAACATAAGAGAGGATAATTAAGTAGATGAGGTTCTTTTTAGGTTTGTGACTGGGTGTTCTCGAGGACCGCTGCTGGGATTCAAATATCTTGAACCTTTATTTTGCATACAAAGGTAATAATTGTACCAAATGTACACTGGAAGTATGATAACTTATTAGTCAGGTGGCTGACTGACAGAAGCACTATAGTACACTGCTTATTTCTCCTGTCCCACCTCTCTACTTTTTTTTTTTTATGTTGTTTTTCTTTTCCAATCAGAATTTAAAGATTTTGCTGTGGACTCTTTTACAGAGCTGCTGGTAGTGCCTCTGAAGAAGAATTGGACCGGTTACCGACATCAGCTACTTGTATGAACCTTCTTAAGCTTCCACCATATAGAAGGTTTGTCTCTCTTTTTTAATAGCTTACCATTGAGTAAGACTTTGAGATGAGAAGTTTTAGTTTATTTCTCGGCATGGAAATTGAATTGCTGTTTATGTTGGTGATAATTCGCACTTCCAAGGTTTTTAACATAAGCATGCTAAGAATTCAGAAGTCACCTATAACTTAGTCGGCAAAAGAAAGGAACTAGCCACTCTTTTCTGCAACATTTTGGTCACTCTGCCTTACTACCTACATCTTGCCTCTCATCATACCCATTGTCATTTATTTAGATACTCACATTTCCTTTTATGGCAATATTATTAAGTTCCACATGATGTATGCAGCAAAGAGCAACTGGAAACCAAATTGCTGTATGCCATAAATGCAGATGCTGGTTTCGATTTGAGTTGATGTACTCTCAATTCAAAGTCCTACACAAAACCACGCTATGCTGCTATGAGAATCTCCTAGTGCTTTCAAAGCTGCCAGCAAGGAGACTTATGGAGAGGTGATGAGTGGTGCGCCTAAGGCAAAGGATAAAAAAGTGTATAGATAAATAGCTGTCCGGTCCGGCCTGCTTGTTTAGTTGAAATGTACGAACGTAAAGATATCTTTAGTGTATATTCTCATCTCCTCTGTGAAGCTTTAAACAAACATATGCAGGCGGCAGGGAATCTGCAATATATATGAACACTTAAAGATCATGCGTTCAGTGCAGGGCTCAAGGCCACTCGCGAGTTTGGTCTTTGTCAAGGTGTTCTTAATGTAGGCTCTGGCCTAAGTCCAAAAAAAAAAAAAGAAGAAAAACTAGTATCATCATTTGTAAATGAATAGCATAAACATGTCTGGTCTGTTCAGTTGCCAGTAATTTTCCCTTTTTTTTTTCAATATAGTGATACGTTATTAATAGAAGAATTATTGCTCGAGTATATTGTCATGGCGCTGGAATTGGGAAGGTGGGGGTGGTGGAGCCCCTTATTCTTTAAGTTGGTCCTCGTTACTAGAATTAACGCAAGTTACATAGGTTCAAACCTATATTTATTGCACTGCAGTGAGGCCCCGTCATCTAACTCATTTTGGCTGTCAGAAAGCAATTGGATCAATTTTACAAAGTAAATAATGTGAAAATTACGGACCGGAGTGCGGTAAAAAAAATTGGAAAAACAAATTCAAATGGAGGTGCTAAAGGGCTATGCAAATAAATTAAGAATCTTCTGCATCAGGAATATCACTCAGGTCCAAACCTTCGGCTGGCAAGTCTGTTATAAGGGGACCCAATATCCCATCAGAGCTCAGCGTTAAGCCACTCTGCAAAATTAGCCACAAAGGGAACGGTCACGTTAACCAGATAGACACTAATCTAACGCCACTCTTTCTATAATTAGTGAGCTAGTAACTCAAATTGTACCTCAGGCTGGAATCTAAGCATGTCTGCACGAGCCATAGCTTCTGCTTGAGCGATTCTCTGCCTGAATGTCTGAGCCATCTCTTCAGCCTGTTAGAAAAAGGAAAAAGCCAGAAGCAGCAGAATTAATACTGAGATGATCCAAAGCAAAATAAAAATGGATGGTTAATGCAGTACAAAAACAGAAGTATGGCTAAAATCCAACACAAGAATTATTTTAAAATGCAATTCTGAAAGAGGATTGAGACCATTATTGGAAACTACCTTCTCAAAACAAGAGTAGGATTGCGAATCATGTCTCCGGGGGTAGGCTCTAATTTCTTTGTAGAAAGACTTACTCGGCCTCTTTCACGGTCATGGCTCAATATCATGACCTACATCATTTAGCATGGGCTTTAAAATACATTTCTAAGACACAGAACTTCTTGCAAAGAATTAACTTGATAACATGAGTCACCTTCAGAGTGTCACCAGGTTGAAGAACTGTAGCAATGTCTAAAACACGATCATGACTGATTTGACTGACATGAAGAAGGCCATTAATTCCACCAATATCGATGAATGCACCGAATGGTTTAAGGCTCTGAACAGTTCCAAGGACAACTGATCCAATTCCTAGCTGTGCCTGGCTGTCAGCCACAGCCTTGCGGTTACTGAAGACAAGCCTGGACTGTTCCTCATCAACCTCAACAAACTTCAAAGGGAGCTCCTTATCTAAAAGCTCTTCTGCAGTGGATTTCTGATGAAACATGGAAGAACAAATTACTAAGGATAACTTGAAATCCCATACAAAGCTAATTGGGCTAAAATGCAATTCAGAAGAAAACTGCATAACTTGTCACTCAAGTTATGATGAAAGATTCATAAAACTATTGACACAAGAAAATTAGATTTTGGATATAGAATGGTAGGTAAAATATCTCAAATAGAATTTAGTACAGGGAAACATGGAAAAAAGATACGGTTGGGATCATAGAACCAACTGAAGATATCTGCGAGAAAGGAACAAAACCCAGAAGACCCTCCACCAATGCCACAACTCCACCATTGTTTCCATCAACAACCTACAGGCATATATCAGTTAGTCAAAGAGCGCTAAGTGAGAACGCATGAATAAGTATAAAATTTTATGGGAAGCTAAGTGTTTCAACATTATTATATAAGCAGATACAATTGGCAGAAAATACGCACCTTACCCTTCACAACAACATCCTCAGCTTGAAGCTGCCTGCATCTTTCCCAGGCAAGCTCATACTGGATGGCCCTTAAGCTCAAAATTAAGCTATCATCAGCCACATTTTCACCAATAATCACAAATTCCTCTGTTAAACCAGGAACTATGCCTGCTTCTTCTACATGTTTAATTCTGTGAATGCTGGCCTCTTGGACCGGTAGATAAGCTGAAGATTTTGCACTAATGTCAACCGATGCCCCATTGGCATCTATGCAGAAAATTGTTCCTTTTACCTGAAAATATATACATTTTTCTATCAGTACCATAAAACATCATGCACAAGTGCACAACACAAGTAAAAGTTCAATTACTCTTCTTCACAGCTAACATCAGCAAGAATAAGAAAAGGAAATACAAAAATACAAGTTTAAAAAGCTAAAACTATATAAACTCAAATCCAACCAAATCTACCCCCAATCATAATTTCAACATAAAACAACTCATCTGAACTCATGCAATAACAAAATCTCAGTCTTACCTATTTCCTACCATTAAAATACAAACTTGAATTACAAATTTCAAATAAATGGCCAATAAAATAAGTACCCAATTCACATAATCCGATAATATTTATTGATTCATGATAACACGGATAAATTTTGAACTTCGAAAAAAATGAATGAACCAAAGCAAAAGACGAAAAAAAAAAATCAGACCGTGGTTCCAAGCTCAGAATCAAAGTCATATTTTTCAAGAGCAGTTTGAAAATCCTCAAGAGTAAATGAGACGCCTTCCATGGGAGCAGTACGACAGCGTTCATAGGCTTCCTCGAACATCTTCTTCAACTCAAGCCTGTCCTTGCTTTGTGGATTTGAGACAGCAACAGCTGAAACTATCGGAGAAGCAAAAGCACCCATTTTCCGGGTTTGGTTTGGCTTCACCGAAAGGCGAGAAGAGGAGAGTGTTGGACATCTTAGGCCTGTGAATTGTTGCGCCAAAGACGCCATTTTTTTACTTCTTCGTTTCTGTTTCCCTGTTCTGGTCGATGAAATAATACTGAGATAAGGTACAGAGTTTGTGAATGTTGGGATCCCACCAAATCAACGGTCCAAACTAATTGATCGACGCTTACTCATTTCCTACCAAAGTAATTGGGTTGGTTTCCAATTGTCTAATACTATTTTGGATCAACTCGCCTCATATCATTAAATTTTTTTTAAAAATTGGGATTGAATTTTTTTAATTGCGTCAATAATTTCAATTAAAATTTCCCTAAAATTGGAAATACTTGAAAAAAAAAATACAATTTTGGGACATGAAAAAAATGCAGTAGTTATCGTATTTATGATTTACTAGTACAATTAAATAAATGAAAGGCCACCGAGGAATGGTTAACATGACGCCGTTTCTGACTTTCAATTTCTTTCTCCTTTTGTACTTTCTCTCTCTTTTTCGCGAGGTTTTCCTTCCACTTTGATGCCACCCAAAGAGGGTCTTCAGCTGATTTTCTGGTAAAGATATTAGATTAACTCTCATCCAAACACAACCCAAAGTCCGGTTTGAAAGAAATAATACTATATAGTTTTTTGTCTCCGATGGCTACAACCTCTAAAGGGATCGACGACTCAGGTGTCCTTTGAAAGCTCACTTCTGCCCGCAAAAGTTAGCCCTTTGGTTACCTAGAAACAAGAAGAAAAATATCATTTTTTTTATGTTGTTATTCTTTTAATTACTTACACTAATCTGGGTTTCTTTCTTTTTTAACTGGGATTTTTATTTACATTTTCATGTGTGGAAAGGAGGAAACTTGTGTTGGATTATATGCATGTAATTTTGTTAGATTCAAAGAGGCTAATCTCAATAGTTTCTATATTAAAGAATTTTGCTTTATGGGTCTTTGTCGTTTTTTGCTTTATGGTGTTTCAGGTAATGTAAATGAAAAAGAGGGAACATTGAATGAATTTGTGAAAGAAGCTGCTATGGCTTTGAATTCAAAGCCCCAGCCTGAAGATAGCGGTGAGCTATTTGGATTCCCTCATTAGTCCTGTTTTGTGCTTTGGTATGAGCCATTTTTTTCATTTTAAAACATCTAACTGCTGTGTGAAGCAAAGGGTATGAATTGATTTTTGTTTTTCATTTATGATAGAGGCAAAAGATCGAGTAGAGACCATGTGGGAGCAGATGAATAAGGGAATACCTAAGAATGCTCTCAGACAATTTTCAAGCAGTAAAACTTCAGCCCCGAATAAAACTTCAGCCAAAGCTTCCAATGTGAGAATTTTCTTATGCTTTTCATTTTTAATGCAACTAATTATTAGATGATGCTTGTCTAGTAATTGTTTTCCTTGATTTTGTTTCATAGAATTGGATGAAGTATCTACAATTGAGACCACCGAAGGCTGCAGGATCTCCTAGGCAAGACTGACAGATAGAGGCGAAGGCTTCAAATGCTGTGGAGAATGGAACCAACCAGAAGGCTCAGTTAGGGCGTTAGATAAAGGAATATCTATTGCTACTCTCAAATCAGTTTTAAACGAGCATAATTCAACTTTGGATACTACATTTTCTCAGAAGATTTCCAATGTATGTTGTTTTTCTTTTTGGCAGCCGACCCAGAGTAATTGGATATAAGGTTTAGTTTGTTGTTGTTGTTGTTTTCTTTTCGGCACTGTTGCCGCAGTCAGTAATTGGCTATAATTGAACTTTTACCTAGACTATACTTAAATAGAATTGGATGGTGATTCTGGGCATGCCACCAAAGAAAACTGAAGCCCTTAATAAAGATAAATCACTGAAGGAACCTACTGTGATGCAGAACAGCATCAGTGATGAGGCAAAGAAGCTTGCAGCCGCTGCCCTCTCAGCAGTGAAGGATGCTGCAGCGGCTGCCTCAAATAGAGGGAAAATTGAGGTAAGAACAACCTTCTTCTACTCATGTTCAGAAAAAAAGTTATAGCTACCAATTAGAAAATGTCTTAGCCATGCAATTGCATGGGTTATTGGAGCATGCAATTATGGACCCCTTACTTTCTGGCAATGCTTGTTACTGACTTAGCTTTAAATTTGTCTAAAGAAATGTTTGAAATATGATGAACCATTTTTCCATACCTGAGCACGCCAAGTGATTACGTACGTCCTTTGTCTTCCAAGTGCTTTGGTCAATTAATATTTTTGGATGCCGCCAAAATAAACTTGAAACTCCTAGGGGACAGGAATGCCTTTGTGGTCTGTTGATGAGCCACCTCCCTGTCTGAACAATGTTCTTACATTGGATTTTTCCTTTTGCAGATCAGTGAGGTTCAAGACTTTGCTGGTCAAGAAATTGAAATAAAAAAGCACATTGATGCCGATTCAAAAGAGGCAGCTGAAAAGGCAAAAACTCCTGCACCCTCTGCCGTAGATGCTGTTCTTGAACAAATCAAGAAGAAGCCAAAGCTCAGTGTACTCGACAAGACGAAAAAAGTTTGGGTGGAATTCAAGGAAGAAAATAAGGGGATGGAGGAAGAGTTGGATGCGTACAAGAAGAGCTCAAACCAGTATCTGGATAAGGTTTCTTTTTTTTGGCGCTGATTATCGAGAGTTTGAGAGGGAGAGAGATGCAAGGCTTGCTCTACAGGCTAGGAGGAGACCAGACATGCGGTAGGGTCCATGATCATATGCATTCCTTAGTTGCTTTTTATTGTATCATGCAGATGTTGAGAATAGAGCAGGGGTGTTAGCGCCCATAATTAGGAAGGTTCTTATGCAAATGCATTTCTGACTCATCTATTGTGTTTAGAATACAAAGTTATATGAAATCTTTTTTGGGGTCTCGCTTCTTTCACTGCATCAATCAAATTTGTCAATGCACTGTTGTTTTATTTTTTGCATCTCCTGGACTGTCAGGTGGCTTTGAAGAGAGAATCACTGCAGGGGCATCCAGTTAACGTGCAAGGTTACAACCGTGAATTAGCTTACTACTATATAATAATGTTTGACGGTATTTAAATGCCAGTGCACAAAGTACCACGTGAAGCTTTTTCTTCTTTCATTTCTTGAGCGGCGCTTGACAATGCCAATCCGAGCTTACAAAATTGTTCAATTATTTAGAAAACCCATCCTTGGGCTTTCTTATTTGTTTTTCTTTTTCGCACAATTTAAGCACCGGTGGCAGTCCCTTGAGCTTCCATGAAAGGTAGAAGAAATCATGCAGCGCATTGTAACTTGCAATCTTGCATCTCCTGCCTTATAAACAACTGCTTTTCCACTTTCATAACAAACTATGTACTGACCAACAAAATATTAACTCAACTAACCCCCTCAAGATTTGAGAAAACTGCAATATATATGCATAAAGTGATGCACCATTGCAAGAAATCTGCTTCAATGTATTAGGTTGTTATTAATTGCACATCAATGATCAAACAGTTGACTGAACATGCTGAGTTATTAAGCCATTTAGACAACAGAGAACAATGAATAGCATACCTCTATTCAAGCATGCCGTCTGCTTCAAGTAAGGACAAACAAGAAAATGAACAGTATTTGCTGAATCATCTTGAAAATTCTCAAACAAAACTTAGAAAGAAGATTAATGGACGATATCTAGATTCCTAGACGTGAATTGGCTTGTCGTAGGTGGCCATTGCGGCTTCCTTCAATGCCTCACTCATTGTAGGATGTGCATGGCACACGCGTGCAATGTCCTCACTTGATGCACCATAATTAACAGCAAGGACAGCTTCATGGATGAGCTCTCCAGCATTGGGTGCCATGATATGGACTCCCAGAATTTTGTCTGATTCCTTCTCAGCCAATATCTTGACTATTCCTTCAGCATCATCAATAGCCTTGGCCCGGCTATTTGCCAAGAAAGGGAACTTCCCAACACGGTAATCAACACCAAGTGCCTTAACCTGTTCCTCAGTCTTCCCAACTGATGCAACCTCAGGATGTGTGTAGACAACTCCAGGGACCTTTTCATAATCAACATGGCCATGTTTACCAGCTATAAACTCCACACAAGCAACACCATCCTCTTCTGCTTTGTGGGCTAACATAGGCCCTGGAATTACATCTCCAATGGCATAAACACCTGGCACATTCGTAACAAATCTTTCATTGACTAAAATTCGTCCTGCCTTATCAGTTTCCACTCCTATCTTGTCCAAGCCAAGTCCAGCTGTGAATGGAACTCTACCAGCAGAGACAAGAACAACATCAGCTTCGAGTGTGGTTTGCTCTCCACCAGCAGCTGGTTCAACTGTCAACTTCACACCATTTCCAGTAGTATCAACTCCTACCACCTTAGTTTTGAGCATAAATTTCATCTTCTGCTTCTCAAGTGCACGTTGGAATTGCTTCCGGACTTCAGCATCCATTGTCGGAACAATATCTGGGGCAAACTCAACAACAGTAACCTCTGAGCCCAGTCGGCCCCAGACTGAACCCATCTCAAGCCCAATGTAGCCTGCCCCAATGACTATAAGTTTCTTAGGAACTTCCAACAACGCCAAAGCTCCAGTGGATGACACAATTCTCTTTTCATCAATGGTGATACCAGGTAAAGATTTGACATCAGAACCAGTTGCAATTATGATATTCTTGCCTTTTACAATGGCGCTCCCACCTTCAAGAGTGTCTACAGAAACTTCAGAGGGAGAAATGAACTTTCCATAGCCTTTGACATAGGTTACCTTGTTCTTCTTGAAAAGACCTTCAATACCACGGGTAAGATTAGAAACGGCTTTGTCCTTTTGGGCCATCATCGTTGGCAAATCAACCTCAACAGAAGAAAGTTTCACACCATGGCCAGCAAATGAATGCTTAGCTTCATGGTACATGTGGGAGGAATGAAGAAGTGCCTGAATGTAAAAAACTAACATTAGAAAGATAAAAACTCTAACGTGATACATTGCATTTAGGAACTGGGAAGGCAACTAATAAAGTTCATCTCAAGACTGAAAGATTAAGTCACATACTAATCAAGTAGGTATTTTCAACACTGAATATATTAAACAGAATGGTAAAGATGAGATTTTTTTTTCTTTTAAAATAATAAAAGAAAACATTTTTTTCTCTTCATTTTATGAAACAGATATGCCCAAAAAGATAAAACTAACAAATGTCATTTTCAACATTACAAATAGAATACCCAAACACAGTTTTTTGAAGGGCATTCAAAACAGAGTGAGACAACCACTTGAATACCAGGATCAGTTTCATATATATTTTCGCCATATAATTCAGGACCTCAACAATCACATTAAAACAAAAGAAAAAAAAAAGAAGAAAAACATAGAAACCCATTCATCGGAGTAGATTGAGCAACCATATATATTAAGAAAAAAAACGGAGAAATTTAGATCCAAAAATGAAACCGTAGAGCATACCTTAGAAGGGATGCAGCCCACGTTGAGGCAGGTACCACCAAGGGTACCACGCTTCTCGATACAGGTTGTCTTGAGACCAAGCTGTGCGGCCTTGATAGCCGCCACGTAGCCGCCGGGTCCACCGCCTATTACAACAACGTCGTTCTCTTCGGATTCTGAAGCGAAACCCCTTGAGAAATTGCGCAGTGAAAAAGAGAGCTTAAACGCATCCACGGGCGAGCTCAACGGGTTTCTTGAAAGAATATATGCCTTTCTTCTGGCCAAGCTAGCCAAAGCCATTTTAGTTTACTTTTCCCTCTTTTGTTTTGTTTTTTTGTGTCTGAAACTCGTAAGGATCAAACCCTTGCTTCGGTCTGCGGCTTTTGGTTTTGGAAGACGAATAATAATACAGGCGAGAAAAATATAGCTTCTCTCAATTTGGGGTCCTTGGCGATTTGCTGCGGCGGCTGTCCGTGACTTAGATGATGATGATGCTGCTCTTCCCCATAGAATAAAAGACAACGTGGGCAGTGAAGGATCTGGAACCTAGTTGCTGTTGGTTTAGTTGACAGTAAGAAATTGACCTGGCATACCACTTTTAGAGTTTGGTAAGTGGGGACGTGGGGTCCTTGACTCTAGGTCTACCAATCTGAACCGTCGATCGTGATCAGACTTTTATGATGCGGTTCTTTGTTTTGCCAACTCTATTGGTAGCGTGTTAGAAGCTTGCCTAAACAAGTTAATGGGCTCAATCATCTATGGCAAGTTGACAAAAACATCACAACGTGGAGGAACCCCAGAGAAATTGGCTGGTGGGCTTCATAGTTCATAATTCTTAGCCAGATGCAGTATGGGATTATTTTTGTCTCTTATTTTGGTTGGTTTCTTTATTATATGTAAAAAACCAAGAAAATGGTAGCCTCACAAACCCAACCATCGCCCTCAGCAGTGTACATGGTGGCTAGCAAATGAAGTTCCTGCTCACGATATGAGATTATTCTGTACCATTCATATGGCTAAACTTTCCTAGCAAAATTTAACTTCTAATGATCCACACATCAAATCACCAATAACACTACTCATTTCTAACCGTATAACCAGATTTAAAGCATGAATCTCTTCAATACCCAACACAATAAACACCACATGCTTCCATGGGGAGGAGAGTGAAAAAGAACTAAGGACAGTAACACTAACCAAACCAGCCTCTGGACTGGAGAACGATTTGAACAAAGTTATAAATCCACTTTTGCAGTGAACAAAGACACATTACAACTAAAAATAATCCCGCAATGTAGTTTACACCACCAGAGCTCATGACATAAAACACACTCCGATATTTTGTACTCTCCTACACCTACAAAACTGCGGCCTGCTTTTTCTAAACTATCTGACATAGCCAAAAACAGATTGCAACCTTTTCTCCCATTAGAAATAACAGTAAATAATCGAGAAATAATTTGAATGTACATTCAATTGCCTTCTAATAAGCTCTTCAACCTATTCCGAGCCTCCTCAGAGAGATTGCAGCACCTAAACCTCCGCCTTTGGGTAGGACATGACTCAACACTAGGAGGGGAAGAGAAGCAGATAACAATTGCAGTGAGGTTATCTGATGAATTCAGGCGTGTTGCTTCATTGACTAATTCTTTGGCACATTTTTCAGGGTCATCATGCCGCCTTAGACCAAGGCGAACAAGGCTGACAGCAAACTGGCTTGACATTACATCCCAGATGCCATCACAACCAATGATCAAAAATTCATCATGCTCTGTTATTACAATCTGTCTAACATCTGGCTCTGCAATCAGAGGTGATGCGGTTCCAAGAGGGAATTTCAAGTCCCAATCTCCAAGTGCTCGTGTGACTGAGAGATGACCATTAAGATACCCACCATCATCAATGTAGCCACCCATCTCCTCAACTCGCTTGCGTTCAGGTGAAAAAGAAGGTCTATGATCTTGAGACATTTCTACTGCAACACCTTTGTGGCAGAGAACAGCTCGACAATCACCAGCACTTGCAACCAGCAAATGTCTTCCAAGTACTAGTGCAGTTAGCACCGTTGTTCCACAAGAATTGCTAACACTACTTTCTTCAGCCAAGGCACGGTCTGCCCGCAAAAATGCCTTCCTATGAGAATCCTCCAACTCTTTCAAGAAAACAGCATCAATATCAGATACTTGTTGCAAATCAAAATCTTCAAAAAATAACCTTGTGGCATTCCTCTTTATATAAGCAGCTGCATCAGGGCCACCGTGACCGTCAAAAACAGCATAAAAAGCACTTGGCATTGAAGGCTTAAAGATAGAACCCAGATGGGAAGATAGATCATCAATCCTTATGTGTTCATCATCCATAGATCTCCGTCGACCGATGTCAGAATAGCTTCCAGAACGAATTCTTGGCAAAAATTTGACAGCAGATGACTCCATAACAGCATCTCCGATGGTCTCAGCGCAAGCTGCAACCTACACAACAGAGAGAAAAAGGTAAACCCATGTCATCCACATGTAAAAACAAAGTAAGGTTTGTCATATGGTGACTCCTGATGCTAGTAAGATTCAACAAAAAAAGTATAATTCACCCATCGAACTTTGGATCTCAGATGGTTAGCAAAACATAAACAGCAGATTTGTCTCAAACCAGTTACAGAGAAAGTATAACCTCAAATCTAAGTTCTTTTTTTTGGCCCTAATTGAAATCTAAAGATTCTGTATTGTGGGTGAAATTCACCCGGAATTTACAATAAAGTATCAAAAAACCAAAACTTCAAGGGAAAAAAGTCTCCTTTTTGGATCAACCCCATCAAATAAGATTCCAACCCTAACAGAGCCTAATCAAAGCAGTTTCTACAGCAAATTCATGCCATTAATTCAGGGGAAAATAAAAGCTTAATCAAATCAAAAAGGGAAAAAGGGGAAATCAAGAAGAGGGCAATACGCACCGAATCGAAGCGAGAAACTTGGGTTGAAATGGATACAACATCGACAACTTGGTGACGATAAATGATTTCGGCTTCTGCTCCCATGTTTTGACTCACTATCATCTATGAAACAACGAGTTCTTCTTGTTTAGGCTTAGCTCTTTCTTTCAAGAACAACACAGAACAGATTAGGGTTTCTTTTTTCTTTGGGGGGTAGATTCGTTTCGGATTTGGGCAGAAAATTAGTCTCATATTTTATATATCTTGAGGCATGTGAAAACGGGATTAGTCGGTAATACTGACCGCCACGTGTGGGTGAAATGAGTTGGATTTAATGACAGATTTACCCTTTGGTTGGTGGGCTAATGGGCCCTTGAGTAGTTGACTTTTCTGCTTCGCTTTGCCTTTGCTTCGCATTTTGTTGGATAATAATAATTATAATTATAGTTCCATCAACAAAATAATTACAATTATAGTTTTTCTTTTTTTAAAAAAAATAAATAAATAAAAAGTTTCCTTAACCTTTAAGAAGTGTAAAAATAGGGCTCCTTCTTAAGAAGAAGGGAAAGGTCACGTCTTACTTACGCTTTGGTTTTGGAATTTTCTTTTGCTTTCGTAGAAAGCTTGGTATTATTTTAATATTTTTGAGTAAGAATAATAATAATTTGAATTGAATTAGATTTAATTAAATTTTGTAAGTAACGCATGACACAATAAATTTTTAAAATTTGATTTGAATTTGAATTAATTTTTTTTTAAAGTAATCAAATTCAAATTGAATTTTATATGTTCAGTTTGATTTATTAATTTTTAAATTTTAATTTTTTATATATTATTTTAATAAAATTTTTAATATATTTAAATAGATTTATATGTAAAATAATTATTTTTTATAAAAATTTAAAATATACACAAAATTAATAAAAATATATAATTGAATTTTTTTAATTTTTCATATCTCAATTTAAAATTTTATCTGAATTTAATATATACATTTAATATTTAATTTAAATTTAAATCGAATAAAAAATTAATCTAAATCAAACTGAACACTACAATTTTAAATTAATTTTTAATTTTTTTCAATTTTTTTTACCTCTACTTTTGGGTTTTAAGAATATTAATAATTTTTGAAACAATGGACATTAATATTAACAATTTTATTAATAAAATAACATATTATAGTAGTTCCTGTATTAATTAATATACATAAAAGTAGTTCTTGCATTAATTAATGTACATAAAACTTGTTCAATGACTCCTTCGATACAGTAAAAAAGTTACTCGTTCTAATGAAAAATCAAATGTGAGTGAAGTTTTTACTTCAATTGAGATTTTGGTATAGTATGAATGATTTATTGCAATTTAAAAGAACCATCAAATGAAATTATAAAATTTTCATATCATAAACGTGAAATAATAAGATTTAATTGAACATTAATTATGATTCATAAAAAAAAACATGTGACATGTGCTATGAATTGGCATATCACATCTTGAAGTTGGTCCATCCTGGAAACGTGTTCTACTTTGTTTTTTACACCACAAACATAGAGAAAGACTATTTAATTAAATTAATGAAATGAGCAATTTTTAAATTAAAAAATGAGACAAAAATTACGGTAATTTATTGCTACAAGCAATCACCAGTGACAAAACAAAAGCTGGAAGTGGGTTGACTTTATGGTTCACTTGAATGATTGGTGTACCATACATAAAATAAATGAAGAACTGAAATACAAATGACAAAGCATGAAATTCACGTGGACAAGTTTTGTTTCTTTTTAAAGCTTCAACGTGTCTCGTTGAGGATCACTAGAAGTGGAACACATGGTCTCCAACGGCAGCTCAGCTTTCAACTGACGTTCAGGTTGGGACAGTTCACACTAGTCACTTCCCATATTCTAAATATATATATATATATATATATATATATATATATCACCATGGAGTGGAGTTGGAGTTGGAGTGCTTTATTTAATTTAGTGGATTGAAGTTATCTCAACAATATTTGAATGCTACAAACTCAACAGCCCATTTGGAGATTTGCTTCATCAATTCTCAAGTGCGGCGACGGAAGTCAATGCCAATGGTGCTCTTTGGCCAAGACATGATTGATATTTTCCAAGGATAAAGCTATGTCGAGGATTTGTCATAGTCAAACTTCAAAAATACTAGTATAGTGGCCATCATCTCAGGCCCTGTTACACCAAGCAGCCATGCCGCCAAATGGCTTAAAAAAAAAAAAATTTTCAGTCTCTCATTCCCTTTTATCAAATAAAGACATTTGTTGTTGTTCAATCTTGTTAGTCTTATTGTCTGCCTTTCCACTTAATGGGAGGCTGTTAAGAAAAATCACAACCATTTACTCTTCTTCTCTTGCAGTAATGAACACTTGTAAAATCAACATAAAACGTATTCCACCATCAAAGACCAGTTGTAGACTAGTTGCATAAAGAATTGGTTAGATCAAGAGTTCATATGAATGATCATTCAGATTTGAGTTCCTATAGGGACAAATCATTCAGATTTGAGTTCCTATAGGGACAAATCACAGTTCCATAGCCCATCTTTCTATGGTTACCCAACACAGACGATAATTGTAAGGAATAAGAAATGAACAAAAAAAAATGACACCAAATGATTTGGTGTAATTACACAAGGAGACATAAGTCTGACTCCATCCGAGATTCACTTTGCTTAAAGCTCATAGTGGCGTTGTCTCAATGTCATAGTGACATGAACTGATCACCAAAAAGGTTTGTCTTTGGTTTCGATGTTAAACGTCTCAAGCCGTTGTTGGAGTTGAGCATGGTTGAATTATTACTCACAACAGTTGGCCTGGTGCTCTTTCTGCAACTTTTCCCAAAGGCATAACACCTTCCTCGGTCCTTGATAGTGAGCAAGAATGTAATCTGACTCACATCCAGCATTGTAGAATCTCTCATCAGTGATATAATGCACTTCTTGACCACTATTTTTTAATTCTTTAATCCAAATTCCCATTGCAACATCTTCTAGCTTGAAAAGCTGTCAAGGGAAAATAGTAAGAAAATAATTTGAAGAGACAACAAGAAAAGATTATTTGACCTCAAACATTCAGACTTGCAATGCAAATGTTAAATGTAAATCAACCTTGCCTAATGTTAAATGTAAATCCCCCTAAAGGCATCACCACGAAATTCAAAACCAAAAAGCAAGATAGGGCAATCCTTTGCAAACCACCCCAGTTCCCCCAACAGATCTTATAATTAATACGCATGGCAGTCAGAAAAGTTGTTCATGATCTTTTTCAAGCAAGTTAAATTTACCTTGAGTTCTCTTTCTTGGTGCCCTTGGACAATGAAGTTTGCAATGTCTTGAGAGACAATATAACCGGGACCATGGGCCCATGGTGGATATGAAGAAAGTGGCCATTCCTGTGGGAAAAAAGTACTCATTAGCAGTGAACCAAAGGTGATCAACATACAATTAACGTTTGACTCAGATAAATACCTTATCACTGATGTACCATTTGCTGTCTTTATCCCTATGAGGAGATGAATCGAATGATATAAGGCCATATAACAGGCCATCTGAAGCCTTTCCCTTGAGGCTGGAGAGAACCTCATCAATCCTGACAAAGGCATCATCATCTGTTTTCATGATATATTTTGCAGGAAGAATCTTAGTCTGCATTTTTGATTGACAGGAAAAGGAAAACAGAGATATCAATTAGTCATGCTATCAACCCTATGACTGCATAACCACACAAATTACAGACAGAAACATGCCTTTAAGATCTACACACAAATTAGCACTTGAAGGTGAAGGAAAAAAGTTCTGCGTGAAGAATAGATGGCAACAGCCCAATAACTTTCTATGCCCACTGCAAGCATCAACTTACCCCCATAATGCAAATTGCAATAGTTTTCAGACTGATCAGACCGTAGTAATCAACAAAGGGCATAAACTGGATGTCTCCATATGCTTGAGCTTCTTTCCACAGCTCCAAGTTGACTTGTCCATTTTTATTCTGCAGGTACAAAATACTAAATCAATAAGCAAACAGTTCTGTATGCCGTCAAAACTGTTATATAAATACTTTAGCAGAATGAGTAATGTATCTAGGTTCCACTGCAGCCAATTTAGCTAATCCATATGGATTTACCCTCCTCGTACTCTCTTAATTCAAGAAAATTGAGGAGAATGTGATTATTATCTTGCTAGGACAGAATTATGCCTCAACCAGCAATTTGTTACTCACTAGGCCAATGAAAAACCGAACTGCTACATCCCCCAAGCGTACAGCCTCAAATTGCATCCAAGATCTTCTCAATGCCATACGACGCTCAAAATTATTTCCAGTGGAGAAGACCCCTACCAACATTAGAAGTCTTTTTCTAGTAATTGCAGGAGCTTTAAGATGCTTGGAATTAACAATTGAATCATGGTCTTCAGGAACAGGCAAGCCTTTTGCAAAGGCAGATAATAGGTCCAAACCACCGGCCACTTTGACTCCACTAACTGACCATGGTTCAAGTTTCTGCATGTGAAGAGATTGTACACAGGGTAACAGTGATTACTCCTATCCAAATAGCGCAATTTGAAGAATGTACCTGCTTCGCATTTTAATTTTTTTATTGTAGATAAACTAATAACTTACCTCCCTGTATGCAAATGACGTTTCATGCCTTCCATTTACAGTCATATGGAACCCCTCTAAACCAACCCATAAGGTGGCAGTGAATGGGTTCCCTTTAATGAATGGGAAATTGGCACTTGCATGGCTGCTTCCCTGGGAAGCATTTGTGGAAGCATCACCACTAGAAAGACTTACATTCTGATTTTCTTCCATAGAGCTTCTGACAAGTTGTTCATTGCAAAGACCAAGTCCATCAACTGAATATACAAGAATCTTTCTATAAATAAGAGGAGCAACAGAAATTACAATGAAACAAGATGCTATGTAAGGGAAAGTAGTATTGAAGCATTACGAAACAAACATCAGCAAGGAAACACACTTGAAGTGAAATTGTTTTAACATGCCCTTTTCTTTTTTCCTGATAGAAACGATCATGAGTAGAATGTTACTCAATTGCTGAACAAGAAATGTACCCTTTTCAGCCTTCAATCTTTTCCATCTAATTTTCAGAATAAAACTTAAGGTGTCATAGTATCAAAATGTTTAAGATGCTGCAGTAGACAGAAAGATCATTCAAGTAAAACAACTTGACGAATTATAGTGGCATCCAACATCCTTTATCTTTCTCACGAATTATATTACATACTTTTCAGTTCAAAGACAAGATAAGTGGTAACTGATTGAAAAACTTTTTCTCATAATTTGAATGACATTCCATGAAGTAAGAATCTATTGATTATTGCATGCTTCTGCACAAAATTATTGATTTTTCCCGTTTTAAATATCTCCAAACTAAAAAAGCAATTGAAGTCTCCCAATAGTTTTGCTTTTTCCTATATTTCATAAGGACTGCATCTTACAGTGAATATGAATCAGTACTTAATAATCATATGTAACCATTAAGCACAGAAGCGGCAAATACGAACCAACACCAGTTAATCCAAAACATGAGTCAAGAACTGTTAAGGAATATATACCTTTTAAGTTAGAAGATACATGAGCAGGACACTTTTCCTCTTTTCCCCAACCAAGTTCATTACTCCATGTATTTTGAACTATAAATGGCTCTTCTGTCATATTATCCCCAGCAACACTGATGTTGTAATGCAATATAACAGGAGGCTTTGGTTCCCCGGAAAAGTTTGATCCTGAAATTACAATTTCAAAACTCCGCCCATCAGGGATGCCAATTACTGTGATGGATGAATCCTCAACCAGACCACAAGGCAGTTCAAATATATTTCCAGCACTGAACGATGTACTGCCAAGGTTACTAACCGAGAAAGGGCAATTTTTCTCTTTTAGTCGGTTGTTGGTGGTTTTCTCTTCCTCAATCACAGCAACTAATTCTTTCCATGCTATAGCAGCCTCTTTAATCCCTTGACCAGTTTCAGGTAAAGCATCAGACCTTGACAATAGCAAGCGCATATAAGGCCACAAGAGCAAGGCCTTTGACTCCTTTTCAGAAATATTTCTTGGAGAATACAAATCATTGAGCCCTTCAACATCGATAAGTTTGGGCTTCTTTATTAAGGGTAGTTTCTTCTCTTCTACCTTGAGAGATTTAATGGAATCATTTTCCTTCCTGTGAGAATCTTCAGCTGGATGGTTTCTGAAAAAGTCATAGGCAGACTGCCTTTTTGGCTGGCTTTCTCTAAGGCTATAATTGAATACCAAGATTATAGCAAGAACTACAATCAACACGCCACCATACCACCTTTTCATTCTGAATCATCAGAGCAAACAACAACCAGCTCTTCTGCCTGGCCAATTTTAGACGAATATTAAAGAGGAAGTTTGCAACCCCATTCCTAAATTCTTGTCCTTTACCTGATTTTCCTAGTCTTCAACAGGTTTTCTCACTGTCCAAAGAAAACATTGAAAAAAAAGCTTAGCAGCAATTATAAGCAAATGAACTGACCCATACAGTTCATTACATAAATCTGAAGCAGAAACAGAAGCAGAATTTAGAAGCACAACAAGAAGGGTGTAAGCATAAACAGTCAATCACGATGGAAAGACGCAAACAAAACTGCATCCCTTCACAGTTGCATGTTGTGCATCAGCTCCCGAGCTAGTAAACTAATAATTCATCCTTCGTCATTTAGAAAAAGAAAAACATAAACCAGCAGGTCTAATACTTAATCCAGTGTATCTGCATTCATTGTTGTTGTTGTTTTTTTTTTTTAAATTCAAACAAAAATAAGCATAAAGCATGAGACTGTTACAAATGAGCATTTGAATGAAGTGGGTTATATGCTTTATGCTTACCTCAAACTTGAGATCGCAAGAATCTGAAGCAGATCCAACCAACAAATGAAGTGACTTGTTAAGAATAAGAAATAAGAACTCGACACTTTGAAAAATCTAATTTTTTAAGCTTCAAACCCGAAAGAGCTTTAAAAGTGATGCAAGGGTAATTGTCTTTTTTTTTTTTGCAAACATATGTCTTATGATGTTCGTGTGGGAACCATTAGCCTAACTGCCGGAGCGCAGCGTTTTCAGGCCCCTTACAACTACATTTTTTTTTAAATTTTGATTAATTAATAATCATGCACCTGTTGAATATTTTCTTTTCTTTTTTCTTTTTTTTTTTTAGTAAAAAATTATGTTACTTTTACAGGAAAAGAAGAAAACGAAGATTAGTGATGGCAAAAAATAAAAATAGCTTGATGATTTATACTAATTCAAAATATGAAATTTTGTTCACAAATATGAAATATATATTTGTGAATGATCTCTGTTTTTATCGAACGATCCAAAAATTTCGACGATAAAATGAACAAATAATTGATGTACAATCATAATCATTTCATGCTTGGTTGGGTTAGGTTGAGCCATAATGACTGTAAATGGAATGGTGAGTCACACTTAATCAATCAATTAATTAATTAAATAATTAGGAGAAAAAAGGCGTCTTTCTCTTTTCTTTTCTTTTGTTGTTAATGGTAATAATGAATTTAATTTAGCACCCACAACTGCACGTTGGATACTCTTGTTTTGTATTTTCCATTTTATTTTATTTTATTTTTACATTTTTATTTCACTCAAATCAATGAACAAATCGGTTTGGCTGTTAGATGACTAATCAAATGATAAATTGATAACCAAAATTTTTTTTTTTTAAAAAGTAGAGTAACTATTTTATTTGTATTTCTAACATAAGATGACTAATCAAATGGCAAATCGGATAACAAATCAAGTTATTCATACAAGGAAATAAGCATTTTATTTGAGCAAAACAAAAGTCCCCAAAATTTTAACTTATCTATTAGAGGCCGAGGACAGTTCGATCCAAAACCCTGAACTTCTTTGACACAGCATATCACAATTGTGAATATATTTCACAGCCAAGATGATCATGAGCCAGAAAAACCAGCTTTTTTATGTGAATGGTGCATGCGCGGCGATACTGTAGACACATACAAAAATGTCAAAAACTAAACATTTCAAGAAGCACCTCATGAAATGATTATATGAGATATTTACTAACAAATGCTTTCTATGAAGAAATATCTATTTGTATTCAACTATGTCCGCGGTAATAAGCATCCAATGTTCCCGGAGGCTTCGAATAGGGCAGAACGAGCATCTGTATTTCTAAGGATCCTGCAAATATGCTCCATTAACCATTTTAATAATGCCTTTGCAACATAAAGTAAGCAAATCTGTAGCACTCAGCTGATGCTCATTCAATGGTCAAAAATGGATGCTTCAGTGTCATTTGCGCTGAAACTTTTGGATTCCTCTCAGTTGTACTCTTGGAAACTTATATTAAATTCTCAGAGAAAATTCTCGGTTGGCACTTATTCCCATGCTAGTTGTTGCTGCTGCCAAAAGTTGATCTCATAGGAACCGACGTGGGCACCTGCTGAGGAGACCAGGTGCAAGCCCCTTCTTTTGGAATCATTTCAACGGCAGTGCCATCAGTAACTGGTGAATATGGTTTAGTAACTTTCTTCTTCAGCAGCTCCTAAATCATTGAAAGAAGCTTTTAAGACCAAAAAACACTTAAATATTATTAAGGATGATCCAAGGCCACGCTTGGAGATACTCCAATCTATGTTTCATCCACTTGAAGTTTTCAATATCCATACTGAATATGTAAATTCCAGTAAAACATCTAGGCTTATATTATTGTGAACTAAAACAAAGATCCCAGCATTTTATGACCAAACTTTGAAAAAATGACTCGAAAATAGCAAAAAATGTCAAAGTACGAAACATACAGTGCAAGAACCAATGGCGTATATAAATGAAATAAAAAAAATAATCTGGAAACTAACCTTTGAAAGGTTTTGTCCGTATGTGATCAGTGCTCGTTCAATTGAAGAGTAAACTTCAAGAGCCTGATGAGTATCTTGGCAGCATTTTATCACACGAATTTGTTCTTTTGTATTTGTTGATCTAGTCTTTAGATAGAGTATGAGCCGTGAAGGTGGAGCTTTTGGTTGATCTTTCTTTCCTTGTGTCAACTCCATCGTTGCTAGATCATCCCACAGTACATCCCACAATACTAAACAGGGATCTCTAATTGGATTGAATTTCCTCTGAGTGATATTAGAGGTTTGCTAAAAAAAAAACAAAAATGCAATAAAATCCTTTAGTTTGACCACCAGGTTCAGTAATAATAATAATAATAATAATAATAATAATAATAATAAAAAGGCACTAGTCAACCATAAAATGTTTCCAACAAAGTTGACCTACTTGCAATAATATTATTCTTCGATGAGTAACCATAACAATTCTTCCCTTTGGTAGCAAGAAATGATCTTCATATGCATCTGATAATGCAAATTTTCCACGAACTTTGAATAGATCGACCTGGCCAAAGAAAGAACCTGATTGTGCCAAGTGCAATATGACCTTCAAGATGAACACAAATGCCAGTAGGTTAAAGAGTTGTCTCATAACATAAGCAGGTGATCATCAAACCAAAATTTCAAGCATAAATAAAACACGTACAAGTAAATGCAACAGTGTAACAGAAAATCGATGGCCAAACTTATATTAGAAAGCGTCTCTTCCCACTTGCCCTTTTACTTAATGTATTAAAGCCAACTAAATCTGAGAAGAGGACACAAAAATTAAAATACCTGTCCTTCTGCTTTGTTCTCATCATATGGTCGAAGTAAATTATCACCAGTAACCACACGAGGCAGCCTCCTTCGCAGAAGCTGTTCATCTGAAGCTATGGCGGATGCTATCTTCATTCTCACAGCATTTGCACCTTCAGTAGTTTTTGACAAAAGATCCAGAACCCCACTCACAGGCTGTGCAGCTGCACCTATGATGCCTTTTCCAACACCTTGAACAAAGCCCTCAACACCAGAAGTTTTTGCACCTTCAAGAGGCTTTGTTAATATGCCAGTGACTCCTCTAAACAGGCCTTTTGCTAGTGCGCCACCCCCTTCTCTAATAACATCACCTAAGTCATCTACTCCCTTGTTCTCCTGCCAGAAAAAGCAAATTGAAAATAAAATTTGAATGTTCCCAGATGGTTAACTGCACAGAACCAGACAAGTATTACCTGAGAAAAGGCCTGTTGGATAACCATTGGCTTTAATAGATAATAGAATAACATGTATGTAACAACAGGAAGAGCAGGAGAAAGAGAAAAAAAGGCTCACACTAACTAATTATACGCTCATATTCTTTAAGTAGAGAGAAATCAGTGCTTCATAGTCCTATGATAACCTCTTGTAGGTATTCGATAGAGTTATTTAAGCGCAGAAAAAAATATTACCCTTACTGCACAATACACCTTACAACACATATCCTGCAAGAAATTTTTTTGACTGGAAAATTCTGTTCTGTTCAAAAGTTTTATCAATTCTACCGCTGTTAGACATGCTTCAAGGGTGCAGGCAAATATATCAGAAAAGGAAATTAAAGGCATACAAGGCAAGAAGTTATTAATCAATCATTAAATAATATTTTCATTTTCAATCAATCATTCAACTATCTCGATACACAATGAAATTGAATACTATTACTAAAGCTAATCTTACAAGAGGGTAAATCACCCCATTAACAATTCACTTATTCACTCTCAACCAAATCATATTAGCAAGATACAATAGACACATCCTTTTTGTCAGGTATTCAACAGTTATTACACACATGTCACCCATCTCTCTATTACACACACCTTTCAAATAGATCAAGCACCTAAGCAGTAAACAGCGCACATCATAGCTTTATACAGTTATTTTACAGACACAGGATACACATCAATGAGCAAGAAAATATTTTAAAAATAATTAGTGCAGTATAGACAAATCAACAAAACCTTGGCAACAGTGTGTGCTTAGTAATCCAAATTTTGGGTTTGTGACATACCTGTCTCTGTCGGCTTTGAATGAATTTCTTATCCATTGATAAAGCAGCCACTCCTTTACTCATATGTCCAAGAGCACTACTTGCATTGCCCAATATATCAAGGCCAGAGAGCAATTGAAGCGGTTGACCAAGAAGATCCTTTTTTATGTTTGAAATAGCATTATTAATCATAGTACTCCGCCTCATGCACACATTCTCATGGAATCTTTGATTTATCTTGACCTGTTATTCAACAGTTGTATCACAATGTGCATAACCAATGAAAAATAGCTCAGAAAAGGTAGTTTAGAAAATCTTGAGATATATATATATAGCTCAAAGAGTTGCTAGTGCTACTTCATCCTACTTTTTTTGGCCACATACATTGAATAGTACTTAATTAATGGAAAACATAGTAGTCCATAGAATGCCACAGTTCAGTCTTATGCCACCAAACCTTGTAATTACACAAAGAAATGAATCTATCAACATATTTACGGCAACTTTGATGTCTGTATTTGGAGGCCATGACTCTTAACGGATATTTATTACAGCAAGTAATACCACCTTTCTGGATGGTCTTCTAGTTTCCATATACTTACATAAGTGGCTTTTCAGATCCAGCCAGAGATATGAAGGTCAAACTACAGAAAGATCTCCAAATGAGGATACAAAAGGGGATTAAACATAAAACTTACAGTCATATTCTCAGTGTTCCCTAATGCAGTCATTATGGATGACCAAAAACCAAGTACTCCCCTAGGCCGTTGGCTAGGTGACATAGCCATCGACACTTTCAGTTGAACTTCCGAGATGTTGAGAACCCTGTATTTCCAGTTAAATACAAAAAATAAGCCTCAAGCAATCATATACAGAGCAAAGCACATTTCGAATATGAAAATTGAAGAAAGGTTCCCACACACCCAATTTGAATGATTGGATCAACTGAAACAGCTGTAGTTTTAGTATCATACAACCTACTAAGATTGACCTGCTGCATCATCTCATGAATGCGCCATATAATAGGTTCATGAATGTTTATAAAAAATGCAGAATTATCAGGCCCCTGGTCATAAGCCAATCAAAACAAATAAAACTATATGAGAGACTAAGGGAAAAAAAAATCAACACTCTGGTCAAGACTTTGAGATTTAATATGCTCACATGGAAACCTATATATGGATAGACACTTAGATCCAGTGATCCATTTGTCTGTAGAGTCACAGAAATTTTCAGAATATAATCTTTCTCCATCCCATTTTTCTGTGGCCTGAAGAGAACTGGTGTTGGAGTTAATGGCAACTGGTTATCCATTTGAATTCCCCTCATTCTTAATTTGAACCTGAAATAACAAAAAGATATAATCCGTATACAATCATAAATAGTTGGAAAAAAAGGGTAAATTTTTGGTACAATAAACTACAATTTTGGACATCTTCTGCCTACATACTAAGTAGACTGTTTAATAGGTTCTCTGCAGGATAGCGTGCCACAAAGCACAGTTGTGCTAAATCTAAGGCTTTCAATTCACAAATTCAGAGCCTTTTTTTAGGCGAGATGGAAACAAAAAGTGTGGGACCCCCTATTATTTCATGTAGATGAGCAAGTTTAGAACTTTTTAGTGCTCCACTTGTACAACCAATGATTTTAAGCATAGGAAGAACACATGTAATAACTGTGTCATTTGTGGGAAAAGCAAATTTGTGTTGTGATAACAGAAAACTAGCTTTATAGCAGCATTGCAGAATTTTTAAAAGCAGAGCATACCTGCTAAACCCAGAGCCCAAGCCAGTTGAATATGCCAAATGAAGATTTTGCACTGACAGGTATAATATCTCCTCAGGCGTATGGTCAATAATGGACACCCCAAGCTCAGCAAGCTCGACAATAAAATGACACTCACATTCTGAGGTGGACTGCAATTGCTGTTGATAAGACTCATTTCTAGAGAACTCTGATAACGAGGATGGAATCCTTTGGCCGATGATTGCTGTAGGCTCATTTTCAGGCATCCAGTCACTGATCTTAACAACATTTACTTTTTCTTCTTTTAGGATGGTAACCCGTAAAGCTCTGGCAGGTCCTGTCACATCAATGGGCTGGTGATCGAAAATCTCATCAATGTTGTACTTTTCTGACCTTGATGGGTCAGTCCCATCTGCAAGGATTTCCAGCAATTGTCGTCGACCAAGATCTTCCCATAAGAAAGAAACAGCAGTGTTGGGAAGAAGAAAGTGCCAGGAGTCACTAGTACCATCCACTTGCCGGCAGCGAAGTGGTAAAAAAATTGATTGATTTTCAATCCTGTTTCCAGAACATAATAATATTACAAAAGGAGAAGATGAAAGAAACACAAAAGGGAATTCACGAAAGGAGATATATATATATCTAAAACTGGAAAAATCCGACCAGAGATGAAATCTAACATGCCCAAAACCTAACCTGATCCAACCCCATTTGGCTCTAATAACCAATGACCTGAACCTGAAGAACCTGAGCCAGAAGCAACACAAGCCCATATGGACCCGAATAATCCAGAACTTCAATTAAGCTTAATTTTTATTCTTTTCTCACTTTAAACTTCAGCCTAATTAAGAAATAATATATACTACAATACAAATCATTTAAACAAATGACCTGAACTTGAACTTTATTTGAAATAATTTTAAAAAGTCAACAACCCAAAACCTGAGCTACTTGAAACCCAAAGTGACCCAAAAACAAGATGACTATATCATTATCCAACCCCAAATGACTCAACCCAAACTGATCCAACAAGAAACCAACTTGACCACTAAATTGCCTCCCTTATATGCCAGGAAAACAGGACAACTAAACAATAAAGGGGGGAAAAAAAACAAAACCCCTACTCCATTAACTATCCTGTAAGTGTTTAAGGAAGTTTCAAAAGTATATACACAAGTGTAACATGTAACCTGTAAGGACTTGATGAGGAATTTGGGCGGAAGATAACCTCATAGCGAGAGCTCTTTGTTCCACTCCTAACTTCAACCTTAAAAAATAACTGACCACTTCCAGTGTCATTTTTCAAAGAAACACGCATCACACCTTCACTAGAAACACTAAAAGGTGTACTCCACTTGTATCCATCTACCTGCAACTGAAATAAAAATAAGTCCAATTAGTTAAAGCAGATATAATAAGAATAATAATATATGCACGGAAATTTATTGAATATTGGTATGACTGATTAAAACTGACCTTCAACAGCTGAACTTTTGTAGAACTCTGCCATCTAAAGGGTTTTGGAGGATCAAAGGGATGGATCCATTCCACTGCCTGAGATTCACACTGCCGCAGGCAAAGACTAAAACCAACCCTATTGACAAACAGCATGTGCGGCTGAAAATGAATGACCTGAACATCAAACATTTTTAGTAGTTACTAAGTGACTAAAAAGCCTATAAATCAATATCAATAAACTATTTTATAAGCTTGACTGCTTCAAAATCTAAATTTCCCTTATTCCGTCTTACATCTAGGTTGTAGCTTTTTAAGCATATGCCAGGACACAGCTTCCTTCTCTTGAATCATTACAACATCCTTTACATTCTGATTCAATACTAGAGGCTACCAGGCTGAATAGTGATGATTTACAAATCCTATACGTTACTCAGACAATCTAAAGTTAAGAACTTAGTCTGACCCAGAATTTTCGTGTCAGAAAATATCAACACTGGAATAAAGCAGTATTTTCCTAAAGATGATCCCACCATCTTGAATAGCTTTCTTAAACTACATGGCTTTATTAGTCTGGTGCACAAGAAATTTCACACAGAAAAGTCCACTATCTCACCTACCGCTACATGATCAATTTGCCTGAGTCTACCATGGAACATTGATGATAATAACAAGCAAGCAAGCATAAAAAGATAACAATATCAAAGGAATAGTGATTAAACTTCATGCAACTTCAGCAAAAATTTAGAACATTGAATCTCTAAGGACCAGACAGCCACAAACCGGATGGCAACTTGTTTAATAGAAATAAACAGAAACAAGTAACACATAAGGCAATAACTGTTTCTGAAATCATCACTGCTAATGGTCTTAATGCTTACTGGCAATTTTATCCTACACCATACGAGGAACAAAAAAAGGCATAGACTATAAAAATCTCAATTAAGATATGAATGACAATGAAGGCCAAAATTTATAAGGATGGCTAGAGATTCCAGAAGCTAAAACAATATTACAAAAGAAGAAAAATGCCCCAATGAGGAAAACAATGTATAAGAAATAAAAAAAAATAAAACTACTAGTCTTATTACGAGAGAATAGAACCAAGAACCACAATAAAATATAAAACATCAACAATCTTTTAAAGACTAGTTTTCCACCTTTGTTCTGTCGGAGGTCATATTCACTACAGCTGAAAGCCTATAGTACGACCCATCTGAACTGAATGCTTTTACATCAACACGCTCCTGGAATAGGAGTTACATTTAAGTTAGCATCACAAATGGCTGAAATACCACCAAACAATTTATCAGAAGCATTACCCCTTTCCACCAAGCTCACAAAAGACAAAAAGGAAACAAGATCCGTAAGCATGTAGACATCTTGACACACTAACATATTACCTTCTTTTCAAGCTCTAGAAGAGAAATACCAGGACTGTAAATTTCAGAATCACGAATAGCCACAGCAATGCCAACCCATGGGGACACATATGTATCTTTTTGTGATGGAAACAGAGTAACACCACTACGACCAGCAGAATCTTGTGGGGAAAGCATGCTAGCTATTGGCCTGGTGTCTTCAATAGCTTCAAGCACTTGAATGTTTCTCCTCAGACCAGAATATCTCCTTTCCATTGAGTACGAAGGGGTCCTCAAAACTGTTCTAGCAGATTTAACTGCTCTAGATAGCGAGTGTGAATCCCTGTCTGCACTATCTGAACCTTCAATTTCTACCACTTGATAAGCTAGAGGCAGAGATGAATCATTAATGATCCAATATGGAACAAAAAACCTTATCGTTTTTGGTGCAGCACTGGTTCCTCCCATATCACGTTCAATGCTCACACGCAATCTCCTGCAAAACCATGTGACAAGATCATGGAAAACATAAGCCATAATATATTTTTCACAAGAAAAAACTTAAATGAATGTAGTAAGCCTAAGACTATTCACACAATTAGCGATTTATTTTTCAGTAAATAAATTCCATCAAAGTTGATCATGAAGGAACATGCATAATCAAGAATCATATACACATTTGTTTCACTTATCTTATGAATCCATTGTTGATAAAAAAATATAGAGAACTGTGACATCAAATTTGACACCATACACTTAGGTTTCTGTACACTTGGAACTGACAATTATTAAGGAGAAACAAACATGAGAGGAATGGCATGTCATTTCCTTCCATTTCTTTCCTTAATGAAGTTGCCAACTACACATCTTTGCAGAATGGGGAGATCAAATTAAGAGGATCATATAGCAAAAATCAGACATGGGTTCTTACATATTTAGGATCACAACAGCACACTTACACCTATCATGAAAAAATGTCAAACTAATTTAGGATGGGGAAATATATAAAAGTGGAAAGCATCAAACTCATTTATTTATGCAGAATCTCTACACCAATCTGCAACTAGGGATTTCTTTTTTTTAAAAAGAACGCAAGGAAAATTAAATGTTGATCTAAATACCAAAATAATAATAGCTAAACAATAAAATACCTCATGATACCCTGTCCTTTAAAATAGGTGTTCTGTTTTTAAAATCTATATTGCTTAAGAATGAGTATTACGTTGTGAGGGAAAAAAATCTGGCAACCTGGAATGAAATTCCTGAAGGAAGTTCAAGTCCAGTTTATATTAAGCCTCATTAATATCATTAGTATTTGAATTAAGAGAAAAAGGACCCAGTCATTGCAAGTAAGCAGCATAGGAAAAATGTATCAATTTATGCAGTTTCCTCTCATGTTGACAAATCAGAATATATGTAGGAACCAAAATTTTTAGAGGTTAAACATCCAGAAAGATGCAAGTTATGCAGTTTCCTCTTAGCCACAACCTTTTACTTTGCTGGTGGAACATCCAGAATGGTGAAATGTGAGCATTGGAAGAAAGATCCAGAATAAGAACCGGGTCCTGCAAATAATAATGCATTCACCACAAAGCTTTAATACACATTGGCTTGCAGATGAGAAAAAACCATGCATTGTCAGATTAAAGTTAAACCCATTACCTTTTCCAGAACCCAACCACCCTGTACAAGAAATGTAAGGTAAATAGGTCTTCGGATGTCCACTGAATATATATGAGCACTTTTGCGTGAATATATGATACCATGCTCTCGCTTGGTATAGTTCCCTTCTTTTGCTTTTTCCCATATTGTGAATTCAGCTGGACAGGACAGTCGATTTTCCAACTTCAAGGGAGAATTAACAGAGATCTTCCAATCATAAACAGGTTGATTGAGCTCTGTGTGAAGGGCCAATGCATCTGCCCCTACACTGAGCCAAATTTGTCTGCTTCCAACAGTAGGGCAACAACAAAGAAGTACATCCTTCTTCTCAAGTTCACTTAACTTAAGAGCAAAATTGGGCACTTTGCTTCCTTGTGGCAAAGTATTTTGTCTATATAGTGAATCTTGATCGAAGAAAGGCTGGTCCTTTCCACTTGCAAAACTAGAACTGACAGCAACAACAATGGAATGACCCCAAGAGTATGGGGGCTGGCTATAATCAACACAAGGACGAACACGTAAACACTGATTGGATTCTTTAGATGTACTTCCCCATGGTAAAACAGTAGAACATCCAGGGCTTATGGTAGTGAAGTCGCTCTTTAAGCAACTTTTGTCTTGCTCAGCTATTTGTTGTCTTGTTCGGATCCAACGCCTCCTGCGCACAACATCATGACCAGATTTAATATGTGATTTTGAAGTAAGGGGCCATCTCAAACTTCGATAGTCAGGACCATAAGCCCAGCCGTCTTCATCAACAAATTGGGATTTATCAATAGTCCATGTTGATATCCATTTCCACCCATTGGGAAGGGGAGGTTCAAAAAAATCCTTCAAGATAAAAGTGAAGTAAGGATATACATGATGCCAAGAAAACAGAATGGAGATAGAGAGAAGAAGAAGAGACAAATACGTATAGATGGTTGTGCAAGAAATAAATCCCAAGAAGATGGAAACAGTTAGTATGCAAAATCACTAACCTTTGATGAATATGAGAAGTCATTGGTGCTCCAGCACCTTGGATCATTACCTCGCAAAGCAGACCACTTATTGCCCCAACCTGAAATTGGTTGATAGCACTGATTTTCAAAGATTTCTTCTACCACTATGCCATGACTGCTTGATCCTGAATCCTGAATCGTTAACGCATGACATAATGAAATATCCAAATTAACATCAGAATCATTTAAAACTGTGGCAAGACCCCTGAAAATAGCATGCTTCTTTCCATTTTTCATGACAACTTCCATTGCAATAAATTCACTTCGTAATGATTTGGGGACTACTGACAGCGGAAGCAGCGAACGAATGCTCTCCCATGAACCCTCTGTTCCAAGCCTAACCCAGAAACCTATATCCTTATCAGAAGCATCCTTCCTTTCTGCATCTCTTTGAAAATTTGTAGCTGTATTCCTCTCAAAATAAGAAGTGGAGACAGAGAGGTACCCATGGTCATCCTTATCTTCAACATTGTTGAACTGAACCAGTAAAAGAGGACAGTAAAGAAATGACAGATACTTAAATTCCAGTGAAACAAAAAAATGGGAAGTAATTGGACCAAAGATGCAGAAAAGAGTAACTCACCTTTCTCCTCAATGGATATGATTCAATATTCTGAACATCATTTCGCTGAGACAGCATCCTTGCTGAAGATACCTTCTTTAAAATATTGGCGCCAAGTCCAACAGGAAAAGAAAGCGCACCAACAACTTCACCTGCTTTATTAAATTAGAAAATGAAGAGACTATAGCAAACATATAAATGTTCAAGTTTTGAGTAAAGAGGAAGAAGACAATTCAGAATAAGTGAATATTTGATGTATATAAAAAAATTAAAAAAAAAATCCAGAAGAATATTATTCACTTAGAAAAGATCATGAAACAAAACTAAATCAATAAATAAAAAATTAATACCTAGTGGAGAACAAATGAAAGAGTAGAATAACAAGTGAACCACACAGTAATGAATAGAGAAAACTCATCATAGAAATTTCTATGGCCATGTAAATAGAGTTCTTATTACCAAAAGATACATGATATTGAATGCAATGAGCATCTACTCATACAACTATAAGAGGCACACAGATTTAGCATCACAAATAACAAAAACCAGAAAAACTTCAATATCTAGTTTTTATGTTAACTCCCATTTTAACACAAGTTGATACACCAATAAAACATACCTTTACCAGCTTTTGCTGAAAGGTTTGTTACTTCCACCTCCAATTTAGCAACCCCCTGTGACATCACACACATAAATTCCTCAGCAATTTAGAAAACAAGAACTCTTGCTTACCAGCTCTTGCATTCCAGATCAGCATCACAGCCTTTGCTTAGTTGCACATATCAGAACATGACATTTTACTATAATGGAATTTTTTTACTACTCTTGATTAACTTACAGACATTACTTTCAGAGCAATATTAATTTATTAGCCATTAGTACTGAAGATCCACAAATTAAGTAGTGCCTACTTTTAACAGTAAAGAAGCAAAAACAACAAAAAGGAAAAGAATAAAATTGCTAAATATACAACAGACCTTACAGGGAACTTCAAATATGAAAAGTTCATTCCACTTTGCAATGCCTTTATTTGGGTACTCCATGTCTGAAACTAAGGGCTTCACACATTTTGTCCTCGCACTCTGCGGGAAAAGTTTTTGCTGATCTGTTCCTTGACTATCAATGACAAGGCGCAAAGCACAAAAGAAGTTATGGCTATTACCATCTTCGATTATAGGTAAATCCTGCCAAACATTAATAAGTCATAATTTTGTTTAGAAGCAATCAATAATAATAAATGATAATACTGACCACAAAAGAAAAATGAAAGAAACATATGTTGCAAAAGCTTCAATCACAATAGAACCTTGGCAACAAGAATCTGCACAGCAACATAATGGCGTGTTTCCCTAGATCCCTCAGTAACATTTAACCTGTCTGAAAACCTAGCAGGTGGAACCCAAATTGAAGCACAGTCACCATGATGAAGTTGGTCAGCCACCTTTGAATTCTGCTCAATCCTTTTCAGGAACAGATCACTCCCAAGTTTATTCTCTACTATCACAGTTTGTAAATCCTCTTCATCCAGGGCAGAAAAGGCCAGATCTTCATGTCCAGAATGAGTACGAGCCTGAGAAAAGATAACTAGTTAGATATTTGAATGTAGATACTCAGCATCTTCTTAAACCAAAATCAAGGTGCAAATTCCAGTTGACCTCAATCAGCTTGGTTGCTTTCTGTTCAAGTTCTAACTGTCGTCTCCATGAAAGAATGGTTTCTATTAAAGTATCAAGATTTGCTGCACTGACATTTATATTCACAATGTTGGTAGCGGCAATGCGCATCCTCTTCCCAAGTCTTGCTGGTGAATTCACATTGGTATCATATGTTTCAAACCTTGAAAAAAATAGATTAATAATATTAATAAAGGACACCAAATTCATTACAAGATTATGTACTTTTCTTTTCATCAGTCTCTCTCTCATTGTAGGCAAATCATAACTAGAATGGGGCAGAAACTGACTTGAATATGCCATCAAATGGTTCCACCAAGGGCTCCCATGCTTCTAACTGCATGTTAAAGGTTGAAGCAGCAATAGATGAAATGAGGACTGCATTCATAGCCTCCAGCCAACCATGTGTTGCCAACTTGATATTGGCAATAGTCATATCAAATAGCGGTGTCATCTGAAAGGGTACAAATACATCAAAAAGAGAAGGCAATATAATGTCAAAAGGTTCAGATTGTATCCTTCTTTTTTTCAGAAAACATACCATTCCATGCAGGCTGTCTAAAACAGTTAGAGAGAAGTATCTTAGTTTAACCTCAGCAATTACATTTTCCTGTGTCTTTGGCTTCACAGAATCACCAATAGTGTAAGCCAACTGTGTTGATGGCTTTTTTGTATCAGAGCATGCAAGAAAAGTACAAGCCTACAGAAAACAGGCAGCCAAAATGCTATCATCTCTCTTGTTCCCAGTAAAAATTCAAACAATAAAGAGCCATAGGCGAAGAAGATTATATTAAACTTTTTGACAAACTTATTTGTTTCATATTTTAAAAATGACCTTATCTTAGAGAACCCAAAATTCAAAAGTGACAATCATGGACTATGAGTATAATGAGCATTATCTTAACCTGATTTTCAACTTTCCAAATGCTCCAGCACAGAGATGCCTTTGAGCTTGAAGATCTGGAAATAGGCACTTCAAGAATGTTGGCTGGGTTAACAAGATCCATCCTTGGGCAGCAAAACAAATCCGTGCATGGGGGTTCATCTGTTCTGGAAACTATACATCCCAAGGAAGCATAACCAGGGGGGGCAATTGGGTACCAGAAGAAAACTTCATCAAAACCTTTCCCAGTTATATGGGCAACTTGCGTAAATTGCACAGGCTTTGCAGAGATTTCTGGATCATCAGACTTAAAAATTATGCCCAAAGCAGGTGGTTCTAAGCTGGAAAGGAAAAAAGATGATGTCAGATGTTAACAGAAACTCATAAAGGGATAAAAAAGATACATATAATAATAAAAGAGTTTGACAAAGAAACATTCCAAGACAAAAAGATCTAACCCTTCCATTATGCAATCACCCACTATGGCATAACCACAACGTGAAATAGGCCGCCAAATTGACACTGGTCTACGGAGGTCGCAGCCCTTGTCCCACCATATTCTCTCAAAGTGAGGGGTTGACATGTAACAACTAGTTGCTTTTGACATTGACCTGAGAAAGTCCCACCCAGATGAACTAGCACTCTGGTTACTTGTTTGCTGAATAGCATGATCATTGTCCACAGCAAATCCAGGAACAGATTCCTTAAGAGATGCATAGGACCAAACAGAATTCCAGAGTAGAAGATGACTCAGGTCAAAACTACTTTCTTTGGAAGGGCACGCAATTGAAGAATGGGCATTAAATGATCCTAGAACATTGTCCAAACGCCAGATGCTAAATCCAGAAGTAAAACGCTCATTCGATGGTGCATTCAACATGCATTCTGAATAAGTTGTAGACGTTACAAGGTCAGAGCGCAGGCAATAAACAGCATGTTTTGGTGGTGGATGTTTTCCTATATTTGCCACACAACCCATTGAAGTATACCCTGGAGGCGCAACTGGCATCCAAAGGGAACAATCACTGTCAACGTCAGAATGGCCATCCACTCCTTCCAATTCAAGGACATGAGAGAGAAAGCCAATAAGATTAAAACCCACTGGCTTCCGCACACGTCCATATGTATTACTTACTGCTAGTACTGCCTGTGAAGGAGGAATTGGCCTGGAGAACGGTACAAAGAAAAGCATATTAATAGTAAAAAACCAAGATATTGATTAAAAATGTAAATTTTGCTGATACAAAAATAATTACAAGAAAAACACTATTTACATTGAGAACAAGCGGATAACATCTTCTTCAAAAAGTAAATTCAGTGCAAGGAACATTAGCCAGGACAGAGATCATTAAGTAAAATCAGCCAATGACCAAATTTAAAAAAAAAAAAAAAGAAAGAAAAGAGTGAACAGAAATATAAAAGTGCATCAAAATTTCATACAGGAGACAAATACTAGTTTTCAAATCATGAAATTCTACTGAACCTAAGACTCCTACTAAATAATACTAGAACTGTCAAGCATTTCCATCTTAAAATATCAAAAAGAAGAATAAATACTCACTTCAAAGACACCTTTCTAGCCCCACTTCCCAGTCATAATCTCTCTTGGCCAACAACCATTTCCCTAGAAATGCCCAAAAACGCAAGACCCATGGACAGAAACCCAGCCTAAAAACTAAGACACAGCACACCCAACTCATCCTCAGAAAAAGCCCATAAATCAATCCCATGAAGATAGGTGTCACCAGCATGGACCAGGAATCGGTTTAAATTTATAGTTTAATAGATGATTAACCAAAATTACCAACCTAAAACGAATTCCAGTATGAAAGAAAACAGAAACAAAGAGCCTTGAACCTCAAAGCCTTTAACCATAATTGGAACATGGAAAATCTTGGTTTACCTGGATGTCACACAATCTCCCAATATAACATAGTTTGATGGAGCTTGTGGCCTCCAAATGGTAAGATTGTTATGAGATCCATTCTCTGCAGATATGATAAAACAAGATGGAAAGAGAAAACCACAAAAATTTTAAAAAAAAGTCAGATAAAGCATCAGACTACTTCAACTCAATTGAAGAAAACCTTTAGGTGACACCCAAATTCTGTCAAAATTGATGCAGGGAGCCAGAGGAATTGCATTTCCAAATTGTAAGGCCGCAGCTGCTTGGTTCTGAAGGTTAAGTAGAAGAGATATTGCACCTAATGATAGATGAATACAAATATCGGTTAACATCAGAGACATGTTTGTTTTCTCTTTAATGGATGTATATCCCCCCGAAATATCCAGTGGATCCAGAATGATAAGACCAGAACCAGCCTCAACAGTCAGATCCTTCACCAGGGCACGAATCCAGGTGTCATTTTCCTTTGATGCGTACCTGTTCATAAGATAAATGCACAAAGACAAACAAAACTATTTACATTATACTGTTTAATTTTCATTAAAATAGCACAAGGATATTGTTCAAAAACCATACATGAAATAAAACAGAACATTTGGCAAAATAAAAGGGAAAAAAAAAAAATATATATATATATATATATATATATAGAGAGAGAGAGAGAGAGAATGCTGACACTAATATAGAAATTCCTGAATAACATAACAACATTCATGTCAATAGGACATATCATCAGTCAAGTATCTTAATAGTTCTGCACAAGACATTTACACAACTTGCACAGATAAGTTCTGTTAAAAAAAATTAAGCAAAACTGTAATAATAGTTACTTTCTTTTTAAGTTAGAATAAAATTGAAACTGAAAGCAGTCATGTCAGCTTGATAAATAAGTTACGGAAGAGCAAATCTGTTCACTGAACTATACTTACCAAACGAGCATCATTACAAAGAGTAAAGAAAGAATAGTAAGTACATCATCATGTACTAATTGACTTCAGGATTAATGTTCTTTGACAGAAGGAAATAAACAAATACGCACAGACATAATGCAGGCTTTGACTTCCAGGTTACAGTCTCTTCTACATAGGGAAAATTAGCATTCATGGATTCCATCCATTTATCCCACCATCCATACATTGGGTAAATCAAGATATCCATACACATTATGGGCTACTCCAACTTTACCTTTCCTCCTAGCATTCTTTCATACTAAACAGCAGAAAATAAAATCCCTTCGAGATATCAATTATTGCCTCTTAGCATGCACCATCAAAATGAAAATAACCATCAGAAGATACAAAAATATTCAACCAAGATCTAATGCTACTCTTACATGAAGTTCAAATCCATTTTTGCGCGTAAAAGCTTTTCACCGTAAGATGAATTGTCCAGACAAGACTTGGTGCCATCAAAGAATGTGAACTCTGGAGAAACAACCTAACAACAGATAAGTTATTTTAATCAGGTACTGTCAAATGAGGAAAATTAAAGTTCAAGAATGATGAGAAATGGATCCTTATTAGCCAAGTAATATAACCAGATCAAAGACCATATCAAAGAAAAAACATACAATTCAACAATAAATGTATTTCCAATACTATCATCTCAAACCAAGGAATCTACACTCAACTGCTTGATAATACTAATGCATGCACAGTGCAAGAATCATTAAGCTGAGAACTCTAGCAACAGCAAGGACAATTAAGTAAGGTCTCTAAACAAAGCCCAATGTTTAAGCTAAGTAGACCACAAGTCCATCGTGCCAGTGGGCTATAAATGGATACTTTCACAAATTCAGACATACTGACGTTTGGTCAACTTAGCTCCACATACACAAGCATGGAGCTTTCTGTAAGCCACTGCTACTCTTTCCGAGGAAGAGCAGTTTACAACATTGTAAGAAATACATATCTGATCCCCAAGGGGATGCCTATTCCATCAAGTTAGTGGTTGTTTCATTTAGTTTCCTAACAATCTATTTCATCATTTGCAGCATCAGAGAGACAGATTTCTGAAAATAACACATTCAAACTCTGAAGCAACAGTTCAAAAAGCCAACAGAAGAATGATTGCAGCAGAGGGTAGGCAAAACAATATGAGATGTATGCAGATGCATATTATTGAAAATCTTTCCTTCCCATAAACTGCTTCATTTCAATAGTTAACTGCATAGCAAGAAATAGGATACAACGACATTCCAAAACCATGTCCAAAGGGAAGAGACGTTGTCAAACCAATGTTTTTATAACATACACTTTACAGAATGAAACCAGAACAAGCATAAATAATTCATGCTAATACAGTACAAAAAGTTCAAGAATGTGAAGTTTAGACAGCAGCAATCCCAGAAGAGTACTCTAGAGCAAAACTTATTTGCTTAATTATTAGCTTTAAAGAAGAGAAAAGCTACCATAAAACCAAATAAAAGGATCATAGAGTTCATGGTTTTAAAAGAGGGGGGGGGGGGAAGGGGAGTAAGTGCTGGTAGCAGAATCGAATCAGAGCAGGAAAATCTGAATACAAACAAACAATGTGGACTTTAATGTGAAAAGCCCACAACTATAAGTTTTTAAAAAGCAAGAACTTTTAACAGAATTATACCTACCTGTGCTTCAAAAGTGAAACTCTGCATAAGATTTGGGTCTTGTAAATATGAAGTAGTCTTTGGAGTGTTTATTAACTCCATATTTTCTACAATCTTCTTGTCATCATCGGAACTTAAATTATCCATCAACAATATGTCAACATCATCTTCTGGTGAGACTGAATAGCTGCTATCATTGCTCAAGTACGTATACTTTCTCAAAAGAGAACCATTCTGATGAATGAAGAAATTTTGAAAAATATAGCATTTAGAATCAAGAAGCTTTAAAATGCAGAAAATTCTAAAGAAAATTACATATGAAAGCGATTCTCAATCATGACCATCAAGTACCCCATTAACACAAACATCAAGCATAAACTTTGCTCTTCATATAAAGTGTGACACAAGCAAAGAATAACTCAACTATAAGATAAAGGCTGTAAGAATGAGTTTGTGCACGAGAGAGACGGAGTGAGAATATCATTCTGAGTTACAACACTGTTGGAACTTCATATTATTGAAGCCAAACCATATTTGTCAGTATGTAAAATTTATAAATTTCATACTTTAGAGGCGTGTCAATCAAATAAGCAAATAAGGAATGAAAGCCAAGATCAATTTGTCAATGCCCACACATATTCTCGTCTCACTGGAATTGACCATTAACTGGTACTACTACTATTTTAGAGTGATCATTTAGGATTAGTTGTGAAATACCATGTACTTTGTTCAGAATGATTATGCGGTTGGCTATTTTCTATGCTGACAAAAATGCAATACAACTCAGACATACAAGCACTTGAACTCAGAAATATTCCAGTTCATGTCCCCACCATTTCTCATTGATGTTTCTTTTACACAAAGTAGCTGAAAGACTTCTAATTAAACTCAAAAGTGCAGAAGCACAAATACCTCAATTTTTACGTTGACAAATCGCAACCTCTTACCACGTCCGATGATCACAATAGGACGAAATCTTGCAGAGTGCAACTCCTTCACATCCTTATCTTCACTTAAAAAGATAGTCTTTCCACAACCATCATATGTATACTCATCAATGCCATGGGTATCAGCAACCAACTGTCTACTCGGTGACAAGTGCACAACATCTTTATTCTGTTTATAAATACTATCAGAAAGCACAATGCCATTGTTTTTACTTATTGGATCATTCTTCGGGTCCATTGTTTCTTCCCTTCCAGTTATTGCCCCCAACGCTGGCACAAAAAACTCACCTAAAGCAAGAAGGAAATCTGGCACAACAAGTACTCTAGGCTGCTGAACTCGAAGCACAAATGATTGGGAATACAATCGCCATCTGAAATCCATCAAGAACATTGTTGAAATTGGTACATCCAAGTCAGGACCAGCTGCCGAATTCACTCTGCTAAAGCTGTTCTTGTTTAAGAAGTATGGAAAGTTTCCAGTGGAAGCTTGTTTGGAAGCATCAGTAGACGATCCAAGCATGAGGCGCATTTCAGGCTTTGTATTGGAGCGGATATCCAGAATAGAAAATGTGGGAATAGTCACATACAAATCTGTTTCTGACAATGAAGTCATGCGGTATGATACCCAAAGACCTTCTAGCTAAAAAAAGCAAGAAAGAGTACAAGTAAGTGAAGGCATGCAACATTCAATAAATAAAAAACATCCATTTAAAGCTGTTGGCTTTTTGCTTAACTACAAACAATGCATGCTTAGCCAAGAAACAAGCATTACATAAGCAAACAAAATATCTAGCCACAAAAGAAACAATAACAATAATAATTAATAAATATCAATACTCACAGCTATACGAGCTAAAGGTGATTCCTCATGAATGCCATTACACAACTCCAACAAAGCATAATTGACTTCAACTGCCACAATGGTTACACTCCGTGATAGAAGCATCTGACCATTCATGTTGACCTTATCAACTAGTAGCCGCATTGTATCTTTAGAACCAGATTTGCTGCCACGGAAACTTGGAGGGAGCCTTGGGGCTTCATTTAAATTCATCATTGTACAATTCAGAATAACATCATATTCTCTATCAGACATTACACCATGCAAAAAACCAACCTGCAAAGAACATCAAAAGGAATTTACTGAAGAATTATAAAGTAACTAATAAAAAGGAACCTCAAAAGGAATCACCAGGAAGATTCTCCAATCCAAGAAAGTCAAATTCATCAAATAATCAAGATATGGTATAAACTTATGAAATGAAATTAAATAATATTAAGAGTTTAAAATTATGAAAAATAAAGGAAGGGATACACTCTTGATATTTGACAATATATAATGAAATAAAATTTGAAATAATGTAGCCTCAATTAGTATAATGAAATAAAATTTGAAATAATGTTGCCTCTATTAGCGTAAGGCTGGCCGCCAGATCTAGAAAGCATTGTAAAATATAGGTAAGAAAAGAGTTCTAAAAGAAAATGACTGTGAATTGCCCATTTTTACACTTAGATCTCTCAGTGGTGCTATAATCAAAACCAGTTTGGCAGTTTGAGACAGCTTATTATGTATTCATATAATGACTAAAAAAAAGATTTATGTTTGGGTTGGCTGCTTCAATATGAAGAATTTACACTACCATCTAATATGAATACATGCACCGATGCACCTTTCACAAGGTAACTGTATGCAAGTATCAACAGCAAGAACTTAGATTAGGCCCAGTGTGCAAAGGTTTGCAGCCATCATTAAGGGAAAAACTACAAATTGCTACAGGGGAAAAAGACTTAAATGCCAGATATAGTTTCCACAGTTTTCAGTTTGAAGGAAACAATTAACCAGTATGCACATTAAAAGAAACTAACAAACCAGTATGCACACCAATCTAACAAAAGGGAGCAGCCACTATAATCTTTAAAATAAAAAGAAACAGAAGAAAAGACTTAGTTACAGAACACTAAAATATTTCAAGTTTAAAGATCACCTTAACTTCCAAAGCAAACGTTGGGACTTTTCTAAAAACATCCCTCAAACTCCTTCGAACACAAACATCAAGTCCTCTGCCTTCACGAATCAGTGGTTTACCAATACAACCATCAATTCCCACAGACATGTTTAATCCAAGAATCTGCAAATTTAAGACAGTTTTAACCATAGCTCAATACTCAAATTTGTGGTACTATATAATCATAAGCAATGTACCTCAACATGAAGAATATCAAGATGAACAGCTGAAGGATCTTTTTCAGGAAAACCATGCCAACTTATTTCATTTGTGACCTTTAGCAGACCCACATCGAGTTGAATGAAGCTGCAGTAAGAAATATATTACTAATGTTCACACTATAAAATAATACAGAAATCTTGGAAAGTTTAATTTCTACTAAAAGGGACCATATAAAAACAGTCCTCTGTTTCAGTTTTGTAAGCCTACGAAGAATAAGTGGAAAAAAAAGGAACACCAAAAGGGGCAAATGACATTCAAACTCGGACCTATGAAACAAACAGAAAGAGAAATTTTGAATAGAGACATGATATTACAAAGGGGGGAACTTCACAGGATACAATATGCAAACCAAGAAATGTGCTATTCAAACAGTGTTACAGCGCCAATTGAAACATGTGAAATTCTATATATGCAGCCGCCTTTTTGCTCCTTACAACCAAAAAATTAAATTTTTTTATGACAAAATTATCCCAAAGGTAATTACCTAATTATCCTTGCTGAAATTACTTCTGAATCCTTCAACCACACACTTAATCCTTTCGCAATTCCAAAAAAAAATTGCACATTCCAGATATTTATTGCTGGATACTTAGGTAGCTTATGGAAACAAAATTCCGTATATGTAGACAATTTTCGAAAATGCACATCCATGTGTATTGTTTATATGGCATACAGAAGCACATCCGAAAAGTTTAAGTTTCAACTTTTCCAGAAATACATATCCAGAAAATTTTCCCTCTTCTAGAAACGCATATCCAGAAAAATTAAAACTTTCCGGATATGCATTTCGAGAAAGGTTAGAAATGTAAATTTGATATGATTCAATTGGTTGTCTAGAGTAATTTTTCTTTAAACTGTGTTTAAAATTTGATTGTATTTAGCATTTGGCTGTAAACATAATTCAAAAGCTACTCACAATTCTAGAAAACATGGATCCTATTGGCAGAAAATAGTTTGTTATATATAAGCTAGATAAATTCATGCTCACATGAATTGCTAACAACCTAGCATAAAGTAAATGGAACTGAGGAAAATGGATCTGAGGAAAACAGTTCTTCACCTTTCAAGTTTTTCTATACAATGTTGAAACCTGTTTAATGCAGATTTTGGAAGATATTGCCAAGATAATAGTTTTATTAAGAGCTAACAGAGTATTAAACGTACTCTTTGCTCATTGAATTCCTTGGAACAATAATTATCGGAGCATCAAGTGTGAGATCCAGTTTCAAAGCAGCAGCCCCATCAATTTCAGATTTCTGAATTAACCACTCAAAATCACCAACTTTATCAACAAGTTTTATTACTTCTTCAGTATGTGGGGTGGCAAGTTCCATAAAATAAACTGTTATCTGCAGAATCAAGTTTCCAGTCATTTATAGACAAAATATCAAATATTGTGATAAGAACAAGATAAAGAAGAGTAGCTTGTGAATAAGTGAACAACTAGACAAGTACAACTCAAAAATTAAAAATGTTGGCTATTTGTGAATAAGCAAACTTCAATTGTTAAAATGTTAACCATAATACAATGATGTCAATGCTACAACTGCATATAGGTCAAACTGTATCCAAGCATACCTCCTGAACAAACCTATAAAGAAAAACAATTCGAACAGCAGAAAGTCGCCCACACAAGCTGTAATCATACCCTGCATAGTCATCATCTCCAGCACTGAAAGAATTGAATTTGAACTGGAAAAAGGAAAAATGCAAAGTAAGCAAACAAGCATTCAACCGAAAGTAATCAAAATGCCTCATATGGCAGTAAACATATATCGGTGTACGTAACAATGTACCTTTATAAGGGATTCAACCCCTGGGTTACGTATATCACATAGCCAACCCAAGCAGTCATCTGTTCCAAGTGACATATCTCGGAGTCTCAAATTTCCCAATGTGCCTTCAATAGAAAGGGATGCAGGATGGACCTTAATAGGAAAATTTTAAAAAATAAAGTCAGAAAATAGAAAATTTATGGAACCAAATCCTAAGTCACATATGCAGAAGAAATTTGAAAATACAGTTGAGTTGCCAGAGTTTATAAATGTAATAAAATCAAAATAAAAAATGAGAATCGGATTCATATTGCAAAAGAGAAACCAGAAAAGAAAAAGCATTATTGGGTGATTTAACAAGATGCCTCTCTTCACCTTAAGATCTAACAGGAAACTTTCCTGCACAAACATTGCCAGCTGAGATCCGTCCTCCTCGTTAAGAAACACAGTGACACTATCAACATTCATGTTCAAATAAAATACAACACGAGCTTTACCATACCCCAGCAACCCTTCAATACGACCACTTTCTTCAGCCTTTTCTTTGCTCATCAAAGATTTATCATCCAAAGCTTCATTTACATCTGTAACACTAGCTGCATAACTCATAGAGCCTAGATCAAAGCCAAAACCAATCAAAGCAACTAGGGTGGGTCTGTTGCAAAAAAACTCCAGCTTGGACATGCAAATACTCATCTGAAAGATTCAATTGAACTAATTAGCTGTGTCATTAACACAAATTCAGTCAAGGAAATTCAACTGGACGCCAATGATGCTCATTCTATATACCTGTGTGTCTATACCATCATAAACAGGTGAACCAGAACCCCTCCTTGAGAAAGTAACAGATACAAAATCCAAATCATCACCACCTTGAGCTTCATAAAATATCTCTCCAGAAAGTCCCTTTTCTTGTACCAAATCATTTTCATGAATTAACACTTTAGCAGACTCAAATCCAAAGGTATCCTTCATATCCATATATTGTGAAAGAGCATCAGAATCTGTCAGAAACATAAATTCAGGCAGAGCATCCTTAAAAGTATCATCATCATCTGGGTGCACCCAAGACATCTCATTTCCATGCAGATCATATGTTCGATGGGATTCAAGTGAACTGTCATTTTTCAGCACAGAGCAGGCTAGGTACTCTGGATTGCCCGACAGACGACCTTGAAGCTCATCCTTAATTTTCAAAGAATGCAGCTTTGTCTTCACCATTAGGTCACTCCCACAACTAATCATTTTTACCTGTTAAAAGATATTGCCGAATGGGTAATAGCAACAAATGGACCATAAATCATTTTTACCTGTTAAAAGTTATTGCTGAATGGGTAATAGCAAAAAATAGACCAATAGGTAATGCATTGGAACTAAATATAGCTGTTTAGGATTGAAAAAAATTTTAAAAGATATTAAATGCTTTAGTGAGAGAAAACAAATTACAGTAGTAAGAAATCAACATAAAAGACTAGCAAGTTGGTATCTCTGCTAGGGATTCCAACAGGCATGCAGACAGACCCACTCAAAGTAAAATAAAGCATAAAGAAAGCACATGCACAATATCTTCTATTTGTTTGAGAACGTTGAAATATGTTTATTTTTAAGGCATAAAGAAATACATCAGTATATTCATTTGAGAATGTTGAAAGAAATAACCAGCTACATGGCCATTTGCCCAGACCAAGATCTATTTTTAGGGCATACAGAAAGCTAACTCCTCTTTTGGAAATTAATGGTATTTCAGTTACTGAAAATATCAAGTTTTAATGTTATAGTGCATGCTGACCTGACTAGATTTGTACATAAGAAATCATATGAATATATATCTTTCCTTTCCCATTACTGTAATTTGACAATGCATATAAGCACCTCATTAAGGACAATCTTTAAAAGCACATTCAGTTTTTATTTCTTTGTATTCAATCATTAAGGGGAAAAAGAACACTGATTCCTAAGTGGGACTGAACCGGCAACCTCAACTTGAACAAGTCTATCACAAGGTAAGGAGACATCATTCAACTCTAAGATGATTGGATGAGACAGAATTTACAACTGTGCTTAAATAGTATGTGTGAATGTCGTATCAAGAAAACTTGTTTTACAAGATAAATATCCTAGTCCAGAAATAAAAGCTAGAACCAGCTGAGCATATTCCAAATGAGAAATTAGTAGAAAAAAATAGAATAGATAAGTCCTCAGGAATAAACTTCCTGTGTGATGGTAAGCTACAACTCACGAATAAGGCATACAAAATATCTACATCAGAGTTCAAAAAGAGAAAAAAAATGGTTCCACTGCAATTCTACCACGATTCAAAAACAGCAGCAGTATGACAGAAATCCTGAGAATAAAAGGCTTCAGATATAGATGCCATCTGCACCTCCCATCTCAGGAAAAGTTACAAGCAAGATGACAATATGTTTACTGCCACTGTCTCCAATTTCAGATCACCAAAAGAAGGGGTCTCCTCAAAGTTACTGAAAATTAATATGCATGATATTTTACTCCATTAAGTTCCATCTATGCCATATCTCAAGGTATAGTTCGGTTAGGCTGGACTCCACAATCATCAGCACAATTCAAAGATGTAGCCCCCTAGATAACAATAGAATAAACCTAATTTTCTTGGATACTTTGATGCTACCCATAAATGCCATAATTAAGAAATGAAAAATGGATAAGAAAAAGTTTTTTAAAATAAAGGAACAAATTCAAAAAATGTGAGTTGGACTCCTTTTTAAAATATCTCAGTTATTGTTCCTATTAATGATTCCAAATTGGTTTACATTATACCACCATAAAATAGCCCTAAATAGCAACAGGAAATCACAAACCTTTCCGCCACTAGCAAGAACCTCAAGAATCAGTAACTCTTCTAGTTTCTCTGCAACACCCTCTCCTGTCTGCAAAATGGTATAAAAGTTTGATTGCTCAATCAGTAGATATTGTAATGGGAGTTTCTAAATGCACCCCACCTTTCCCCTCTTTACACCCATTTTATTTTTTTAAATTATCTTTAAGTGAAATTACTTAATTATCCTTCACACTTGTAAAAGTTTCCGCATATCCATATCCGGTAAGTCAAATAACTTACCAGAAATGCATATCCAATAAGTTGTATTGCTTACTAGATATGCATTTCCAGTATGCGATACAACTTACCAGAAATGCATATCCGATAAGTTATTTAAAACTAGAAAAACCCTAAACCATAATCCTTAAACTCTGAATTCTAAATCCAAAAACCCTAAACTCTAAACCCTAAATCCAAAAATTCAATTAAGGAAAAAGAACCCTAAACTCTCAATCTTAATCTCATCAAGCAGAAATATCATAAGAATTTCCACAAGATTGTAAAAAAGACAATTTGTTTCAAATAATTATAAGTTCTTACAAATTAATAGACACAAACTATATAATACCTTATTATAGCATGAGTCTTTGAATTTCTTCTTGATTTCAACGATCTAAGGGAGGGGAACAACCAATACTCCTAATGAGATTCCTAAGCCTTAGAGTCAGAAAGTTTTAAAAGCTTTCAGATAGTAAATCCGGAAGTTTTTAAAAGCTTCTGGATATGCATATCTGAGAGCATTTAAAAGCTTATGGATTCACATATCCAGAAACTTTTAAAATTTTCTAAGGATGGGTAATTAAGTAATTTCGTTGAGAGATAATTTTGAAAAAAAAAAGCTAGGTGTGGAAAGTAAAAAGAGTGGTGCAAATAGAACCACTCTACGGTAACAGACATTACAATAAAGACATTGGCTAAGTAACAAAAAGTTAGTTCTGGCCAGAAGTCATCACGTAGCCATCATGCATTTAAGAAGTTGTACAACCACTAACCTTTCCATATATGCATAACTTTGTTTCCAAAACTGCCCCATAAATAACAAGGTCTGCAGCCTTTGAATTCGTTGTTTGAGGATCATCAGATTCACTTATATCATCACTTTTTTCTCCAAGCAAATCAACAGAGGGAGGAGCCTACATGAATAGGAAGTCCAAGTAATAAGCACCTACAAAAAATATATAAACCAAAAGAATGAAAAGGAAATGTAATATCATCATACAGAAGCTTGATATGTGGCTTGTATAAGCCCTCTCAACCAAGTGATCTTCTCTTCCTCCCCTCGGAATTCAATAACCCAGGTACCTGAAGACTCCAAAGCCTAGAAAAGACATTCATGTTTTCAATAAGGAAAGAAAAACAAATATTGAAATCCGTGCAACAGCACAATAACATAAAACATAGGTATAATAGTATGCTTGACATGATTCAAGCATGGTACCTTTTAGTGCTTTTGTTTTACCTTTCAAAATACAAAAAAAAAAAAAAAAAAAAAAAAAGCTAAACTTTTCCATAAAAATAACTAAATACCCATGCTATATGATTTGTAAATGAATCATAACTATAAAGTTTATATTAGATAATGAATAAAATAATTTTACCTTATACAATGCATATATTTAATGTAAGGATCCCCTCATATAATGAGAGAAATGAGTACATATAATGGACATTACACAGTTTCCTTTTATGATGCGCATACTAATTGCATAGTAATCTTATGATATACGCAGATGCTTCCTTTGGTCTTGTTTAATTTTTCTTAAATACTGAACTTTGACATCTATTTCTTGTAGATAATGCTTATAAATTAATCTTTACAACCCAAAGACATGCTAGTTATTAACAAAACTATTTACTTACAACCAAAAAGAAAAAATAGGCCTCAAACTCTAAAGTTCTGTATAATGACAACATACAATGAACTTTTTTTCAAGAATAGACATTAGCATCAAACTCTAACCCCCTTCCTTTCTAGTTAATATCATTTCCAACCTATTTTTGTCACTCATTCTGAACTAGTTCTTGATGCAGAATTCCTTATCTTTGCAATTCCTGATACAGAAAGGGAGATAACTTGCAAAACGTTTTACAACTTAACATGAGTGTGTTAATTAAAAGATTTCAAGAATTAGAATAAAACACAATAGTTTCAGACAACCAGCTATCACTGAGAGGCGAGAATTATTCTGGTTCAGTTTAATGAGACATCTAGCAACGAAACATAAGTTTGGCCACAAGACCAAAGGACTCACCTTCTGAGCGTCCATCCCTCTTGGACTCACAGCAATACAAAATGGAGACCCACCAATATTTGTCAATGGAATCTCATGCACCTGTCTTCCAGCCATGCTGCAGGATTCCAAAATTAAAATTTAGATTAAGAATTCCTAAAAATGCCATAGGGACTATCAAATAAAAAGGGAAAACCAGTGAATATTCAAAAAGAGGCAGCAAAAACTGCTGACTATCCTACAGATTAACAACCACCTAGCCAAGGAACAAAGGCAAAGAGACAAGGAAAGCCACAAACCTCAAGTACCGCTGGTGGGTCTGAGATTTTTCAGATTCGAAGACATAAAGATAGAATCTAGATAATACAACAAAACAGGGCTGCCATGAAGCAACGGAGTTTCCAATACCCTGAACCAACAAAGTTAATAATGGTTAAAATCAGATGCATACGGGAGGCAAGTGCAACTATAGAAGTAGCTATTTAAATGGAGTTAATAGCCAACCCGCCAAACTAGGATTTTAGCATCAGTGGCAAGATCTGCAGCACTCCAAGGAGCCAGTCCAGCGTGGAAATCAACAACACCAGGCTGAACACAGGGATCCATAGCAACAGATACTATGTCCAACAGTTCCATAAGTCTGCAGTATCTCACTGGTGAAAAGTGAATGCCAAGATTTGGCACTTGAACAGACACATGAGTTGATGGGTAACTTGGGTGAGGAACTTTAATCTGCAGTACCAGTACACAAGTATAGCAGATGTGAGTTCTCTTTCTAGAATTTCAGTATGAAACTCATCTTGTGATAGGTGTTACTTGATGCAAAAAAATAATAATAATAAAAAATCATACCTGATCAACAACTACTGCAATTCCACACCTGTCAATAAGAGAATAGAAATTGTCCACCTTCTCCAACCCAGGAGACATCACCATTGATTGATTACTAGAATTTGGTTTGACCAAAGTGAAGTTCTGGCAATCATAACCACAATCTGTAAAAAAAGCAGCAATATCCCTTCCAGATACGTAGAGACGAGAATAGATATTCTGCCTCTGTTCATCAGACTGAGTCTCCTGCCATGATGATTAATTATTTAAGCAAAGAAATGTAATTAATGGCAATTTGAGAGATCAATAGTTAATACACATACCACGGTCTGCAATGTAAAATGACCAAAATCCAAAATAAAATGGCTGTCATATTTGGAAGAGCCATGTGTCCTTAGAGGAATCCTAACTTTTGGAGCATCAAGATCAATGTCCAGAGCAAATCTGAGAGACCAAGCAGAAAAGTAAATAATCTTAGAAAAACCATCATGCTTTTCTACTGAACAAGGCAAAGGAAGCAAAAAAAATTAAAATCCAGCTTCACAATAGTTACCCAAAGTTATTTCCCATGGTAACAATTTGAATTCTACCATATATAAAATTTTTATGCCCCACATATCCCTAGCTAAAAATCAAGAAAACACAACTTAACAAACTAATTTAAAGTATGCATAGGTCTGAAACATAAACTCCGTTACTTAAACTTCATGACAATAAATAATAAAAATATTAAGAAAGAATTGTCCTACATCTCAAGGTTTGCAGGAAAAAATATCAAATATTAATCCAGACTCATCAAGAAGGAAAAAAAGAGAAGGTATGCATAAAAAAGGACATCGCAGAGATACTTCTTATTCTTTTCTTTTTCAATTTTCAACTTTTGGGGATATTAAAACATCAACCTCTTTTAGAGTAATATTATAACCACACAAAATCAGTTAGCTTCCTTTTCATTGTAAGACAAGTTTAAAATCGCTTCTCAACCTGAACTTACACATCTTTTTTTGACAAGCTCTGAACTTACACTGACATGGACTTCTTGCAACTTTAAATGCCCAAAAATTTTCAATAGATACCAGGTCCATGAAACAATACCAAACCACGCATCAATGTCGGTCTTCATTTCAATCATATGAAATTTAGTATGACTTGCATCTAGATTATATGATGGCACAGCAACCCCCCAAAAACATGACCTATAATGACATAATTTACATAAAAAGCCAACCTTGTCCATGTGCCAGATATAATTTAGGTAACTTCATCTCCTTCTGTCTCAATTTATGCCCATCAACAACTAACTGATGTCAACATCTATAATGTCTTTCATCTATTACTCATCCACAGCAATGCATCCTTAATAAACAATCATTTCATAGACATGTTTCCCGACTTCAAGCCCTTTGCACCAGAATGCATCACTATCTTATTCCCATTGTACATCTTCCAATTGGTATATCAAATGAGATACAAAGCAAAAAACATAATACCAAGTGATAAAAATGCACTAATATTAGAATGATCAAACAAATGAGAAATGAAGAACACAATTGAAAGTAGAAATAAACATTTAACCTGCTTTGTTCCTCTAACACTGTTTGAAACTGCTCCTGCGCTCTACGAGTCACTTTTTCGATCCTTGTCTACCATTGGTTTCAAATAATGATCAGCATACAGAATAACAGAGGATGTTGCTATGCTCATTCTATTAATGTCATTACCTGCAATGCGGTAGCAGTTTCCAAAGCAACAGTTGGACTAACTGCATTACTCCTCTTTACAAACTCAAAAAAGCGATCACAACTTTCCTTCAAAACCTGCAAAAAGCCATAAGAATTTATCAAGCCTCTGATAAGAGAGGATTAAACTAACTAAAAGATGATAGAGAAAGTAAATAAAGGATCACTTGCCAAATGCATTTACAATTATAGTGCAAATAATGGATTATCTCAAAAAGTAATAAATTTTCTAATCACCAGGAAGAGGCAATAAACTACAATATAAACATCAGAGGGAGTGGGGAAAAAAAAAAAAGACAACAAATTTAGAAACCCCAAGCTCATATCTTAAAATTAAAAGGCAACAATGTCAATTTTAAAGCTAGAAACAATGTCTCTACATATAGACTGTCATGTATGAAGAAGTTAGCCAATAAATATTATCCAGATTAACAATCAATCTAATCCAGAAGCACACAAAAAATTAGACCAGAAACTTTTACAACATGAACTTAATAGTTTCGTCATGAATTAGAATGGTATTTATATGCCGTGTTAAGAAGGCTTCACAAGATCTAGTGGAAGTACCAAGTTCACTCTATTACATCAACTGAGAGACGAATACAAACTATATCACTCCTCAGCCACTAGTCAACTAGACATTTCATAAGTCAGTCAGGGACTACCCTTTTCAATGCCATATTTTAACCAAGATGAGAAATTTTATGAATCTATAAAGGATTATTACTACCTCACAAAAGTCGCCAAACTCCTAACTGAAAAGGCTTGGAGCCAATTTTGGAGATCATTAAAACAGCATTATCATAGTTAACAGATCTACAGGATGGGTGATGCAAGTAACCAGATCCATCTATAAATTGATACACACAGAGTCATCCCCTTTTTCCTTATAGGATCAAAGAAAATACCGTAACATGGCAGGGGGAAATTGTAGCCGACAACCTCCAATCAACATTCTCTCCTACTGGTAAGCGTACAAAACTAGCAGTTAATGCATTAACCTTTTGCTCACTGCAGACACTCTGCAGGAAAAGACCAAAATCAGGCAATATACATATATATATATATATATATCAGTGTGTGTGTGTGTGTGTACGTATTATACATATATATGTGTGTGTGTGTGCGTGTATACATACATACATACATATATATATATATATATATATATACATGGCTGCAATCTGGCAACAGCATACAGTTTGAATCTGTTAAAAAAATGAGTTAACTTTTTGAAGGAAAAATGGACATAAAGAAGTATATTAAAATATCAATCCAAAATAAACTAGTTAAAAACATGCTTGCTATCTAAAATTTAAAAAAAAAAAAAAAAAAAAAAAAGCAGGTTGATATGCTTATATATCTTAATTAGGAATCTTTAGTTGTCATCAACTAAGGACCTGTCAGAAGAAACAGCTCAAAACATGGTACTAAAACAAACCTGAGCAATTGAACCTTCAGGGGCTGACACACCATAGAATCTTAACCTTACATCGCAATGGGTACTGCGATGTTTAAACTTCGCTGACACATTAAGTTGTTCAAATCTACCACAAACAATCTCTGTCTGGTTTATATTGATGATCCTCACAGCAGCTTGACTAATAGATACAGTTACCAAATGCCGGATCATGTTCTGCAAGTCTTTCCCCGAATGTGACATAAAGTCCTCATCTGGCTGGTAACTGAGTAACTTATTGATTGCCTGCCATTCTTCTTTAGTCAGCCTTTCCTCTGTTAACTGTGATCCATCCAAAGCATTCCCATCAGACGCATCTTCAGATTGCGTACGCCTGAGATTAAAGATGAATAGAATTTGCAAAGAAGTTAGCGTTGGGGGAAAAACTAAAAACAAAATCATAACAGAACTCGATAACAAAACCAAGGTAATATTTTTACATTTCCACCCACCATCTCAATGAAAACCAACTTTTCTTCTGAAGCCTTCTCCGTTCAGCTGCTTCCTTTGACTTTACAGATTCAACCTTGGCATGTGCAAGTAACCTAATTCATCCAAGTAGAAATGGAAAATGTTGAACATTAGATGGGGATGAAGAAAAAAATTGTTAAACAATGAGCTGTACATTAATACCCTTGATCATTTCTAATAACAGAATTGCATGTATAAACCTGAAGCAACCTACTCAATAATTGAATAAAACTTCATCATATAAATGGAACAAAGCATGGTCTAATCCTAGAGAGTATTTGAACATAAAGAAAATTATGACCAAGGAACAGACCAAGAGAAAACACTCATAATAGCGTATCTCTCTCTCTTTGGTAAGCCATGGCAGATTCCATAGCCTGACTGGCCATATCTGTCCCTTGTCCGAAATCATTTGTTAACAATTTTCCCAGTGTATCTGGAGGCATATAACACATTTCCACCAATGTCAAATGCATTTCACCATGTCCATGCTTCACAGTGGAAAACATGACTGCCAGTTTCACTATCATCTAATTTCTTAAAATTATTCAGACAAAAATTTTTCCACTTTGAAAGAGATAATGATGCATAAATACAGCTAAATGGCAAGAACATTCATGTAGCAAGCACAAAAGCAGTAGGAACTTAAGGATGTTTTCTCATTGGTAGTGGTGGTTACTACTTACATCATACACCAAATAGCAAGTTAAGGTTGATACAGGACTATGAAGACTATTTTAACTAAAACAAACGTAAAAGTTATCAGCCTGCTAGACTGATAACTTTGTGCAATAATTACTTAATGGATGCATGATAATGAGTGCTCACAGTAAGCTACCCTATCTAGTTGCCACTTAAGCATAAATGAATTTGTGCAATAATTCCATAAACAATACCTTAACTCAACTAAGCCATGTTTTTCCTGAACTATTTAAAGATTGGTATGTCCAGCATGCATACCTTTAGTCCCAGCAAGGACCAAGTTTTACTTCATTTCAAATAGGGGAAGCAGAGAGTTAAGGCAAAGCTAAATCTTGTTACCTCCATAGAAGAATTACTTTTGAGTCAAGATCTTTCTCAATGTCTCTAACTTCAGAGTTTTCAACACTTGATGACTGTTGTAGCAAACTGGCATACAACTGAATGTAATGTCGACGAAGCTGGCACATATGCCAAATTCGATCCCACGAGAACCGATAGCTGAAATAATGGTACATTTTAAAGGGGAAAAACATTTACTCACACAGCAGCTGGTGAAGAGACAACTGATCTTGAAAAAATGTTGAATTCAAGTGTAATTCTTCAGATTATCAAACAACAGGTACTCTTACAAGTAATTATCAAATTAAAATATTTACAAAAAAGAGTACTGTCTGTACCACATTTTCCTCTGTTGCAGTGCAGCCTGAGCTGCATATTGCCACCACAAGAAATAAGACTCCTTCGATATTGGCACCACAGGTCTTAAATGGGAAATTTCAACATAAGTCCTATATCTTGAAATAACTTCTAAAAGTTTTATCCAATCATGATATTGTGCCTGTAAAAGGGGAGAAACAGGTTAACTTCAGGACTTGAATAGAAGAAGCCCTTCTCTTTCTCATTGTTTCTTGGTTGGCAATGCAAAGAAGAGTGAACCTTAAATCTATCTTATTCTCTAGAAAACAAAGAAAATGGAGAAATTAAAAATATATATGGGAAAAAAAAGGTATAGCAACCTCTGTAATAGTTAAGGAGACATCACTTAAGACAAGAGAAGCCTTCTCAAAAGGAATATCAGGATCATTTCTTTCTTGATTTCCAAGTCGATGATACTTAAGTACTCCATTGATTGGTGACACCAAGTAATTGCGATTCATAGCCCGCTTAGACACCACTTCACATTCAGCAGCAGGTTGATTTATACCATCTTCAAATACCTGGATAAACAACAATTTAGAAAGAAGTTGGAACATTTAAAATTTAGTGTAATGTTTCAGTTAACCTTCATCACACTACCACGATGAAAATCATGGAACTATGGAAGTAAATGAGATTATGATTCCACGTAAGCACCAAACCTCAATCCATTCTTTGGGACTAAGATCCTCCCATTTCTTATCCATCTTCCAAGGCAGGTTATCCGAATCATGATATATAGCAAGCCTCTCCAGTTGCAAAGACTGAAAATAAACTTCACAAGCATTAGCACAATAATTTTGTGTGTCATTCAAAAACAAAAGCAGCAGTAGCAATTATGACAAACCATTCACAAAGGCTAAACCTAAAAGGGAAAGTGGCAAAAAACTTAAAAGTTCAAACGGATTATGGGCCAATCATCTTCTCTCATTCAATTAAATGCGACAAACATTTGTTAAAATAAACCTTCAGTTTTGGCATGCATGTGGAATTGTTTAGACTATGCCAAACGTTTTCACATCCTAGTTTGACAATTCATCCTCTCCAAATATGGTATGATATCCAAATAAAAGATCATGTTTTTGAATTGAATTGAATTGAAAGAATTCAATAAAAAGAAAGAAAAATAAATTCTCATCATCTCTCGTTTCTCTAACCTCATAATCTACTAATCAAATTCAGTTGCAATGATGGATAACAAAAGTCCACAATTTAGAAGACTCATACCATCCTTATGGAAACTATATTCGCTGTTTTTTTTTTTTTTTTGGCCAAATATTCTCTGATATAGAATAATCATAAAAATGCATTTAACCTCACATATTCAGCGAGCCCAGATAATCAATTAATTGATTCTATGGGAAAACACTTAGTTACAGCTGGTTGTAATCTATATAGCTGATTGTAATCTGTATATATTTGTATCCCTAAAATTAAGAATTTGTATCTCTAGAATTAAAGACAAATTACTAGGATAGACAATCCCTTAATTATAGGGATCAGATTTAGGAATATTTAGTTTCCTAGTTTACCCTCTAGTTTGCTGTATATAAACCTATGGTGTTTGTATAATTCAACAGAGAAGTTTTCTATATACTCAGTTTTTCCACAGAGTTTTTCCGCATTTTTGCTTGACTTGATTTTTTCCCAATTGGTTTTTAAGTTGGATACTTAACATGGTATCAGAGGTTTAGGCTCTTCTTGGGAAGAAAATTTTTTCAGCTTTCATTGCTAAATTCTATTTCAGGCCTTCATAGCCAAATTCTGTTAAGTCTTTCATAGTCTTATTTTTTCCTTTTTGGCCTTCTTTGCCTAGAATTGTCTCTCATTAAATCTTTACTATCAAGACTCGTTTCAATCCTGAGAAAGATAACCATGTCAGAAATAGCAAACTCTACCGCTACAACCCAATTTGAGGAAGTGACAACTAGTCAAACCACAGGAGAACTACAAAATATACAAGCTGCATACAGATTGGATGCAAAAATCTACTTGAAGCGGTCTCAATTGGTTCAAAACTTTCTAAAAGGGAAAGGAAAATCGAGCCATCTTCTTGGTAGTGATACTGAGAGAGGATATCCAAAATTAGAGTCTTGGGATGAAGAGGATTCCATGGTTATGTCATGGCTGTGGAATTCTATGACACCAGATATTAGTGACACGTGCATGTTTTTGTCCACGGCCAAAGACATTTGGGAATCAATTTGGCAAACCTACTCCAAAGTTAGGGATGCTACTCAAATCTATGAGATAAAGATCAAGACTGCAGCTCTCAAACAAGCGAATAAGGCAGTCATAGAGTATGCTATTCTTCTAAAAAATCTTTGGCAAGAGATGGACCACTACCGGTGTATAGAAATGAAGTGCAGTGAAGATGCAGCAACTTTGAAGAAATTTATCGAAAAAGATTGAGTCTATGATTTTCTTGCTGGACTTAATGTTGAGTTTGATCAAGTCAAAGTCCAAATTTTGGGAAAAGAGGATCTGCCTTCTTTAAATGAGGTGATTTCCATGATTAGAGCAGAAGAGAGCAGAAGAGGAGTGGTGCTTGACAGTCTGCATGCAGAAGGATCTGTTATGGTGTCTAATGGTTGGAAGAACCATAACTTAGAACAATTACCAATCAGTGAGAAAGGGAAAGGCGATTTAGCTAAAACCTCAAATTGTGACAACTTTGGTGCACCTATTGCAAGAAGCCAAGGCACACCAGAGATCGTTGTTGGAAACTAAATGGAAAACCTTCAACTTCAAGCAAAGAATGGGGTTATAAAGAAGGACAGCCAAGAAATCAAGGACAAGCTCACATGACTGCAATGGAGTCAAACCAGGAGACGTCTCGGGAACAAGGAGAGTTGGACAAAGAAAAGATTGAGAAACTGAGAAGCCTATTGGTAACTCTTAAAAAGACTACTGGTGTATGTTCCTTGGCACACTCAGTACGGTCTCTAGTTCAGGTAAAATCTCTAATTCTTATGTATTAAATGTCTCAGATAAGTCTATTAAGAGTTTTTGGGTCATTGACTCAGGAGCCACAGACCACATGACACATTCTTCACAGAAGTTTAGTACATATACCTTATGTCCTAGTAATAAGAAAATTGTTGTTGCAAATGGTTCACTTACTACAGTGGCAAGATTAGGAGATGTTCAAACTAATCCCTCATTTGTTCTTAAAAATGTTTTTTATGTTCCCAAATTGTCTACTAATCTAATATCTATACAAAGACTTACTAGGGACATGAACTACAATGTGATTTTTTATCCCTCCTATTGTGAATTTCAGGACCAAGGTTCGAGGAAGAAGATTGGACTTGCTAAGAAGAAGGATAGGCTATACTATCTTAAGACATCCAATAACGCAAGTAATATCAAGAATAGTTTACCTTTGTCATTTCTTTCTGAAAAATCTCCCAACAAAGACAAAATCTGGCATTATCATTTTCGTCTCGGACATCCATCTTTTGGAACTTTAATAAACATGTTTCCTTTTTTGTTCAAAGGATTAAATGTCAAAAATTTTCATTGTGCTGTTTGTGAACTTGCAAAGCATAGATGTGTCTTTCCCAGTTAGTAATAAAAGACGTTCTACTCCTTTTCACTTGATTCATAGTGACATTTGAGGTCCCTCTACAATTCCTAATATTTTTGGTGCAAGATGGCATGTTTCATTCATAGATGATTGTATCAGGGTCTCTTCGATTGTTTTTTACTTAAATCCAAATCAAATGTGAATAAGGTGTTTTAAGTTTCGAAAACATGATCCAAAATCAATTTGGAGTGAAAATCAAGAGGTTTAGGTCTGAAAATGCAAGAGACTTTCAACCAAAGTCTATCTACTTATTTCCAAAAAAAAAAAAAGGATTATCCATGAGTCATCTTGTGTTAATACTCCATAGCAGAACGGAGTGGCAAAGAAGAAAAATAGCCATTTACTAGCCACAACCCAAGCCTTCTAGTTTCAAGCAAATGTACCCAAATCCTACTAGGGAGAAGCTATTCTCACTACCACACACATTATAAATAAGTTACCTTCAAAGGTTTTGGGATTTAAAACTCCTATGGCACTACTCTCACAATTATATCCCAACTTTAATACCATAAACAACCTCACACTTAGGATATTTGGTTGTATATCATTTGTTCATGTTCACAGTCATAATAGGGGGAAGTTGGATTGAAGAGCAATTAAGTGTATCTTTGTGGGGTATTCATCAACTCAGAAAGGGTATAAGTGCTATCATCCTCCTATCAAAAAATTCAATATGTTTGCAAATGTCACTGTTGAAGAAAGTAAACCATTTTTCACTCAACCTTATCTTTAGAGGGAGACATCATTTACGGAAGGGAAGGATAAAGACTTCTTTTTGCTTGACTTGTCCTTCTCCAAAACAGTTTCACCCATTAATTCTTCTGAATCTAAATCTGTTTCTTCTAAGTCCAAGTCAAACACTGAATCTAAGTCTAAACCCATTCCAAACACAAAAGCTATGACTAAGAATAATACTATTCTTGATTCTATGAAAGAATTACAAGTGTACTCAAGAAAGAACGTTCCAGCTCCTAAACCGGTGCAAGGCCAAGAACCTTATCCTAACTCTAGAAATAAGGTAAATACAATCTCTGACTCTATTTCTCAAAATGAGCATGAATCTCCTAAAACTAGTGATTATGATCTGCCTATTGCCATTAGAAAAAGAACCAAAGAATGTGCTAAACATCCACTATACCCAATCTCTAAATTTGTGTCATTTGAAAATTTATCACCATCCCACAAATTTTCTTGCGAGCTTAAACACTATTTTTATTCCAACTACATTATCCGAGGCATTACCCAATGAAAAAAGGAGGCAGGCCATGAAAATAGAAATGGAGGCCTTAGAGAAAAATAAGATATGAGAACTGGTAGAGTTGTCTACAGAAAAAAATCCAGTTTGGTGTAAATGGGTTTTCATTGTAAAATGCATGGCAAATGGTACTGTTGAAAGGTATAAGGCTAGGTTGATGGGTAAGGGCTACACTCAAACTTATAGAGTTGATTATCAGGAAACTTTTGCTCTAGTTTCTAAGATGAATACATTTAGAATTTTGCTATCCTTGGCTGCAAATTACAATTAGCAGCTTCAACAATTTGATGTAAAGAATACTTTTTTACATGGTGATTTGGAAGAAGAAATAAATATGAAAGTTCCACCGGGGTTTGGATGTCATCTAGAAGCAAACAAAGTATGCAAGCTGAAAAAGGCTTTAGATGGCCTTAAATAGTCTCCTAGGGCCTGGTTCGGGAGATTTACCAAAGTGATGCTAGAAATGGGATATAAGCAAAGTCAAGGGGATCACACATTGTATATCAAGCACTCGGATTCAGGGAAAGTCACAATTTTATTAGTATATGTTGATGATATAAATGTAATCGAAAATGATGAAAAAGAGAGAGAATCTCTAAAATAGTGTTTGGCTAGAGAAATTGAGATAAAAGAGCTAAGAGATTGAAGTATTGCCTAGGAATTGAAACAGCTCACTCACGGCATGGTATTTTCATCTCACAACAGAAATATGTGGTGAATCTTTTCAAGGAAACTGAGAAACTCGCAAGTAAACCGACAAATACCCCTATAGATCTTAATCATAAACTTAGAGAAGCTAATAATGATGCTGCTATAGATAGAGAGATGTACCAAAAATTACTTGGAAGATTCATTTATCTCTCACATACTAGACCTAACATAGCATATGCTGTGAGTGTGATAAGTCAATTTATGCATAGTCCTAAAAAAGTGTACCTACAGGCTGTCTACCGTGTACTATACTATTTGAAGGCTAATCCTGGGAGAGGTATCTTGTTCAAAAAAAATTCAAGGCTGGTACTAGAGGCATATACAGATGCTGATTATGCAAGTTCGATAACCGATAAAAGATCTACCTCAGACTACTACACTTTCCTAGGTGGTAATCTTGTAACTTAGAGGAGTAAAAAACAGAATGTGGTGGCAAGATCAAGTGCTGAAGCAAAGTTTAAAGCAATGGCTCAAGGAATTTGTGAACTACTATGATTAAAGATTATCCTAGAATACATGAAGATCAAATGGGATGGTCCAATGGGACTTTATTGTGATAACAAGTCTGTAATAAGCATTGCACACAATCTTGTGCAACATGATAGAACAAAACACATTGAAGTAGACCAGCACTTCATAAAAGGAAAAACTAGACAGTGGGTTGATTTGCACACCGTATGTGTCAACCAATGGTCAACTTGCAAATGTGTCGACGAAAGGTCTCAACAGTGCAACATTTCATGAAATTATTTCCAAGCTAGGAATGGAAAACACCTATTCACCAGCTTAATAGGGAGTGTGGAAAAACACTTAATTACAGCTAGTTGCAATCTGTATAGTTGATTGTAATCTATATATATTTGTATCCTTAAAATTAAGAATTTGTATCTCTAGAATTAAGGACAGATTATTAGGATAGACAATCCCTTAATTATAGGGATCAGATTTAGGAAGATTTAGTTTTTTAGTTTACCCTCTAGTTAGTTGTATATAAACCTATGGTGTTTGTATAATTCAACAGAGAAGTTTTCTATATACTCAGTTTTTCCACGGAGTTTTTACACATTTTTGCTTGACTTGAGTTTTTCCCAATTGGCTTTAAGTTGGATGCTTAACGGATTCATATATTTGTTCCAACCCCTCTGAATTCAAGGTAAAGTTAAGCAAACATACAACACAAAAGTTGAAACATTAGAAAGGGAATTCTTTACCATCACAACTTGAAAAGCAGATTCCCATTTATCAAACTGGAATTTTGTTTATTCAAACACAAATGTCATATTTTCCAGAGAAATTCCCAGAATAAATTTATTAGCTTTAAAACAAGGAGAAACAATGCCACCAAACAGAGCAATCACCATTCTCCAAGATTGAGATGCATCTTGATACCACACTCTATTAGGATGCAATACCCTCTATTTCAAGAAACAGCCATTGCATTTAACCATTAATGTGTTCTATGAAATTACTAATACCCTTCTTAACTGTTTCTAAAGGACAGTAGCATAAGTTATATGGCAGGACAAAAACAGAGCTGACCTTCCGCAACTTATCCAGAGCACCACTGGTATCAAAGGTCTCCTTTCCTTGTTCATCCATGGTAACAGCAGCAAGCTTAGCCAGGGTAACACCAGAAGCAAAAGGATGGCCTGGATTACTACAATATTACAGCCCATTAATAGCAAAGCAAACTGGTCAGTAAATGAAGACAAAGACAAATGTGTAACTGAAAGATTAGAAGGTAAAACTATCTTAGTTTACAAAGCTTAAGAAAACTATAAAACCAGAAACAGACAAAGAATTGAAAACATCATAAATAGCACATGACTCCCACCTGACACAATCCTCATATCTGATATGTACATTGCTGATAGATACCTTCAGATTTCCAATAATTGTAGCAATTAGAGAACCAAGCCACGAATTTCCAGGAGGAGGCTGCACACACAACTCAAACAGAAGGGGGAAAGAAAAGAGCTAGCAATGAGTCACTATAATTTGCAAAAAGCACCACATTTTCTCCAAGACACATAAGCTGAGATGCACCAACCAGAAGCATTATCGAATTAATCAAACTAGCACAAACTAAGTAAAGGAAATATGAAGATATACATGTAAAACAGTTAGCATATGAAGAGTCATCCATCAACAGTTTACCAGGAAGAATACAAAAGTATATTAGCTAGAAGTGAAATAGGTAATTGACTGATATAAAATTGAATTCCAGAGTACCTTATATAATAAAACAAAACAAAACAGTATTCAGAGAAAGCAAAATGTGTCTAGCATCCAAAGACATACACTTCCCAGCTTTGACCCAGATATCGCTTCTAGAGTTGCTGATTCTGCCTCCTGCAGGCAGTAGAATAAATTTAAAATAATTATGTCCACATGCATGCATGCATGACTAGAAATAAAAAATTCAGAATTGCAAGTATCATACAGCATGCCAACAAGTTATGAAAATGCTTTCACGATAAAACATTTTGAGTGCACAATTCTACATATGTGCACAACAATGCAAGTTTAGGATAATTATTCCAAGTTCACTTCAGTTTAAGAAAACAAGCATCTCTATTTACCCTTCCATATAAAATCAAAAGAAAAGAAAGTGAAATAAGAATAAAGTAATAACAATCTACTGATATCATTATTTATCTTTAAAACAAAAGGAATAACAATTGTTCAACTCAACAATGCAGCAGAAGTTCATAATGAAACATACAATATTCTCAAAACTGTTGTCTACAAAGTTGATGTTAAGAAATATCAAATGCACTACAAATCATAGCTCCAAAACATATCTCTATACAACAACATAGATATTTAAAAAAAAGGGAAAATAATAGCAAAGGGCTTGGCACAAGAGCAGAAAAAATAACCACTAGTCCTCTCCAAAAGAGCCACTACCATTAATAAATAAGTAGGAGAAAATCCAGAACAGATGTGGAGAGGGTCAGAGACAGAGGAGAAAAAGAATAAGCCTATGAATCTCTGATATCCAAGTGTCAACAAAATCTTGAATGCTTTAGGCATTAGATATCCAAAACATCAGTACATTAAGGATTCCTCTAGACGACAAATTTATAGAATCATGAACTTGACATGCGAAAATTGTTATTGCCTTATTGGTAAATTTTTCAACAAGATTATACTTGAAGGAAACATTATGATATTATGTACACAATGCTATAAGCTATATGAGTGTATTTTATTTATATATGAACGCAAATGATTTACCTCAATTTGTTGAATTTTAGCTTCAAAAAGTTTTTCCCTATCCCCCTCCTGTACAATATTGAAATAAGATCTCAAATCAAAATAGAAAAGATATTAACTGATAATAGGAAATGAAATTCCCTCCATCAAATAAAATATCATCCTACCTTAAGAGTCCGACCGTCAAGAGCTGGGTGAGCAAGAACAAATACACGATCAATGAGAACAATTACAGGTTCTTTACCTAAACTTTTCCAAGGAACCTATAATATAAAATTTCAAAAAATGAATAACACAAATAATTAGAACACAAACACTAAAGTGGAAGCATATTTAAAAACTACTGATTAAAAAAAGGATTTATTTTTCCAAGACCTTCCAGTGGCAAAAGTGCCAGAAGACAAACCTAACAGAAAATAAAACAAACACTAATGATGAAAATAGATACCTTCAGAGTTATGGTGCCCACAAAACCAGCTTTGACAGTTACTGGTAGATTTAAAGAGTTTAGTGCCTCTGCCTTCAGTTTTAAATCTTTGAGGACAACATCACCTGTAGGAAGAAGGAAATTTTGTAAAAAAATGCCCTTATGTTTCACTTCCCAAATCACTTTCATAAGAAACCATCATTTAACAATTGTAGCTCAAACAGATGGGTAAAAAAGATCAGTAAAGAAAAGGACGCAAGAACAAGGAGTATTTCCAAAGAAACCTTTCCAAACACTGATTCTTAAAGTCTCTGGTGAGAGACCATGAACATATTCCCCCAAGTATCTTCGAAGCAAATGCAGAACCTACAAACAAAGAACAAAAATATGCACAAACTCAGCAGCCTTGAAAGAAATGTGCAAACACGCGATATTTGCACAAATGGTTAATTGCCTAAAAGCACAATTATAAGCAATAACATGAGAAAATAAAAATGTAAGCTAAAAGGTGCAATGGCTACAAACAAAACTAAAAATCTTAAGCACATATGATGATTGAATGAACGAATGCAGGCAACAAATTGAAACCAAACATCCACATATAACTAACCATGCTAATAGGCTCACATATCTTAATATCATTTAGAAACAAACACTCCTACCGAAAAACTTGTTTAAATTTACGCCTTAAGTACCGTTTCATCACCCTTCTCCTATCATCTACCACTGCTCTTATGCCCTATGTGATGATAACCTCGCAACTCATTTCGTATTCTACTTTACAACGGTTACAAACTTTAAAAAAAAAAAAAAAAAACCTTAAATTAGGTTCCTCCAATCTAAATTATTAACATATAATTACCAAACTATTAACAATTTAATTGAAAAAAAATTAATAAAACCAAAATTTATAAGCTTTCCAGAAAATTCTCAAGCTATATAAACTTAATATGCGTGATACTAGTACACTACTTCTCTCAAGTAAGAAAGAAAAGAAAAGGAAAGAAGCATACGTGAGCTTCAAACATGGCGATGATCGAAACGGTTCCTCTCCAGCTAAAAATAGAAACGGGGCCCTGATTATTCTGTTTGAGTCATGCAAATTGAGAGTGATGGAGGTGGTCCAATAAAAGCCATTTTCAGAGATTAATTTTAGGAGTATCGGATCGAATTAGGGTTTTCTTCAATACGCGAAGGCTTTGACGACGATTTTTTCCAAGGAAGAGAAATGGGGAAATGCAAGAAATGACAAGAAATTTTGGTGTGTAAAACAAAGCAGTTTTGTCAACATTACACGTCCCGGTCTTTCGCAAATGCAGGCAACTCAAATTTTAATTATTTGCACTAATAAGTACCTAACATTTTTAATGTGCCATCTTTTAATCTTGACCTTGAACACTGGAATTAAGTCAAACCAAGCTGAAGAGTAATAAGTTGTTTGGTATAATTTTATTATTAATAAATATATGTATATATTAAAAATGATGATGAATTAGATTGAATTTAATTTAATTTTTTTAAATAATTCATAAAATTATAAATTTTTAAAATTTGATTTAAATTCAAATTAAATCAAATTGAATTCTATTTATTTAGTTTAATAGTTTTTTAAATTTATTTTTTTATATTTTATATATTATTTTAATATAATTTTTAATATATTTAAATAAATTTAGATATAAAATAATAAATTTTATTTTATAAAAATTTTAAATATAAGTTTTATTATCGTTAGTTGCTATTAATCAACTTGAATTTTTTTTTTATTTGTATTTTTTATTTAGAGAAGATAGGTCGCAAGCGGCACTAATGTCAAAGGCAAAATCAATGTTGTATTCATATGTTATTAATAACATTTTGAAAATATGCTTTAGATCGACATTTCTTTCCCAATTTATATTGATTGATATTTATACCAAAAACAAATGATAACGTTTTGACTAGGGCGGGGCCTCAAGGGGAAATTGACGTGAAGGGGCTTTTTCTGTGTTAGAATTGTGATGGCTACCTTGTTCAAAGGTGTTTGGGCCAGACCCACCATGAGAAATTCATCTCATGTCCACGTTTTCATCTTTGGTGACGGATGATGTGCCCATCACAAAAATACGTACGTCCAAGAAAGTTAAAATGCAAATGGCAGGTATGATGAAACATCGATATCGCATATGGATATGTCTTTTTTATTATTATTTATTTGTTTCAAATTGCTAAACTTGCAGTTTCGGGACAAACTCTAATTATTCAAGAACATGAGAAATTCATGCATATTTTTACATGAATTTCTCTAATGCACAAAAACTTTTATTTGTGTTTATTAAGATTTTATGATGCAAGGAAATTAATAATACTTTAAAATGAAAGCGAGATAGCAAAAACTACGTATTAAATATAACTTAACCAAAAAATAGGAGAGAAGGGATGTTGTTCACTAATTAAGGTTTATATTATTAAAACTTTTATTTAATTTAAGAAGTATTATTTATTTTGATATAAATATCTTTCGAGTTTATTTTGTATAAAAAATCGTATAAATATAAATTTAAATCTTTATTTATCATCACAATATATCATCACATTTTCTTTAAATTAATATAGTTGAATCTTAATCATATATGATATAAGCGGCACATTACTCCACATGCATCCTACGTAAAAGGAGATTTTGTATACACCATAAAGAAATTACTTTTCATAATTTAATATTTTTCTTTCAAAAATATCCATATGTGAAATCCCTTACATATCCATTAGTAAATTACATTTTTAACTCTTTACACTCATTTGCATTTTCATTAGTAAATTACATTTTTAACTCTTTGCACTCATTTGCATTTCCTTTCCCTTTTTCTTGCCCTTTTCTACCTTATTTTCTTCTTCTTTCTTCCTTATTTTTTATATCAAAAACCTTAAATCTTTGAATCAAACAACTAAATTTTGAAACATTTATTAAATCTTATAAAAATAAATGGACAAATTAGAAACAAAACTAGAGGAGGTGACAATCATCTTGACGAGATAATTCATTTAAAACCCATTTTAAACTTGAAATTTGATGCTTATCGAAATGAATATTCAATAATGCAAAATAAGTTTCGAATATGCATATCTATAATGTGTATTGCATTATTGGAAATACATTTTCGAAATATATATTACATTATCGGATATTCATTTTTTATAATGTAATATGATTTTCAAAAATTTATTTTTTAAAATAATATTACGTTACCAAATATCCATGCAATGCAATATGCATTTCAGATATGCAATATGCATTCTGAATATGCATATTCGAAAATCATATTGCATAACCGAATATTTATTTTTATAAACATAAAAAATTGTCCTCGTATGCATATCAAGTAATGGTATTATTATTTCTGGTTCCTAATGGTAATATTATAATTTTTTAACATCTTGTAATATGTAAATCAATTTAAAAACTGCACTGGTAGAGTGAAATCAATTATAAAAAAATTTAGATATCAAATATAGTTGCATGGATTCATTTACTAAGGAAGAGGAAAAATTATGCTTTTGAAGTTATTTGTTATGAAATGCATAAAATGTTGATTTATATAGACATAATAAATTAATATATATTGTGCATATGTTTTGTAGTAGATAAATTTTGGTTTAATGGGCTAAGTAGATTGAAAAAAATAATAGTTTTGAGATTGTGATAAAAAACTCTAAATTGTAAGACTTGAGGAAAACTAAAATAAAATTGGAATGACGTAGAAAATATAAACAACAAAAGTATAAGGTCAAGGTAGAAGGAATGCAACGTAAGGGAATGATAACAAAAAAACGTGATTTTTCTATTTGAGTTATAAGGGATTAAGTTGGAAATTGATGACCAATGGAGCGTGAAAGTAGTATGTAGTTTTCACAATCATTTATCAGCAAAACAATTAGAGAAATATTCATTTACAGATCGATTATCTAAAAAAGAAAAGAGACTAGTGGCTAATATGTTAAACTAATGGTCAAATCTAAAAACATATTGTTGACCAATAAAACAATATGACAATAAGAATGTCAGCACTATAAAACAATATATAATGAATATCAAAGATACAGTATCGTTGAGAAGGCTGATAGATTATAAATGCAATAACTCATAAATAAGTTGACTAATTGTAAATACCTATAATAGTATAGGACTAATGAGTCAAGCAATTGCATGAAAAGCTTATTTTAAGCTCATCCTATTCATTTAGATTTGTTGCAAGCCTTCCAAAGTATTATGATTATGGATTACACAAATAAAATAAGCAAATATCATCTGCTATTACTTGAAATTATTAGTGTGACTTCTACTAAAATAACATATTTTATTGTACTTGTGTACATGAAGGACAAAAAGTTATAAGAATTACAATTAGGCACTTGATAAGTTAAAAATTTCGATGTCATTTGGTATATTTCCTATAGTCATTGTCATTGATAAAGATTTGGCATTAATGAATCACTAGAGGTTATGTTTTTCAATACAGTATATCTTTTATGTAGTTTGCATATCTTAATAAATGTATTTGTGAATTGTAAGAAATTTTGTGAGCAAAAGAAAAAATGGGATGCATTATTGTCAAGTTAGAGTATATTGGTGTTTTCTTATGATGATTAGTACAAATACATCTAAGTTCACTAAAATTTGATTACCAAATTTATCTGAGTGCAATCAAGTGTATGAAAGAGTAATAGTTGACAAGTATAATGATAGATTTATTATTACTTGAACGGATAAAGTAATGCATTTTGATAAAGTTACAATAAATATATATGATTTATGTTATATTTTTTAGATTATTTATGGTTTACGATTTTATAATAAAACATTGATAAACTTTTATTAATTCGTTTAAGGCTGAAAAATATACATGTGAAATTGAAAAAGTACTTTGGATCATCTCAAATGGTTTTGAATTATTGTAGAGGATAATAAACTTCTTTATCGTTTAAACATTTAAAATAATTATTTTTATAAATAAATAAAATTTATCTTAAAATTATATAAACTTGTAAATGTATAAAAAAAGATTTCACAATATGAAACAAATTAAATAAAAAGTAATTTAAAAAGATGAAACATTTAGTTTTCAATTAAATATTTTATTAGTGTACTCAATAATACTATTTATATATAAATCTTTTGAATATTTTATTTTTCTTCAAATATTATTATATGTTTAAAATTTTTAATTTTATTATATTTTGATATTTTAATTATATTATTTATAATTAATATATATATTAAACATTTAAGAGATTAAATAATATTAATTTATATATTTAAACACATCTAAATAAATAAAAATAATTTATATTTTGCACGGAAAACAAATTAATTTTATAATAAAAGATTTTTGACTTGTAAATTTTGAACAAAAACAATTAGAAAATATGCAAAAAATATAATCCATACCCTTCTCATCCTATACCTGGAAAAACTGAAATGAATGTCAATATGAATTCGATTATAACTCGGTTGGTTGATGCAGCCCTTTTAAAAGAATGGCTTTCAATAAATTTGGAACAAAAATTAATTATTTAAATGAAAAATAGTAAAAATAAATAAATAAATGAAAAAGATATCATTTATCGTTTTGGGCCAAATGTTCAGCATATTTGGAGGAGTTTAAAACCCAACTCGTATCCATCATCGTCATCGTTCCTGTAATCCCTCTCTGGCTTTCCCAATTTCCTTGTGCGAGCTGCGACTCCAGGTTCGAAATTCTTATTCATCATCCTCATCAATTCATTTTTCAAAGCATTTAAGGTTTTCCCATTTCTTCTATTTCCATCATTTTCCTTTTTCTTGTCCTTTTTTTTTTCATATTTCAATTTCCTCGTTGCACCGTTAATTTAGTGCCACGTCTGTGAATTATTTGATCAGTTAAGCATTTCAGCTTTGAAGAAATGCCGTCTCTGCAAACAGCGTTGCCCCCTGAGCTTGCCAACAATGTGATCAGAGTTTAGTATCCTTTTTTTAATTGTTGTTTGAGTTAACAAATACACTGTAATGAAAGTGATGCTTTTTGATCTTTGGTTGCGGTTTTCATTGTTGGTTTCAGCTTTACCGGGAGTGTCTCCGAAGAGCTAAATACATAGGGCATAAGGTAACCTGAATAGTCTACCCCTAGGCTCTAGTCCTTTATAATTCTTCTGTTTTGCGTGCTCTGATGAGTTGTTCACTCTGTTGAAGTATTGGATTTTAACAATTTTTAGAGCTATTCGTTGTTTTATTTATTTGCTGTGTAGTTAGCTTGAATCGCCTTGTTTCATGGTTTGATATCATATACTGCTTGAGCAATAATTAGTGAGAAATTTAGACCTGGAGATTTGTGTATTTGTATCATGTAAAATATAGAAATTTGTGTATTTGTATCATATTTTACATGAAAATTACGTGTCACAATTCGTATCAACACAAAAACATAAATACATTTTTTTTTTGTTTTTTTAAACCTATATATAGTTATTATTAAAATTTTAAATCTTGTCACTTTATATCCATTTTTGTGTTGTGTCACCATTTCGTGTTTTAGATTGCCAAGTCTAGTGAGAATTATCACAGAAGAGAAATTCCAGCCAGTTGTCATACTAAAGTCCAACCTAATGGATGCCATTTAGTTCCATTCTCATCTTTCTTGATATGCTGGCTGCAATGAAGTCCCTGACAGGATTGTAGCTTATGTAGCAGATTCTAGATTCAACATCACCCTAAATTGGTCTTGACTGGTTATTTTAAGATTTTATTTGCTTGGGTGAGGGGTCCCTTCCTCCTACTTAATACTCCTGAAGAAAGCAAGGATGAGGATGAAGATGATTGGATTTACCATTGATGAAACTGCGAAGTGCTTTTGAATGATGACAAAAATTTAGTCACAATGTTACTTATTGTGTGTTAGCCGCTCTTATGTTGCCTTTGGTTGCCATACACGCCCATTGCAAGAGAAGAAATGTCATTCTATGGTTGAGACTTACAGAGATTTTTGGGTGGAAATATCAGCCCTGATATTTAGCTCAAAAGTAACTATGAATAAACATTACAAGGTTTATAGGTATGTACTGCAAATCTGCAAGATAAGGATGGTGCTTTATTTTATCAAGCAAATATATAGAGATCTATGGATCTGTACAAATTGTGATTATGGTGCAAAGATTTTGGATCAAGAACCTGTGCCTTGGATCTATGAAACGCTTTCTTTGTAGCTGAGGGTACCATTAGTGTTGTTTATTTGCATACTTACATAGGCTACTAACTTTGTGAAATTGAAGCACGTTCTTTCTATGATTTTGCAATCATATTGTGAACATACAGAAATTAACTTCCAGTCGATATTTAATTTACTGTACAGCAACACAATACAGCTTTGGTTGTTGATATGGTAAGGCAGCAGTTCAAAAAACATATGCATGAGACAGATCCAGAAAAGATTCAGAAGTTGAAAGATGAGTAAGTCTTAATTTGCCTTGTTTCATACATTTTTAAGCCATCTATTACTGGACTCAGCTCGGTTCGATTTTATTGGACAAATATATACGTAATCTAATATTTTGGCTTATATGAACAATAAACCATTATAAGAAACCCTAGCATGTACACATATTTAAAACATCTATATATAAATATATCGTAATAGTGAAACATGCATCACTCCACAGTACAAATAAGCAAAAAGATCGAAGTGCAATATACAGTAGAGAAGCATGGACTGTAATAGAAGAATATAGTTATTTATTGATGGTGTATCCCAAGAGAATAATCTTATTATTCATTGGGGCTAGAATTTTGAAGATATGTTGTTCTTTATCCTCAAGCAAGATTGAAGGCGATTTGTGTGCATAGATATATTTTTCATATTGAATTTTAACTCTTCAACAAGCTTTTAGCATTGTTTTAATTTATGTTGTTTGTGTTTGCAGTGCTGCAAGGGGACTAATAAACCACATGCTCTATGAGTCTGAGAAGCTGTCTGGGCGTAAATTCAGCAAGAGCTCTTGATGGTGTTGGAGTTTTTATTTGAGATGCTGGTGTCTAAGACAAATTTTTGACTGCTAAACCAAGTAATAAAGAGAGGCTCGGGTTTTAGGATTCCTAATGATTTTCCCAGTGTCATGCATTATGTATAATGAAACTTGCCTGACTTGTTTACTTAGTATTTTGATTATTTGCTTTGCTGTATGATGCATGATACTAAGGTTGAGGCAAGTTATGTGGGTTCAAGATATTGCATCTTCTTGTAATTGCCTGTGATGGCTGCAGTTTTATTTATCAGTCTGATGTGATTAACTTGAGTTATATATTTTACCTCTTTTTTTTTTTTTTTTAATTGCCAGGTGAGATTGTCTGAAAATTTTAAGTGAAGTGAGGATCAATCGACTCTAAAACCAGAAAGTGTAGATGAATGTAACTACAATTAACACATCTTTTTCTATCGAAAATGTTATTTCTATAACATACAAATCTTCTATTATTAACAAAATGTTTGATTCCTCCCATTAATGGAGATCATGAAGATATATCATCTATATATAAAAGTGTGAACTCTAAAAGTATTAAAAATTAATGACATAAAAATCAAAATTTAAGAAATAACAAATTTACCTTTAAATTTTTAGTATTTTTTATTAATTTAATAAAGATAACTTGTCATTAAATATATAACTTTTATTAATTAATTATTTAAATTTAATCTAAAAGTGTTAAAAATGAATAACATAAATACCTTTATAAATTTTAAAAAATAAAAAAATTATATTTCAATTTTTAGCATTATTTATTTTATTTAATAATGATTATTTATCATTAAATATATAGCTTTTTATTCATTAGTTATTTAAATTTAAATCAATTAAAAATTTACAAATAAAATTTATATCAAATTAAACTACATTAAAAATTTATTTGTAGGAGATAGTGGATTTGTTGTCTAAAATTTACTCAAATTAACTCCCATCTTTATTTTTAAAATTCATTTTTGTTAAATTTCATAAGTAATAATTCAATCAAATTATATAAAACACATTTCTCGTCCTATAGCCTGTGGCATACTATGAGTTCATGATCTTGAACAAAATATAGACAAAATATTTTTTCTGTTTCTCAATTACTAATTGTTTTAGTCTAAATTATTAGACCATAATGTGTATGCCATTAAAACATTTAACTTTATCTTAAGTAAAGCATAAAATTTTTCATTTTTAAGATACAATCTAATTTGCTCTTTATCTTCTTTAATGATGCATAGGATGAGTTCTTAAATATATTTATATTTTTTATTTATTTAATTTAGATTAATTAAAATTAAAGTTTATACAAAATTATAAATTAAATTATCAAAAAATTATTAAAAAATAGTAATACATGTATTATGGTAAGTTTATATGTTTCATTTTTTTTATTTTTATGATAAATATACATTTATATGTTTAATGATTGCAATGGTTGATTATAATATTTCTAATCACTCTATACAATCGCACCTTAACATTACAATGCTTAAATGAACCTTTACTTTATAAACATAATATCATGTACCCTTGAATTGTTACTAAACTTAGTTTTTTTTTTTATCTTTTATAGATTAATTCTATATTACACCCAAATTAATTTTGGTTTATCTTTATTTTTTTATATTTAATTTCAAATATTTAGTACTTAAGATATTTTTATGAAACCAAATATAATATTGTTAAGAAACATTAATGTTGAATAAAAGAAAAGAAATTATTTAATATACCATCACTCACTTTTTTTTAATTATTTTTTTAATATACTCTAAAGCTTAAAAGGTATATATCACGTTGCTAACTTCATTTGTGAAATTTAAAAATTATGTTATCAATATATTTTATAATTTTTTTCTTGAAAAATATAAATTTATTTTTTTCAATTAAGAATACTCTAACATATTTTTATATTTTGATAGTAAAAAATACTAATTAATTATGCACGTTTTGTTCAATGATCAAAGCATTGCTAGTTCTCTAACCAATTATTATATTCTTTGAAACATTAATGTTATAGTTCATTTCATTTTGTTTGTTTCTATACTTAGGTCATGTTTGGTATACAAAATTATGAGAAGATAAGATAAGATAATATTATGAATAGGATTAGATTAAATAATATCATCATATTTTGTATTTGATGTATGCAAAGATTATGATAAGATAATTTATTTATTTGTTAAAATTAACCATCCTCAAAATTTATATAATTTAAATTATTGATATAATTTTTAAAGGTATAATTAGACGTGTAAGTTTAATCTCGTAGATTAAAAATAATCATTTTCATTTTGGAAAGATTGAATAATTCTATGTCAAAAGGATATTAATTCTTCTCACAATCTCTATCCTTCTCCCTCTCCTTATATACAAATCAAACATGGTATAGGATGATTATTGTCTTATCTTATTAATAATCCTATGCATCAAACATAACATTAAAGTATATAATTATTGATTTGAATTCTTATCATGAAAGTACTATTTAATAATTATTTGTACTTTTATGAGTGTGTTTATTATACATAAATATATATATATCATTTATGATATATACATAAAAAAATGTGAACTACAAATAATATTAAAATTGATTTTTTAATTTGGTAGACTCATGTTAATAATACACTACATGCCAATCATGCATGTTTAACTAATTTTTCAATTTATAAAGAATAGAAGACTTATAATTGAACTCATTAGTCACATTATAAAAAAATTGAAGTATGGGTTTGTGGAATAAAACATATCTATTTACATATCCTTACAATTAAGATAAAAAATTAACTTAATTGATAAAATAACATTATATATATATATATATATATACAAAAACAAGATAAATGGATCAATTAATATTTCATATAGATCCTAAGATTACTAAATTAATCTTTTTATTACTCAATTGGTCAATATATCATAATATATATGGAAATGATTAAAAAAATGTATTAGATTATAAATGATATCGAGACCTTAAAATTTTTTTTAATTAATGTGTAAAAAGTGCTCTATTTAGAATTTAGCCAAATTTACTATAAATAATTATTTAAATTTTAGCTAAAAATTTAGAAAATTGACAAACATGTGCATATTTTAGATTTTATAGTCTACTTTGAATGAGAGATTTTATAATTAAGAAGAGGTTTAATATATATCTATATTATATATAAAATGTGATAATTTACTAAATTATCTTTACTTATTTTTATTTAATTTTTTTAGCAAATTAAAATATTATCTACTTTTTATTTGTTTTCTTATTAAAATAGTTTTTCTTGGTTAAATCATTTATGCCCCACTTAAAGTAGGTAATACGGTTGGAAGATATAAAATAGTTTTTCTACATATGAATATTTTAGTGTTTGTAATACATTACATCTATTAATATGTTTTACAAAATTAAATTAATTATAGAGGATTTAGTGATAAATAAATTATAACATAATAATAAATATATAATATTCCATATGTCCTATTTTCTTGTCCATCTTTTTTTTTTTTTGATGTCGCAAAATTATGTCTTACTTTTTGTTTTAAATATCTAAACTCTTACTTTTTTATATTTTAAATTATTTTTTATGATTTTTTTTACTTTTTAACATTAAAAATCATAAAACTTTAATTTTATAAAAAAAATTAATTTTAATATTAAATATATTAAAGTTAAAACTTTTTCTTAAACTATGTGAAAATCACTACAAGACAGACAAATAAAGATGGAGAGAGTAATATGGTAACAAACTATTGATAATTTTGTTATAAATTAATGATAAGATGACAAAATCAGTAATAACTTTATATTAAATCAATAATAACTATATATTAAATTATGGATAACTTATTAATAAATTAATAATAATATAATAGTAAATAAATAATAATTTAATAGTAAATAATTGATAAGATAGATTTATGCCAGTGATAACATATAATAAATAATTTAATAGTAAATCATTTATATATAATTGCAAATATATAAAAATATAGTAGTAAATTAAGGATAATTTAATAAAAATAAGTGATAACTTAATAGTAAATCAATGATAACTTAATAATAAATTAATAATAAGTTAATAGTAAATAAGATTTAGTTTAATACTTCTTCCATCATGGTAAAATTATCACATTTTTATTTTTGTTGGTCAAATTTTTTAACTTTAATAAATTATTATTTTATATTTATTATTGATAAAAATATGAAAAAATATATTTTTAAAAAACTTTAAATGAAGTGGTTTCCAAATATATGTTTTATAAATTTAATTTCTTAAAATATTCAAAATAATAGATGTCAAAATTAGAAAATTTTAACAAAAAAAATTAACTCGGATAGATAGAGGGAGCAGTAATTAATTGACAAATTTCATGGTAAATCATAAATAACTTAATAATAAATTAATGATAATTTAGTAGTAAATAATTTAGAACTTAGTAGTAATTAATAATTGAAAACTAAAAATAAATCAATATAAGTTAATAGCAATCAATGATAAATTAATAGTTAATCAGTAATAATTTAGTATAGTAAATTAGTGATAACTTAATAGTATATTGATAATAATTTAATAGTAAATAATTGATAACTTAATAGTAAATCAATAATAATATAATAATAATAATTACATAATAATTTAATAGTAAATCAATTATAACATAATTATAAATGCATAATAGTATAGTAATAAGTTACTGATAATTTAATAGTAAATTTGTTTTAATTTAATAGTAATTAAATTATAAATTTATGGTAAATTATAAATAACTTAGCAATAAATCAATGATAATTTAGTAGTTAATCAGTAAAACTCAGTAGTGAATCAATGATAATATAATAACAAATGCATAATATTATATAGTAAATCATTGGTAATTTAATAGTAAATTATTAATAATTTAGTAGTAAATCATGAATAACGTCATAGTAAATCATTGATAACTTAGCTATAAATTAGTGATAATTTAATTATAAATTAATGATGATTTAATTGTAAATTAGTTAATTATTAATAATTTCATAGTAAATCATAAATAACTTCACAGTAAATTAGTAATAACTTTATAATAAATTATCTATAACTTAATAGTAAATTATCAATAATTTAGTAGTAAATTATTTATAACTTAATAGTAAATTATCTATAACTTAGTGATAAAATAATAATAATTTAGTTGTAAATTAGTAATAAGATAGTAATATGTAATTGATAACTTATTTGTTAATTAGTGATATCATTTTTTTTATACTTGAAGTTACCAGTTATTAGAAAGAGTAAAGCTAGAACTTTTATCATTAAGAACTATAATAAACCTACCATGAACCTATTCATTAAAAAAATTTAGTAAAAAAATTCTAAATTTTAATGAAACAATGATGTTATTATTGAATTAGTATTAAGTTATTTATGATTTACTATTAATTTATTAATAAATTAATAGTAAATCATAAATAACTTAATACTAATTCAATTGATAACTTAATAGCTAATTATTAAATTATTAGTAATAGAACAATGGTAATTAGTAAATGCATAATAACATAGTAGTAAATCATTAAATTTAGTAGTAAATCACTAATAACATACTAATTAATCACTTACAATTTAGTTGTATATTAATGATAATTTAATAGTAAATTAATTAATCATTGATAATTTTCTAGTAAATTATTCATAATTTAATAGTAAATCATTGATTATTTAATAATAAATCACTGATAATATAGTAATAAATCAGTGATGACTTAGTTATCAATCAGCAATAAATTTTTTTATATTTGAAGTTTTTAAGTATTAAACTCTGGTTACTAGCAAGAGGGAAGTCAAAACTTAGTAATAAATTAGTTATAATAATAAATCAGTATTAACTTAGTCATAATTTACTGGTAACTTAATGATAAATCAGTTATAATTTAGTTATAAATTAGTGATAATAATAAATTAATTATAATTTATAATAAATCAATTTGAGCTTAATAGTAAAATATGGATCACTTAATACTAAAATTTTCATATTTTAATACTAAATCAGTGATATAACTTAGCAGTAAATTATTGATAATATATAGTAGTAAATCATTTCTAATTTAGTAATTTTTTTGTTTTTGTTTTGGTTGAATATTGATACAGAGCTATATTTTTTTAATATATGTAACATATTTGAATTATTTAAAAAATTATATTTATTGCTATTTAATACTAAGGTATTGAAGTACAAATATTTATGGATATTGTACACATATATAAATAAATAAAACAATATTTATGTACTGATTATTATAACAACATAATTTTATTGAAAAAAAATTAATTTTTGAAGTAAAAATTTGGAATGACTTTATCTAAATTTGTATGTCATTGATTGTTTACTTGATAATAAATTAATAGTAACTAGATTAATGCTATGTTTTTACTCAAAATAAATTGTTGTGTTATGTGGTAGGTTTTATAACACTGATAGCAACTATAAAATAATTATTGTCTTTAAAGATATTTTTAAAATGAAAGAAAAAAATAATAAGTCTAAACTTATTAGACAATACCATAGAAAAATTATCTACAAGTTATTTTCTTAAGTAAATAATATTTTAAATCAAAATATATGATTTAATAATTCTAAGAATAATATGAATTCTATAAATGATATTTTTATAACAATATCAATTAAATGGTGAATTTTTTGTAAGACTTATACTAAATATATAATTAAGTATTCGTTGAATAAAGAAATTACTCCATTTTAATTAAAAAAGAGTTCAAATATTTAAACTATATTCATTATCAATTTTTAAAGTCTAAGATTTAAAACATAGTTTATCTTCAAAATACAATAATATCCTTTGATATTTATCTAAAATAGGTCATATCTTATTAATTTCAGAATTATTATATTTCATTATTTAACAAACAATAATAATATTGAACCAAAATTAATTGAGAAAAATATTTCAATATTTAAAGAACAGTATAAAAAAACTATTTGATTGTGATAAGATATACCTTTAAGTAAAGTGTGTTATTTAAACTCTTATTATAACATATTTTAATAAGTTATGCATATTTATTGGCTTTTTAAAAAATCAATGGTCGATATTAAAAGTAATTTTAATTAATATCCCTTGTAAATATATAAATAAACATCATTGATGATTATATTGAGATATTAATGGTTCTTGATTGCTTCACATCCATTTTTTTAGAATATGTTTATAAATTAATATTTTTTAATTAGTAAAATTCATGTAGGTATGCATTTTTTACTATAAAATGAAACTACAAAATGATTTATATTTCATAAATAAGTACATATCAAAATCAAAAGTAAATGATCATGAAAAAGAAAATATTATATATTTACTTTATTTCAAGCAACAAAAACTTTATAAGAATATGATTTCAAATCAAAATAAATAATTTAAATTTTCAATAGCAAATAAATGAAAAACAATAGTTTAAATGAATTCAACAATGATCGATTACCTAAAAAATTTTTAAAATTGAAAATAAAAATCCATTACAAAAAAATTAAAAGAAAAAGCCCGAGAAACATAAAATAAAAAAAAAAAGTATAAAATTCGATTTGATTGTGAGAGAAGACAATTCTCTAAAAATTTTTTTTTTAAAAAAAAAAAAAAATATATATATATATATATATATATATAAAATCAATGAAAATGATGACTTAAAGCCAAAAGATTTAAATGAAAACTTCTAAAAAAAAGTTAAAATAGAGAAAGATTAAATATTTATTCTTTATTGAATTTTAATTTAAAATTTTTGTTATATTTATTTTTTTCAAACTTAAATTTATGTTGTCAATTTAATTTAGTATGGTGATGGTTATTTCAATTTTATTATTATAAAAATATTAAAATTATTTTATTATATTAGAATTATAATTTGATTAATAATTACGTGCGTGAAAGAAAACTAGTAGTTGTATATTTTACAAAAGTGATAGCCAAAATTAGGACAGACTCCATGCATGCTCGTGAAAGCATTCTCTGCCTATATTTTTCTTTTGGCAGCTTGGTGCGTTACTTGCCAATTAATGTTATATTCCTAATCCAAACCACTTTTTCCTAAATTCGGTGGCGTTGCTTCATTAGTTCTTGGACTGAATGTCCCTCTTCCAACATGCCCAGGACTTTGCTCCCCTCTCAGTTCGTTAACTCTGGGGCTGTACGCCTTGTTTGATATTCGTGGGCTCTGAAGGCTCTTGAATTCTCTGGATGGTGTTGCAGTGGAGCTTGTTATTTCCTTTGGGCTACACATGCGTCTGATCTCACCCCTGCTTCGTGTAATCATTCCATCTAAAATCTCTCCATCGTCAGCAAATGAAGTGTTCCTAACCAGTTCTCCTTCCTGCTGTACAAAACCAAACATTAAAAACAATGGGCTCAAAGTAGTTTGTAGATCACCCGAAAATCAATGATGCATGTATAATATATAACTTTCAAAGGCACTCTAATGATATCTATAATCATGCGTTAAAGAATCATATGAACTTAACAGTTACTAGGTTGAATGGTACAGCTGGTGACTCTTCATACTCTGCGGCATCCAAATCTTGAAGGTGTGCCCCTTTGAAAAACTTGGGCAAAATGTATTGTCTCACAGGAACCAAAAGCATGATCATTAATGGGAAAAGAACCCCAGCAATTGGGATCCAAGTAATCCCAAAACAAACAAACAAGTAAGCAGTCTGGAAAATTGTAAATGCTGCAACTGTCTTGAAAGGTACAGTTTCCACAAAAGTGGCATGGTACCCCTCCAGTACTCTGAGACAAATTAATGAGTAAATAAGCAGGCTAAGTAACTATGGTTCAGTTAAAACTTATAAATACTCTTCAAGATGATAAAGTAAATGGACTTAAGAGGCTACTTGTATCTTCTACTTGGAGCTGTGAACAGCAACAATATCCTCTCCCAGAACTGGTTCCCTGCCAAGCTTTCAATGGCCATGAATGCAAAGTAGCCCCAAAGCACTGAGGTTGGTATCTTTTTAATGAAAGGCATTGCTGCAACACATCCACCAACCATTGTAGCTTGAAGCAAGTTACTGAGCCGCTGTTCTTTTACCTCAACAGGCAGCAGATCATCAATTTCCTTATCAACATCAAATACTGTCCCATCGACTGGGGCATTAATATTTCCCATGTTTGAAGCCATTTGAATGGTTGACTCTTTCAGTTCTTTTAATCCCTGTTAAGAAAAGAAGATTTCTTTGGGTTACTTGTCAATCAGCATAAAGGATTGTGGACTTTTGGGTAAAAAATGTAAAATGATGTCAGCAGATTTTATGTGAAGGAAGTCAGGAACCATTATAAAGTTAGTACCAGAGAAGAAGTTTCTTGGTAAATCAGTGGAGTCTGCATTTGTTGGTAAGCTTCTTGCATGCTTTCGTACACTTGTCCTAAGCTTGCATTCTTATGCATACATTTGCGGGCTGTTGCTACTAATCTGTTTCGAAGCAACTGTGCAGAAAGAAAAAAAACTTTTTAATCTATTGGCATTCATGCCATGACATGAAGAACAATGAGACTAAGTCACTTGACAATATAAAAGGGACAACAGTAATTGAATATAATTACCTGGTGCTTCAATGTAGCTAAGCTTTTAGTATGCATTGGAGATTGTGGAATGACACCATTTGCTGGAGGGATGCCAATAAGACCACATACTATTGTCTGCCATCAGTTGGAAAATTTACATGCTTTATTGGAGCAAAGTCAATACAGAACACGATAAAAGTAGCAAAATACAAAGTGCATATCAAAATGGAGAAAATATGGAACAGGAAGTCCATCTACCAAGAATCCCAGAAGAAGTAAATCATAATGAAAAGAAGGTGGTTTCCTCAAATTGAATTCCTTCTGCTGAGCGAGTTGCGAAGCTACACTGTGGTCAAAATAATACAGGACTGCGATCATTGTTGCTGGAATGAAAGCTCCAATTATATAGAGCACTGGAACCTTTAGCATGTCCTGTTAGTTTTTACCATTAATCATCATTCATCAATATGCCTTACGCTCTTATTTATTTTTTTCTTAATTTTTTAAAGAAATAGGTTTTTCAGCAAAGACCTGAAACTATAGAAAGAAAAAAATCCTCGTCATGTTTAAAATGGACCAACTCGGTTACCTTGACGACAGTCCAGTTTTCATATGCACCTGGGGACCATGGATTAGGACTGAAGAGGCGCCTTGGAATTCCTTTTGGAATAGTTCCTGCTGGTATATAAGAAACAGCTGTCCAGACCAGAACCATCAATGGTACGCCATAGTCTGCTATGAAGCCTCGCAATGATCCTTTGGGAAGATAAAGATAATTGAGTAAATTTTCTGTAAGCTGACAACACTTAATTGACAGGCAGGCTAGTCATCTGGTCCAACTCTTATTAAGAATGAATTTAAAACATTTCCAAAGTAGCCTGAGAGTGTAAGGCAATTCCTTCTCCAATTTACCCTCCTCCTCCCTCAATTAAATAGTCACTACACTAGAATTTTGGCAAAGCAAAAATGAGATGCTGTCTCTGTTTTCTCTTATCTTTGCCTATGGCAGGGCTCAAAGGATGTAATGAAAAACACAATTTAGAGGTAAGTGAAACCAAGGATTTAAGGGCTTATTGGATAATGGCCTATGATAGCTAATGAATTTTGGTCATGAGAATAAATTTTTTTTTCTTAGATATTTATGTTGATATATGAAATTGGAGTAGTGGGACTTGAAGCATATAGGATACTAACAAAAACACACCAGATCCATATCGCCAAGATCGTGCTTTTCGGCTTCTTAATGCGGTAAGCAGAAGGGCAAATGACAAAACCAAAGCGAACATCCCATTTGCAAATCTCCATGAAGGTTGAAACTCAAGCAACTTCGGATTTACTCTTTCAGGTATGCGAAACTCATCAACAAGTCCCTAGTAAGCGAAATTCCATAGTTCAACAGAAATTAGCACGGTGTTCAGAAACAGAAATTAGCAATTACTGACTAGTATATCAACTAAAGGGCTAAGTTCGGCCAGCTAACGAATTAATAAAATCATGACTGCTTGAGACACATAAAAGCTGCAAGCAACTTTAAACTTTCACTTGTTTTCCTGTAAGGTGTAAGGATAGAATAGAACCAGGATGTCTCTCACCTTCATAGCTTGCTGCATGAAGAGCATTGCAATAAGAAGGGCAAACAACTCGCCAGCTAGACGAGTAAATCTGTTGATAATGGAGCAAGCTCCTAAGATAGCCAGCAGGAACAGCAAGATTGCAGTCCACACACATACCCTGAATGTCCAAAGCTTCAGTAAATATTATAAATTTCTAAAGGCAGATTAAATTTCCATAAAAAATCAATCAGATGCCTACAGATAAAAGTCAAGAGCATAAATCACAACATCAGATTTATCTGCTAGCAAGAAATGAAGTACCATCCAGTCCATGCAAGAAAGAGTTCTGATCCCAAATCTGGCCTATTCTTGGCAAAATTGAACAAAAAAGTGTACATAATTACGGTTGGCTCTGCAACTCCAAGGATCAGCAAAGGCTGACCGCCTATGATAGAGTGTATTATTCCACACAGTGCAGTGGAGGCCAATGTTTGAACTGCAGTGAGAACCCCATCTGTCAAAACAAAGGAACAATCAAAAACAAAAGAAACACATAACAATACATGCCAATTAATTCTGATTTAGTGAATCAGTGGTTTAACTCGTTCTCAATCCATTTTAGGCACAATTTTTATCTCCACTCCATAAAATAAGTTGGCAAAACTTAAACAATACTGTATATTTTTACCTGTGTCTCTTTCCAACTGTTCTCCAAATGAAATAACTGGAATTGCTGATGCAAAAAATATATACGTGGTGGGGGCCAAAATCCTACGAAGAATTATACATTTATAGAGCCAACCTCAATTACAGTGACGGCAAAAGTTATTTACAAATAAAATAATCAGATGCATTTTTTGTTTGAACCATGTTAATTAGATAATACTAATTTCTACAGTAATATGTAGTTCTCCAATGTTTGTCATGACAGGAGAATGAGATACCTGAAACCTGCCCTAAGACCACCTGTCCAATCTTGCTTGTAGCACTTCAGTCTCCCTCGAAGGTCATTCTTGATTCCACGAAATGGTAAATAACTCTCTTCCATTGTCTGTTGTGCAACTGAAAACTAGGGCAACTAAGAGCTCGATTGAACTCTTGAGCTATGGTACTAGAAGCTTAGAAATAGTTGCAAAGAAACAGCATTCATAGTTCCATTATGGCATGTATAAGCTGGTCATTGGAGTACACAATCTTAAATCTGTCGAGTAAAGAAATCCATATGACAAAATCAACTCAAGCCTTAGAAAGATGCTAAAAAATATGTTGCAACAAGAGAACCCAGATAGAGATTTAAATTGTGTAAGAAAAGAATCTTGACTTACATCAATATTCAATCTCAAGGAAAATTCTGGGCACACTTCAAAACCCAGAATAAGAATGTTGACCAAATTTAAAAATGATTTAAGCATTGGATGTTTAAGTTGCAGAAAAGACGAGCTTTAGCTTATATTGAAGCTTTACCATCTCAGAGAAACGTGGACACAGAGAACAGTTGCAAGGAAAGCCCGAATATATAGGCCTGAAATAAGGAGTTGAGGGAATTTGACTGTAGACTTTGAGGCTGATAGCAATGTGGGTCAAAAAAGAATGAAAAGAACATCACTATCAATTCACAATAGCAAGAAAACAAATACTACTGATACATTACAGCTTGTAGTAAAGGAGGCTACAAAAACTTAGTAGCATTTAGGAAAAAAGATATAAATAAATGAAAATGTTCTTGTGGAGAATCAGGAGATTCAAAGTACTCACCAAAAATGCAAAAGAAAGGTAAAAATGTTGGGCTTTTTTCTCTTGCCTTAAAAGAGAAAGAAAGAGTTTTTAGACATGATGGTAGACTTCTTTAAAAGTGTTTTTCCATAGCACATGAAAGAGAGAGTGCCAGTTGATGACAAGCTGTCTTGCAAAGAACCACCCAAGAAGTAGCTTCTTCCCTAATCTCAACAGTGCATTTCTTATTATCAATTTCCTTGGTGTTTGAATAGTTTATCCTATTTTTCTGATAAGGTTTTGAATAATTTATCCTAAAATTAAAAAAAAAAAAACTTTTGTGTATATACTGTATCTTTATTGAAGAACCAGCTGCTGCAAGTAACATAGTGGAGCTTTGCTTAAACCCATCCCAAATGCACTAATTACAAGTTGCACTTGTTGGAGATGGATTGGGATGCAAAAAGAGTCAAAGATATAGTAATCAAATGGAAGTATAATTTATCTGGTCTTGTATGGTCGAATAATCATAGGATGCAGATTTGAGATTTTTATATTGTTTTTTAGAAGCATAAGTTTTAACCTTGTGTTCATGCATTTGGGATGGATTCCTCTTCGTGTTAGTGGGTTCAAATCCAATACCTTGTCATTTTCCTCATTCTTTGTCTTGAAATTGTTGTCACATTTGGAAAAACATATTGAGGGATTGCAATCATAATCTAACCCCTATCCTCCAAACTCCAAAATCCAAACATAATATAAAAGGGGTACAAAGACGAATGTTGAGCATAATACATGGCGTGTGGTCTGGTAAAACAATAAAACATCCTTACCCTCATGGCCCAATCATCATCTTCCTCAATATTACTATTTCTTTTTATCATCTATATGTAATAAGTTTAATCCTAGGTTGGTATCTTAATCATCTTGGGAAGAGAAGATCAACATTTTCCTTTCTTATAATAAGTGAAAGCATTTTTTTCTCATTAAACCAGGGGCATGGGGACATTAGCGTTTTGGAGCAACCAAAGAGGGCCCACTTATCATATTTGTATGTTGCATTTTGAGGTTCTAAAAGGCCCGATCGACCTAACGTGTCAACTCTAACAAGCCCTACGCCACTTCTCTCCATGGTTGCTTGGTTACCTTAAAGGCTTTTATTTTATTTTCTTCAAAACTAATTATACTATCAGTTCATCACACACACATATATGTATATAACACTGAATCATGGGTGATGATCAGTAGTGGCCCCTTTTCTTTAATTTATAGTCTTTTCTTTTATATCAAAAACAAAATTGTTGGTTGTTGAATTTCAGAGATTTTGAGTTAACAATGGCATTTGCCTGCCTCCTTTTAGGATGTTTCTGCCCATACCACTGACTGTGTACCACATGCTTGTGATAGTGCTACAAATCTCATTTCTCATTTAGAATCACAAAGGGAACTCAAAAGCAGCTTGATCTCTACTCAACCACCATCATTATATAACAGAGAACATCAAATACCCAACTGCTAAAGAACAAAGGCAGTCCCAACAGAATATTCTAGCCTATTGGAAACTAACTTTATTTGTCATCATAATTGGCTGGCTTGGCTATCTATGGCCCTATGGTTGAACATAGTTTTTATGAGGAAGGAAAATAAGCTACACCATTCATCCGCAATCATTATGAGTTTATGTAGCCCAATCCCAATTCATTTCTTTTTCTCCATATACCAACCAAAATTAATCATAATGAGTTTGGCTATCCTGGAGTTATGTACCAACTAAATTGAATCATTAAGAGTTTGGCTATCCTGGAGTTACGCTAGTTTAGTAATTTGGCAGTCCCAATTCATTTCATTTCTCCATGTACCAACTAAAACTGAACTGAATCTTTAGGAGTTTGGCTAACCTGGAGTTGCCCTAAATAATTTACTAGTAATTTGGCCTGTCTGTGGGCATTAAATAGGCTTAACTAGCTAGCTAATAGCCCATTCTACCATTGTTTTAACCTTTGCTGCAGTTGATTTCGTTTTGTCCAGCTTATTTCAAGGCCTGGAACTATGACACTAGGCAACACTACAATACAAACTAAATATTGCAAAATGAAATTTGGAACCAGGTTAAAGCTGAACCCTCCGACGCTTTTCACATCAGTTTGAGAGTGGAGCAGATTAAGGGAAATTTGGGGTTGCAAGGAATCTAAACGAAAATTGATTTCTTGCCAACTGCCCTTTGTTCCAGTGGGAAGTGGGAACCATATATATGGTTTGTTTGACAAGGCAATCCTGTTATTACAGGACTTTAGTTCGAGACACTCACGGTCGACCTGGTTGAGGTTGCATTTGTTAGTGCGACAGTGCTTTTGGGATTGCATCAATTAATATCCATCCATCCATCAAAAACTAGAGAGAGATTTAAGGAGAGGTAGCTATGCCTCGTCTACTCATATTAGCTAGCTAAGGTTCCTTGTGTTTTAATCAACGAACCATAAGAAGGGCAGGGAGCTGCATCATACTTCTTACAAGTTGCAATACACGAACAAATTCAAAACCTGGCAGAGCGTCTCATCAGACATCTGCACTCGTCATGCTAGAGTTTTGACAGATTACAAAGTCAAAACAGCCTTAACCTGTATCAATAAGGATCTCAAGTCTTTTACTTGTTATTTTTTAATATATTTTATCAGCGCCAACTCCCCAGTTTGTCCGGTGTTAGGCCACCAATTCCTAAGCATCCTTTGTCTAGCTTCAGAGACAACACCTTTCAAGTGGATGTCAAGCCGATGTAAAGCGGCCACAACCCCACAAATGCCACTAAAAATAGATAACATTGTTAACCCTCCAGGATACATTGACTTCAAAACTGAGAGATGATACTCAAAGTGTCAGTTTGGAAAGATTACTGGAGTAATTGTAGCTTTTAAGCGTGGTTCAATAAGTAGCCTCGAATGTGCTCCCAAATGTTCAGGCTGCGCAAGGCTAAGCTTGTTCGGGCCAATCCATATATACGACATTTGATTATTATTTGGCGTTGACGAAGAATATCTTCCCGCTAATGATCTTATGAGATTAGTCCTCCTCGAGAATCAGCTAACATCTGCCCAAGCCTATTACAAAGCTTTGATGCCCCACGAACTTCAGATCCCATGCAACTCAACTGCTTCCTTGTAGTATCCCAAGATGGGCACCATTTCTTTGTATGCAGTATTGCATCCTATATGGTCAGTGGTGACTTGGGATAGATGTGAAGCCTGTTTCCAGCAGCTGGAAGATTGTGTACATAGCCTTCTTTTCTGCTCAAGGCTGAGAAGAAGTGAGTGTTTACAAATGATCAAAACTCTATTCCTTTGGTCTTTTTACCTTTGCAAGATTCCCCAAGGTTAATATTTCTTGACCCCAAAAACATGAAGAAGTGCTTTTTTATTCTCAAACTGGCTTCACTTTACTCATATCCAACATATTTAAAACAGCTTAGGCTTAAGACAGAGAGTATGTCATAATTAAATTTATAAAGTCTAACTGCGAAATGGCATTCATGAACGTTCAAAGTGGTCAGAGCAACTACTCAGCGAACTTGTGAATTGCTATCGAACCTCATTCTCTGAGAAACCAATCTGAAGCAAGTGAAGTGTCCCAAGCAGAGTTTCATTTAGTAACATTCTGGTGATCATATGGTCGAGAAAGTATTAGCCACTCTTGGAATGATATGAAACAGTACAACACAATCACTACTTACATATGTTACGGAAAATGCTATTTAATTTAGTTATACTATTGTTAGTTACCAGCACAATCATGTGAGCATTTCCTTCACATCTTGAACCAGTGAAAGAAAAATGCTACATAACAAATATTATAACAGGAAAACACCGTTAGCAATCCTTCTTTTGAGAGACTGAGTTTGATGATACCATTATTCTTTGGTTTTCAATTTCATAAAATAAAATTGGCACAAAGTTGGTTCGGGAACATGCATTTTATTCTCTTTTTTGAGCAGATCTTATGATGGCTTCGCCAGCACCATATAATCCTAATTTATATTATATTATAATAATTTTATTTTAAAATTTTCCACTAAAATTTTACAACTTAATTAAAAATTTCATAACAATTATTTTGAAATTTAATCCATTAAGAATTCGTAATAATTCTTCTTAAATCAAATAAGCAACAATTTTCAAAATAATACCACTAGTACTTTACTCACACAAGTTAAGGAACAATTTCCCCTTTTCCCACATTCATCAACCGTTAACAATCATTGCAAAATGTACCTTTAAAATAAAAAAAACAGTGCAATGGCAACTACTAAGTTCCACTCCTGCCTTTACGCACATTGCAGGAACCATCATCCAATAAAGCTCCCAAAGGCCAAAATCAAGTCAAGAATTTTGAATTAAGAACAGAGTATACATTTAAATTCAAAAAGGGAAACACTGGTAATGGTATCTTGCAAAAGAAAAGAGACTTCTTTGTATCAATATTGAAATGCAAAATAAAAGATTACAAATGTATTCTCACTTAATTTCAGAAAGGAAATCAAGCACCCCCCACAAAAAATAAAGCACTATCTGTCAGTATAATGGTGTATGGATGAATTGGAAACCAGCTTGGGTAAGTAAAGACCGAAGGGGGGTGAAAAACAGCAAAAGCTGACCTGAACAAGTATTTCGATTAACCATCCTTCTTTAACAACGAGTATGATGATACACTCAGATTTACAACAGTCAAGACTGCACTATAACTAACAGGTTTGAGTATGATCCAGCTGAAAAATTAGCCCCAGTTAATCATAAGCCTCGGCATGATTAATACCCCTTTTAGCAGAAACACCTCCTTCATCAAGCTGTAGCGTCTTTGGATTAAGAGGAATAGTACCAACAGTTAGAAAACCAGAAGATTCAGTAAATCCGTTGACTTTTACAGGCACTGATCCTACAGTTACCACCTCAATAGCATCAGTATCCATAGCAGCATCTGCAGAGGTTTCAGACTCATCCTGCTTTGGATTTATAGTGAGTGAGCCAATCTTTAAAGTAGATGCATCATCTTTGGCTTCAACTGCAATTCTCTCTACATTTTCATTCATCATTCTTGCATTAGTTATATCTGAATCGGCAGAAACCTGCTGACCATATGAAGGAACTGTTCTCTTCAACATGTTAGAATCTCCTTGCATGGTAGTTTTCTCATTTTCATTCAGAAGTAGCTCAACATATTTTAGCTTATTGGCAGGATCCAATGCAGGTGCTAGGACTGGGCTCTCAAAGCTTTTAATTAGTAACCTGGCTTTCTCTTCCTGTATGATTCTTTGACGATTCTCATAGTACATAAAGTCATCGAGTAAAGAGGTCTTCATTGTGTGATTTTTGAATACTCTCAGCATCTCCATACCTTGCTTGTATATTATCTGCACTTGAGGAAACATTTTATAAGAAACAAAATAACAACATGAAGATCTTATCAAGATCATAATCCTGGAGTAAAAATCAAAATTAAGACCACATTTCCATGTCAGTACCCAAAACAAATAAACTTTCAAAAGAATAGTTAACCAGTTTTCATGTTCTTTGTTTGCCTTCAATTAGAAGAAAGCTAAACCTCTTAACATACCTCTTGTGTATCCCTGCTATTAGTCACAGGCTTGTTTTCATTGTTCTCTAATATGATGTGTCTAAAATGGCTATTTGGAACATCTTTAATGATATGCCACTTGACAGGGAAGCTTCCACTCCACTTATCTTGCTGCCAAAAAACCATATCCTTCTGGAAGTCAACTGGGCCAATCATCTCCGCAACACCACAGAATTGTCCACTGCCATTAACCTGTGTGGACAAAGTACCACATTGGAGTAGTTAATGAATATCAGAAATCATATAGATCACTTCTATTTAACAAAAATCTAGAAAGGTATAAAGTCAATATAAGTCCCTTAACAGCCAAACAGGTATAGAACTTACAGAAAAGAACAGGAAGATCGGGCAGCCACTAGGTTTTCCTGCAGCTATTTTCTGTGCATCTTTAAAAGCACTCTCCAGTTTCTTGTTCCCGTGGGGTGTAGAGGACCAAACATTGTATTTGATGCTCTTGTGTACATCATCCTCACTATATGATTTTATTACAAAAAACTTTGCATCAACATAGCCAATTGGAAAATCGTCCTTGTTATATTGGTCAGTATAGATAATGATGTTTCCTTCAGCATCACTATTTTCAGCTTTACCAGTGTAGCCTTTAACCATGAGTTGGTTTTTTAATCTGTTGGTTCTAGGGCCTCGATTCTGTTCACCCAATGTATCTGGGAATCCATGTGCATCATTCAAAACCCTGCCAACACGGATCTTGGTTTGAAACTTATCCAGAGCTCCACGTCCAGGAGCACTTGATACATAGTCAGAAAAGGCATTACCAACAGGAAGATCCGTTTTTAATTGATTACAATGAGATGGAAGTCTCCCACCAGGAATGTTGCCGATAGGCTGAATGGAACCAGAAGCAATTCTACCCTACAAATATGATTAGTACATGAGAACCTTCATATATAGTAGTAGGTGAAATGCTTTAGCATTTCCATCAGAATCCAAGAAAGTCTAATTCACACAAGTTTAAATTAGAAACTAAGTAAATATACCAGATGAGCACGTGCTGAAGCAGAACTAGAACTATCAGGAATGCTTCCACGGATTGAAGAATGCTTACTTTGTCCATCTGATACCCGGGTCAAGGAATCTGTCTGATTTGGAGCAGACTTTGAAGAGTTTCTAGAAAAGGCTGCAGATGCTGAAGCAAGGTTATGTTTAACTCCTCTTCCATCAGGTCTATTAGCGATTGATTCACGAGTATCTAATAAAGAGTCTGTTGAACTACTTGCAATGCCATCCGGTTGAATGACAACAGGAACACACGCAGTTGGAGATACAGGGTTTTGATAAGGGGGGACAGTGTAATATTGTTGCATCCCTATAAATGGGCTGTTACCCATCATAGCACCAGGAATGTAAGGATTGTATGGGTTGTATGGAGACTGTGCATACCCATAGCTAGGTGTGTAATATACATAAGGCATAGTTTCAGTTTGGGCACCCTGAAGAAGAGAAAGCAGGTCTTAAGCAAATTTTGAAATGAAAAACCATTAAAAAGCAACTTATCTTGGACCTACATCTGACTATGCAAATATATCTATTATAGAGTAGTTTACCCACCGCATATTGGAGATCTGGACCATCTGCAATAAAAATATTCTGGTGGTCCTCCCATTCAACGGGTGATTCAAAACCTATTCAAAAGCAACCAACAGCATACATTGAGATTCTATAAGTATCAGCCATGTAAATTACACTTAAGGTATTTAAATTACCTGTACAATAATATCCATAGTTGGTGGCAGTAGGGTAGTACATTCCCTGATCAATAACATACTCAGGGGCTCCTTCCTGGTACATAGCTTCTAATTGTTCAAGAAGTGGACTTGTCCTATGTGGGTTTAGCTGAGAAACTTAAATCTGAAATTCAACACCAAATGTCTATGATAATACAAATCTACGGAATAAAAATAATAATAACAAGAAGCACATGAATACATAAGATGAGCCCAAGCAAACCATCAAAAAAGATTTTTTTTTTAACTGATTAATATACCAAATACCAACAGTCTTCAATTACTAAGAAAATATACAAGATTTGTTTCTGCATTTCGGTGTCCAGAAGCACTAAATATATCCATTCCAAGAACGCCACCACTGTAGAAGTACAAAGCATAAATTCTAGGCATCCACTACCGCTCAGACAAAGCCCACCGGGGATTTTAATTTTAATAGTTGAAACAAGCAAAAGTAAAAAATGGACAAGCCTATCGCTAATTAACAAATCTTAAGTAAAACCCTTTTTCCACCTCATACTTACATGAGAAGGAAAAACGGCCATATTTACGTATCACATATCAAGCAACAATCCTTTTAGTAAAGATTCAAGAAAAAGAGATGATAAAATAGTCCAAAGGGAATCCTATAAGCAAATCACATGGTCGAGAAATAGGCTACTATTTTGGTTGGTCAAACCAACACCCCCACAAGACCCCTGGGTTCAGTTCAGGTGAATAAAACACTAAAGAAAAACACATGAAAAGGAATGCGATGGCATACACCGAAGCGGATTCCATTCAGCTAAGTTAATAGAGAGAGGGGAAACGTGCAATAAGTCAGCAACTATTAGAAATCCCCAAAACAGCAATTTAAATTCTGAAATTAGTTAAAATAATTTCAAGGAACGACTCTCAAACACACAAAGAATCAAATACACCTCCAAATACGAGCATCCATCAAAAGCACCTTAGTAGAACGATAATAAGCAGAGCAAAACAGCACAAAATTCAGCTGCAAATCAATCTTTAAATGAATAATTTTCAGTTTTCAGGTCCTCAGTTATGGTAAAAAGGGTGAAGATCAATCAAAGCAAATGAGCTTCAAGAATAAAAGTAAAAAGGGCTTCGAAAAGGGGGATATGAAAAGAGAATTTTACCGGAAAATCAAAGAATCAAGCCATAGTTGACCTGGAAAGTTGGCCCAGAGAAAATTCCTGCAATATATAGAAAGAAAAAGGGGGTTTCTACGACATTTTCTTAGAAGAGAAACCCTAACCCTAAAAAAAAAAAGAAGGAAAAAGGAAAGTTGAGAAGAAAAAGGCTGTTTATGTTTGGGCTAAAAGGGAAAAGCAGAGCAAGGAGAGAATTGGATTGACGACAACGGTCCCGATTGGTATTGTAAATATCGAGACTGCCACTCCCATAACGTCGAATTGTTAATTTTAAAAATTAATAAATTAAAATTAATTTAATCTGTTCAATTAATTTTTTTAATTAATCAAATAATAAAATATATTAAATTAAATTATATTTTAAATTTTTAGTTTTTAATATATGAAATAAATCAAATAAAATTATTCAACAAATATATTCAAACAGCACTGTATTAAATTAAAAATTTTAATAACTTGAAATGAAAAAAATAAATTTATAAATTTTTAATTTTATATAGGTTATATGATATTTTGGTTTAAATTTTAATTAATTAATTACATTTGTTTTTAAATTAAACTAATTTAAAATTAATTTTTTTAAAAATTATTTTTAATAATCAATCGAAATTAATTCGATAATTGATTAATTAATCGAATTAAATCCATTCGATCAATTAATTTAATAAAAATCGAATTATGAATACTTTCACTTGCAATTTATGTCATTTGTGTTATTTATTTTACAAAACTTATTTTTCTGAGAATGGGATTGGCCGACACATTAGTGCTCTTTTCCTTTCCACGAAAAAATGCATATAAAATCAATTTGTGTGTAATTGGAATTATTGAACTGGTGAAAATTTTGCCCCCTTTTTTTCTTTCTCATTATAAAGCATAGATGTAGCGAATGCACAATTTCTCATCCGCAAAGAAATGACATGACCGTGCTTTTTGTAGACTACCAATTCGACTCTCTGGGCAAAAATAATAAAAAAAAGCCCATTTGGCAATAATCATCTTTATGTCTTTGAACAGATATTGGTGAATGGGAATGGATGGAGGTATCCGTGTCTGATAGTTGGAGAGAGGCCTATTAATTTAGTCAGTCGTGAATGAAACTAAGCGGAAGGTTCCTTTGGCAGGTAGAGCCTAGAAAGTGAATTATATAACAATTTCGTTATGGAAGAAAGAAGATGTAGATACCTTAAAGCATAAAACTTTTGCAGCCTTTCTTTTCTACTAGTATTTACTTCCATCAATGATCAACTGACGCGTTTTAATGGAGCACAAGTATTTGCAATATATGCATACACATGACAAGGTGCTAAGTGCCCCTGCTTTTGCCGTTAAGATTCTTTCTTCCCAGCAACTTTCTGGCCTTTTCCCTTCTCTTTCTTTGTTAAAAAAAAGAAGCTAAGGACAGGAATATTTTGCTCTCCACTCCAATTAACTCTGCGTGTGTTTATCTTACTTCTTCATCCTCTGCTTTACAGAAGTCCAAGTGCCCTAAACCTAATCCTAACTATTCCTTTCCATAATTCATGTAATATATGAAACTAAAGTTTCAGAAAATACTAGCTGACATGACCAAAAACAAAAAATTTCAAAAGTATTTCTTTAGAAATATAACAAATTCATGACGCAGTTATGTAAATTTAATCGCAATGAACAAATTCTTAAGAAGGCAGTTCATCCAACATGATACTGCATCATAAGACATCATTAACTACCAACAAGATGAATCACAAAGTTTTCAGGGGAATGTAGTTAGTTCGTAGAGCTACCCTTGGATACCAAAATAACTACTGTTGGTTATCCTAAAACAGAGACTCCCAAAAGCTGCAGCATGCCATGTCAGCAGGTTTGATTAACCATTCCAAGCCAGACCTTTCATCCCTATACATCATCAAACTATTGGCAGGAGGCACTAACATAACTGGAGGGCAGAAAAGAGAATAAACCAAAACTGGACGCTAATTGTCTAGCAGCAAAAACATAACTTAGGGCTCAGTCACTGACTGATACATTTGGTCTGCACAATCCTCTCCATGAAGAAGCTCGGAACGTTCAACTGCTTGTAATGGCTTTATGGTATTACTTTCAGGGAATGAATTGTCTTGTGTGCCAGGAGATATTCTGGAAACAGGAGGAGCATCAAATTCTGGCTTTGCAACATCCTTCTGGTCAAAGTTCTGCTGTTTTGGCTTCTCATATCTGTCATTGCTGTGGCTTTGGCTTCGACTGTGGCCTCCATTATTGCTTTGGCTTTGGCCATGACTACGGCAAGGACTATGGCCGTAGCTGCAGCTACGATCATGTGACCAGCTCCTGCTTCGGCTTTGACTCCAGCTCCGACTGCGGCTTCTACTATAACGCCATGTTTGAACCCTTTATGGACTTTGGCTATAACTTCTGCCCCTTCTCCTGTCAGCAATGCCTCTTCTATTATCAAATTGTCCCTGTCCACAGCCACGTCCTCGGCCATCAAACCTATTATAATGATCATGCAAGCTTCTCTCATTCCTGCCCCGACCAACATGGCCACCAGAACAACCACCAAATCCACGTCCCCAGTTTCCACGCCCAGAAAATGGGTCACCCTTCCCTCCAGGACCACTAAAGCCACCATCCCTCATGCCACCATGCCCACCCACCATCTCTCATACTGCCACGGCCACCAAAGCCACCCCCTCTCATTCCACCTTTTCCAAGGAAGCCACCATCTCTCATACCACCCCGGCCTCCAGAATCCCAACACCCACCACTACCGCTAGAAGAAGTAAATCTACTTATTCCACCTCGATCCTTCCCAAACCCAGGTGCACCACGAGAAGCTATCTCTTGCATCTCAGGAGGCACATGCTGATTAGCTCTCTCCAGAACTTGAATCAAACCAGGGGCATATTTCCAGTCCAGCTCAGTGAAAAAGGTGAATGACACACCAATTGCACCAGCTCTCCCAGTTCTTCCAATGCGGTGAACATAGTCCTCAATCCCAGTAGGGAAATCATAATCGATAACTACCCTGTAGCATGAAAATTTTAAGAATAATATATTTTCATTTACAGGCTAAAAGAAGAGACAAGAACTAAAACTGTTCCAAACACAAAAGAAGGGACAAGAAGAAACCTTATATCTTTGATGTCAAGCCCACGGGCAGCAACATCAGTGGCAACTAATATTGGGGATTTCCCACTTCGGAACTGACTCAAAACCCAGTCCCTTTCATTCTGAGATTTATCCCCATGGAATGCAACAGTTCCAAAGTTACGTCCAAGACCACGAGCAAGCTGGTCACACAACCTCTTAGTGGAACAAATAATAATAACCTTTGAACCACGTTCTTGAGATTGGAGAATCTGCTCCAGGCGTCTCTCCTTCTCCATCTGGGGGATCACCTCAACATACTGCCAAATCATGAAACTTTTCTAAGCTAAAGGGAAACATTGCAATCCCAAATACATAGTCTCGAATAACTGAAAAAGGTGAATATCTATCTACACAAGTTAAATAACTTGATAATGTGTCACAAATTCCAAGGAAATCAGACCAAGCATTGTCTCAAGGTTACCATTCCAACAACAATTTACATAATTAACTAATGTCAATCTCGAAAGATAAGATCAAGAGTCAATCTAAGTTAGAACAAGACTGTTTTCCATGACAATCTCCTATGTATAAAAAGTTGCACCTATATTTTGAAGGTGATCCATTAACCAAATTCCAATTAAAGCATCTAGTCTTCAATATTCCAAGACTAATACTGCCATCAATGCTGCCAATGAATTATCTTAGAATCTACCTGGGTGATAGCCTTATTGCCAGCAAGCTCATCAACACTGCCAATGGTCACCTGGACAGGATTGACAAAAGGAGGTCACTTCCTATTTTTCTAAATTCTTTGGGCAAGGTTGCTGTGTACACCAGAGTTTGTCTACGAGGAGCTATCTCATTTACAATCTTTCGGATCTGGGGATCAAAACCCATATCAAGCATTTGATCTGCCTCATTGAGAATGAGGAATGAAACCTGCCCAAAGTCAATCTTCTTCGTTTCAAGTATGTCATTTAGCTGACCAGGAGTTGCCACTACAATATCAGCTCCTCAATCCAACTCTTTCAATTGAGCAACCTTTGGTGCTCCACCATACAAGCACTGAAAAGGTAATTGAGAGAATTGGAAAACCCACATTTAGTTGAAAGGAAATAATTAGCTCCGCTTGGTGTTTGTGTATGAGCGAGTATTTTGTTATATTCTTTTCATTTTCAGTAAAAAGAAAAGATCAAATGACCGAATTAGCAGTCAAGTCCCCCACCGTGCAAGAGACTCTTGAAGATTGGCCAAATTTGATGGGCTCTTCTTGAATTTGTGTAGCAGGCTCCCGAGTTGGAGCCAAAACCAACATTGTTGGGCCATTTTGAGGGTTGTTATGGCATTGGCTCAAAAGAATGAAGGCAGGAATCAAGTAGCCTAATGTTTTACCAGAACCTCCTTTAGCAATTGCCACCATGTCCCAACTTTGTAGTGCAATGGGCCATGTTTGTGCTTGTATCGGAGTGGGAGATGAGAAACCAGAAGAATGGATCTGAAAGAGAGCATAAAACATAGATAGTAAGTATTAACAGTATTTACATTGGATCTTATATGTTCTTAGAAGAAAATAGAGCATAAAACACCCATTTCAATTATCATGTAATTTAACTAAAAATCCATGCGTATATGGTTGCTTACATAAGCAACTTGAGGCAATAAAAGAGGGCAATAAAGAAATATGAGGCGGAGCCATTAAGCATTGTCCCAGTCACATCAAGTGTGATTTGGATGAAGGGCCAACCACCCTTATAGAATATGCACAAGAAAGGCTCCAACTGTCCATTTTGCAGCCTCCAAAAATGAGAATAGTTGTTGCATTTGTAAGTGTATCAATAGCAGTGCAGCATATGACATATGCTCCTCCTCTGGAGCAGATATCGCACCTGCGACAAGCGAAAAAAATAAGTTTAAAATAAATAAAAAAGTAATAATAACACCAAATGGTACAAACAGCAACTCATATTTGGGTTCCAAACCAAGGTTCTAGGGATCACAGCATCTGTAAAACCTACCTCTCTCAGTATCTCTGGAGGGAAACCAGTGTCTTCAAATCTTATGAATGGTGCTGCAACATTGTCTCCCTATGCAATTTAATAAATAACTGAAGTCATGAATAATCTAATTGATAAAACCAATTAATTCTTCACCATTAAAACAAAGACAATTCTTTAAAGATGAAAAGGAATGGAACAGAAAATTCAGAGGAAAGAAAAGTAACACACAAAGCATTAGAAGACTTTCGAGAAATAATATTTATCCAACCACCCTCCCCCAATGGTTTTGCAGAAAAAAATTTTAGCTCTTAGCACAAATTTAACCTCACAATCTCAAGATCTAGGAGATCATGTTTATTTATAAAATATCATTTCCAAGTATTGGTTATTCTATTCTAGTCAACTAGCCTATGCATCATTGTATATCAACTAATAGGCATTTTCACATTTGAATGATAACACTTAAAGCTTGCCAGTTGAGATGAAATACAGACTATTGCTGTGACTTTATGCTGTCTGCGATATGCTTCAGCAGGAGACAGATTAGTATTATCTGCTGATCCAACAAACGGGGGCCTCATCAAGGCATTATTTGAATAAGGTGGATCAGCACGACCATACATGTTATGCATTGCATGCCCTGCTATAGCATTGAATCCCCCAACATGACTAGGTATGACATTTTGAGGTGGAAGACCACTCACCCTTGTCTCCTGAGAAGAAAAGCAGCATTATAAGAAAATTGCATAAACATATGAATTACAACATGTCATCAATAATCATTTTGCTGCATGACGAAATAAGAAGTCTCTTTTCAGGAAAGAAATGAAAAATATACTTAATTTCACAACAAATCAATTTAAAAACTGGGAAGAAAGAAACACAAGTAATGAATGCTCTATCTTGCACATGGTGTAAATGAGTAGCGTTTATGAGCTAACATAAGAAATAGAAAAGAAATCCAGAAGAATGGATCTCTATGTTCTCTTTACCACACACACCAAAATGACTACCCCATCATTTCCAGACAACTTTGTGAGAAAGTGAGAAGTGCACGTATTCGTATTCAAATGATGAAAATTTTATATGGGAGAGTAGGTATATTAAGAATTCAAATGGATCTTAAATTCAGCAGACATGAGACAACAACAGTTAATTCCAAAACCTTTCCTCATCTTAATCCTGCCTCTACATACAAACACTCAAATCAACATTAATCCTAACTGAGAGTGTAAAGTGCATAAAACTTCAGGTTTCATGCTTTTGATTTCTAGAAGTAACATGATCCTGCATCAGAATACAGGCATATGGAAAATAAGTGGCATTTGCACCTATGAACATAGGAGAAGTTTTCCAAGTTAACCACCAATATAACTGCTTTATAATGCCAATATATTTATTTATTCCAAAAATGAAAATACTAGTTGATATCTCACCATAGGTATAGCTGAAAGTGAGGGTTGCTGTGGACCCATCAATGGCCCATCTTTGCTACCATTAAAGTAGTAATCATTTCCAGCCCTGCCATGTAGATTATCTTCATAAACGGTGTTTAAACCTGGACGAGGCATATCAGACAGCAAATCGGATGGGCCCATCAGATTCTGAAACCTACAAGCCTGCTGCTGGTGAACCAAATCTGTTCCAGTTTGTTGTTAATGGGCCATACAGGTTGGCTGTTGCATATTGATGGAAAAGCAACTAAACTGCTGAGCTTGACCCAAATATAAACCAGTTTGTGGCCTCTGAACTGACTTGGTTCCAGCAGAGAGGTTCAGAGAAGAAGACATTCCCATCTGTTGAAACTGGGAAGGAGAAAACCCAGTTTGGTTCCCTAATTGAAAATCAACATCCTCCCTTTTGGAAACTGCCGCCTTATAATCTTCTAGATTATATTGCTGACCCTGTAAACCATGTTGGGCCAGCTACTTGGAATTTTGCTGCCCCTGTGGAAGCACGCTTTTTTGATATGCCATGTACTGCAAATGTTTATGCGCATATTGATGTCCTTGGGGTTGTGCCATTTGTGAGTTTTGATGTTGCATTGTTTTCTGTTTTTGTTGCTGAGGCATCTGATAAATGGCCTGTCGGGGCATCAGCTGCCCTGGATGCGGCATATGCTGACTTGGCTGTTGAGGCATTTGCTGCGACATTTGAGACATCATTTGCTGATTTAGATGCTGCATTATCTGTGGCTGATTTTGTTGTGGAATAAATTGCCCAGGCTGTTTTATAGGCTGTCCCATTAGTGAAATCTGTGGTTGTGACCCCTGCAAGTCAGAAACCTGAACTACCATTGAACCCTGCTGCTGCCCTGTTACTTGTCCTTGCTGTTGAGGTAACTGGCTCATTTGTTGCCCCTGTTGTTGTGCACCCTGGGCAACTTGCTTTTGGCCCATCTGAGCCACCACACCATTAGGTTGCACCGAGTGAGCAACTGGGATAGGAGCTAGCTTAGAAGTGGTAACTGTGGAAGGCGGAGCAGGTGGAAAGGGTGGAGGCAAAATGGCAGGCCTTTCATACTGGGTGACATTGGGCTCAGGATTCCAATAGTAAAGGAGACCAGTGCTTCCATCAAGCAGCCCCTTCCAAGGTTTCGGAAAAGTAGGATCATCAGGTGCATACCGTGGGCCAACAGTAGCTGCTGCTGCTTCCGCGGTCGCCATTTGTCCAATATAAATCTAAAACCACATAAGATCCTCAGATTTAAAACTAGGAAAAAAACCCAAACTCCAGATGGTCTGATGCAATCTTTTTACTATTAAGAACCCAGTCACACAAAACCACTATGAAGCTAAAATTTAGACAAAAATCCCACGAAAACAAGTAAAGTAGCAACAATTAACTGTTATATATAATCTGAAGTAACAAATATAAACAATTAAAAATCATATAAAAATCCTAACATATCACAAAGAGATTTTCAATTAGTAGCAGTTCATACTACACATAATATATCAATTAATCAGACAATAAAAGAAGAATTAGATTAACAAGAAAAGGGTAATCGGATTGAGTCATGAAGTAACAGAGTCAAGAAGAATTTCGCTTACCTCGTTAACAAAATGGAAGATTATTAACTTGGAATTTTAAAAAGCAAAAAAAAAAAAAAAAAACCCTGAGAAGAAATTGAGGCCAAAAAATTGGAGAAGAGACAATAAAAAAATTTTAAATCCTAAAATCAAAGGGTTCTAGCCTTAAGCGACTAGAAGTAAAAATCTGGGTCGTGGAGAGATTATTGCATGACATGAGGATCCACGCTTGAAGCTTAACCCTGGAGCCCGGGGACATGGATCCTCTTTGGGAAAATATATAGAAGGATTATCTTATCTAAAAATAAATAATTAAATAGAATAAAGAAATGAAAAGAGGGTCGGCGAGTGGGCGATCCTAAAAGGCAATAGGAAGAGTCCAAGACTACTTGATCCGAAGAATTGGGCCTCGGAGAAAAGCCAACCTTACTTCCTAGCCCGTCACATTTCATATTCAAAATCAAATGCGAAGGTGACCAATTGAATTTTATGATTTGAATATTTATATTATATAAAATATTAAAATTTATATAAAAATTTTATATCATAATTTATATTAATATAAAAATATAAAATATAATTTTAATTTGTTAAATTTATATATAATAATTATTAAAAATTTTAAATTTTAAATTTTATTATTTTATTATAATTTATTTTTATTTTATTATCATTTCATATTTTAAATTATCACGTAACCATAATTGTATAATGCTCCTTTTTAACTATCCGTACATGAAGAAGAAGAAAAAAGGGTAAGAGAATGTAGATGGACGAGGCTTGATCATAATTTAGCCGAATATAAAGGCATTAAATAAAAAAATAATAAATTCTTAGGGAGGTGCCAGTGTTTTCCCCAAAATACCAGGTAAAGGCTTCGATTCCCTGGACCAGCCATCCTGGCACAATTTAAATAGCCTTCCGCCGCTTCAAACATTACTGGAACTTTCTAAGAGCTTCCCTTCCTTCCCCCACCGCCACCTCAAAGCAAACAAAACTCCCTAGTACCATCCCATTGCCATTATCTGCTAACCCAACCAACGACCTATACTTACAAACGCTGAACCGAAGGAGCCCAACTGCGGAGACAGAAGAGTCCATGGCTGTGGAAACTGAGGCTCTCACTTAGGAACTGTCCCTTGCTGATACGGAGATCAATTGGGCGAGGTAATAATAAAATGCTTTCAGCCAAGCTCATTGAGAAAAAAAGTATAGTTTAAGTTGTTCTAATCTGGGGATTCTGCTTACGAGTTGTGCTTAAATTCAGGTTGGACAAGACGAGATTTCATGTTATTGGGGCTGTCCTTTTTACTGCACAGCAAGCATTAATCCATCCAACCTATGTCGTCAAGACTAGAATGCAAGTAGCTGATTCTCGGTTCGCTCATATGCCTGGAATGCTTGTCTTTAAGCATATCTTGAGAAATGATGGTATCCCTGGCATTTTCCGAGGTTTTGGAACTTCTGCAATTGGATCGTTGCCTGGTAGGGTTCTGGCTTTGACATCTCTTGAAATGTCAAAAGATATCATGTTGAAGTATACCCAAGGGCTGAATATGCCTGAAACAACACGTATTGGTCTTGCAAATGGAGTGGCAGGCATGTTTTCAAGCTTAATCTCTTCCCTATACTTTGTGCCATTGGAAGTGGTAGGTGATTTGATTCTTTTTATGTTACAACTTTTGGGGTTATTAGTGGCAAAATTAAGTAGATTAGACATGAATTGCAAATAGAAATACTGAAGAGGAGAAAAGAAATGGTCATAGAGCTGAGAAATTAAGGAAACTATCTTTAGCATTTCATGCTTCTTAACTAGTTTGTTTGTTAATTAATGTTGCACTCTCAGGTATGCCAGAGACTTATGGTGCAAGGGCTACCTGGAGCAACATTTTACAATGACCCTTTTGATGTTGCACGTAAAGTGACAAAAACTGAAGGTTTTCGTGGATTGTACAGAGGTTTTGGATTAACAATTTTGACTAACTCCCCGGCATCTGCACTTTGGTGGGGGGCCTATGGTGCTGCCCAACGTATCATTTGGAGGTAAACTAAACATTGCCAAAGAACCAGCATTAACTGTTATATCGATATGCCAACTGAAGTATTATTAAAGGTATTCTCTTTTTTAGGAGCCTGGGTTATGGACATGATGCAGAGAAGAAGCCCTCTCATATGGAGATGGTGACTGTTCAGGCCACAGCAGGAATGGTTGCTGGTGCTTGTTCCTCTGTTATCACCACTCCTATTGACACAGTAAAGACGCGGCTACAGGTAACATGTTGTCTACTTCTATTGAATTGCTACATCCTTCAAAGGGATATGAACTTAGTCTATCTTGGGTATCATACGGCTATTTTTTCATTGAAATATTATGACTGATTTTGGACATTGGTTATTCATCCTTGGCCTTTTTTTATCCAAGGTCATGGATAATTATGGTGTTGGAAGACCATCAGTACTCAAGACCACAAAAGCACTCCTGAAGGAAGATGGGTGCTGGGGTTTCTACAGGGGGTTCGGTCCCCGGTTCATAAATGTGTCACTTTATGGAACTACAATGATTGTTACCTATGAACTGATAAGTATGTGAGCCTTCCTATTATGTCCTTTTAATTATTGGCAATGGGCATGTGTTTCTATTTTTGCACCCTGCCATGTTACAGTAATTTGAAGCAACTCCATGTTTTATCCATAATGGATTGTCTTTTGCATGTCACCTTGGAAGAAACTATTTTGGTTCATATTGCTTAGGACCAATGTCTGATTGGCCTCAGAACTCAGTGTTTTATTATTCCCTACTTCTCTCCTCCACCTCTTCCCTTCTCCCCCTACCAAAGTTGTGGAACAGGAAAGGATGGTAGAATGTTTTCTTATTGTTTTGGGAAGTACAATAAAATTTTCAGTCTCAGAAAAGTAAGACATTTGTAGTATAAGACATGATTGTAGCCAACGGCCATGTGGTCTACTGGAAGAGTACTAGACTCCCAGTTTCAGTGATCAAGGGTCAATCTTGGTAGCCTCAAATACCAAAAAAAGACATGGTTGTAGGAAGTCAATAGTTTTGATGGCCAATTTCAGCTCTGGATCAGCACATTGAAAACATTTTTCAGCATTGACTAATTTATCCCTCTTTTTTGAAAATTGTTTTAGCAGAGAGGTTATCTATGAAGCACATGTGACGTTCTAGTATAGAGGTGGCACTCGTTTGATATTTGGACTTCGCCAAATTCAGAGGAATCTGATCCTGGGAACTCAAATGTATTTTAACATCATCGGAGGGCATTTTAGATGTGGAATGAAGGATGGACTGTACTCTTTTGAATTCCTAATAAAATTTTGAGCAACTTGGCATTGTATGAAAAAAATGAAGGGGATGGCAAATGATGTTAATACTGTAGTCTTTAGAATTTTGATGAGCTTGATTATGGAACTCAGAAGGAGGGTCTAGTGATGCTGATTGATAGCTGCTGTAACTAGATAAGTAGAAAGTCCTTCCTTTTGTTCACTTCTCCAATTTTGATGAGAAGATGAAAATTTTCTCTTCTTCTCTGTTCTGTTAATAGCTCCTAGACCATTGTAATTTGTAAATGAGAAGGAGAAAGTCATTCATTAATCTCTTATTCGATTATTCTTTTTTGTTATGTGATGGTTTCCTTTAAATAATTTTGGTCATGTTTCCTTCTTCTCATAAGGGGGTGTTAAGCCTCCAGCATAAGATTTTTGAACTTATCCTAAAGAGCTAAATTGAAGACTTGAAGTGGCTTAATACTACTCTTCTCACTCTCAAAAAAAAAAAAAAAAAAAAGAAGAAGAAGAAGAAGAAGAAGAGAGACTTCAAGTCGCAAAACACTAGTAGCTTTATAGATGGATTCATGCTTACTCTGAGATGAGTATTGGGTTTAAGGATTCAAGCTAAACACTTTTGAAACTAAAATGTGAAGGCTAGAGAAAAGAAAACAATGGGTATTCTGCTGGCGACCCTGCTTTACATACCACAGGTAGGTACTAACTAATGAACAACCTAAAATGAAAATAGTTAAATCACGTTGATATCTATATACATTCTTAATCAGGTCATTAAACTTAGATTTCTATACAACTACATAGTGATGAAACTTCATCCAGTGTTGTATGAATCAGAGGGATAGATATATAGGGCAACAGTTGTAAGGGAAATCATCGCGCAAATACAAATTTGAAGATTCCTTCCTCTATTCTCTTTCTCTGTAGTTTTTCTCTATTGAAATTCTCTGACCGTTTCTCTCTTTTACTATCCATACATTTCTGGTTATATCAAATAGCAGAAAATTGGTACGGCTTCGACTAAAACTTTAAGAACTGAGGTTTCGCACTTGAAGCAAAGTGTGCATGAGCTGGGCCTTGAACTCCTCGCTGACTTTTGAATGTGACCCATCATGGACTTAATGTTTCGCCTAGCGAAGTTTTTGAGATAAGTTGAGGCAGTGTTTCTTTGTTTTTGACCTCCTACAAAAGAAAAGAACGTGAAATGGATTGAGAAAAAAATTTGTAGTCTGATAGACTGCCAATTGGAATGGTGATGATAGACTCATGACATATGCCGCCAAGATGCCATAAAACCAAAAACACACGTGGGAGAACCCTTGCTACACTCACGCCACGTTATCTTCATGCAGCAACCTTGACCTTCCTCTATAGACACTCGTCTCTCCTCCCACTTTCCGCACCAAGAAACTGAGAAATCCAAGTGTTGCAGTCTTCCCTTTTATTATCAATCTGAAAAACCATGCCTGGAATCACCCTTGAAGATACTGTGCCCAACCTTAAAGTTGAAACCACCCACGGAAAGATCAAGCTTCATGACTATTTTAAGAATGGCTGGACCATCATTTTCTCTCATGCTGGTAGAGGCTTTTTTTGTTCCTTAATTCTCTTTGTAGTTTTGTTGGAATATAAGATGTTAGTCGTAATTTATTTTATGTTGGGTTGTGTTGGGTTATGTTTTTGCATGCAGCTGATTTCACACTAGTATGCAGTACGGAACTAGGCAAGATGGCGGCTTTCCCGCCGGAGTTTGAAAAACGAGGGGCAAAGCTTTTGGCTCTCTCTTGTGACGATGTGCAGTTGCACAACGAGCGGATCAAGGACGTTGAAACCTACACTGTAATTTTTTTTTTGCAAATTTGCAATAAAACTTTTTGCTTGAGTTTCCATTGAAACAAATTTTCATTTTTTTTGAGGAATAAAAGTTTCCTTTGAACTCGAAAGTGAGAATGGAGTATGGCTTTTATATCCATTTTGACCAGTTTCTTTGTTACTTTGTGCATGTATTAATTGGTTGCACGGCAACCTGGGTGCAAGGTGACATACCCAATCGTAGCAGATCCCAATAGAGAGATCATCAAGCAACTTAACATGGTGGACTCAGATGACAAAGACTTTTCAGGGAACCAGCTTCCATCTCGAGCTCTGCATATCGTGGGCTCCGGTAACAAGGTGAAGTGTTGTTTTATATGTATAGCTTTAGCATAATTAATGCAAATCAAAATAAAGCCATCGAGGAAAAAGGAACCCATAAGAACCATTGATTTGTAACTTGAATAATGTAGATCAAGATGAGCTTTCTATATCCATCAACCACTGGCCGCAACATGGATGAAGTGTTGAGGGCCCTGGACTCCCTGTTGAAGGCATCAAAGTACAAGGTTGCCACACCAGCGACCTGGAAACCAGATGATCCTGTGGTGATCTCTCCTTCTGTGACCAACGAGGAAGCCAAAGAAATGTTCCCTCAAGGTTTTGAGACTAAAAAGCTTCCATCCGGGTTGGAATACCCGCATTTCACTCGTGTCTGATGGTCGGAAGACTTGTATTTCCAAGGATCCAATAAGTATGTAGAAGGCAAACATGTATTACATATCCAGCACTATATGGTTTCTAAAATATTATACTTATCTTGCAAGTTTTACCATGCAAGAACTGCTTACAGTTTGTCCTAGATTAGTTTGGCATTTCCTAAAATGAAAATGTAAAAAGTTTTTTAAATCGCCTTTGCCGAGAGTCGAACCCGGGCCCACTGCTTGGAAGGCAACTATCCTAACCATTGTACTACAATCGCAACTTGTGTTGTGGGTAAAAAATTAAATTATTTGGTTAGAAACAGGGAACTCTCAGATGCAGCTCAAACGATATTGAAAGCAGCCAGTATTCCTTTGTCTACTTTTCATTCAATTTTGGTTAATAACGGAAAATGAAATAAGGTACTCTACACAAAAGGATTGACCTTATTAGGTTTTAATCACTTTCGATATGGCTTTAATCACGTCTAAAAGATTGTCAAGTCCAATGGATCCAGGTAAACATTTAAGTGTTATATACATTTAAATTACTATTTATTGGCCTCTGGATAGATATGAGAAATACTTGAGTCTAGAATTAATTTAAACGCATTAATTGATCATTAAAAAAAGGGTAAAATTTATATATATTCAAAGGTGGAATGAAAATGCCTCTAAAGTTTAAAATGTAACAAATAATCACTCTGTGTCACTATTCCATTATCACCTATTGAGTGTCTTTTAAGATTTAAAATGTGACACATAACTACTCTGTGCCATTATTTCGTTATCACTTATTGAACATCATTAGAAAAATAGTCACACTGAGTCCTTATTTCTTGTTCTTTCCATGATTAACGTATTCTATTTTCATTTCCTTTATTTTTTTTTCTTTTCACGATATTACTTTAAAAAATTAAGTGAATCCGTTTGTATAGATTCTCTACAATTTGTAGAAAGTGAAGGATTGAATGGTTCCAAATTATGTTAGTGTGGTGTAAAATCACCAATAAAAACTTTTGGAATAAATGGTAATCATGGGCAAAAATTTTATTGCTGTGTAAAATTTAAGATAAGATTTTGTTAATTATTGATATAACTTTTAGGTAGAAAAAAATGTTTAATACTTGCGTTTTTACATTTATAGGAAATACGAAAATGTGAATTTTTTTAGTGGGTTGATGAGATACCATGTGAAAATTGTAAAAAAAAGATATTGAAATTAAAAGAAAAAAATGACAAAAATGACATATAAGATTACAATATGCTCAGGAAGAGAGTTGTGTTTGCAACAACAACTATTCGAAGCAAAAAAGATGAAGTTGAATTGAATGAAGAACTTGTTGAAGCTTGAAATAAAGAGCATAAAATTTGGAATGAACTGGCTGAATTTCATGCAAGAGAGTTGCAATTAGAGCATTAGCTAGTTCAGATTCAACATAAGAAAAATGGTAGTTGCTTTAGTTTATGGCAATGTTATGGTGTTGTTGATTTTGATTTTGTGTGATCATTTAGATAGAAGAAGCTTAAGACCTAGTTTTCTTGAGTTGATGAATTGATGTTAGTAATTTATTTTGAGTTTGTTGTGGGTAGGATGTAGGGTATAATTTAGTTGTATACAAGATTGCAATGGTTATTAGGGTTTAGTATGTAGCAGTACCTAGTGTTTAATGAAATGTCTATGTGAACTTGTTATTTAACTATTAAATGAATGTTTGCCTTTTGAGAAATGAGCGGTGCAATGGCATTTTTTACTAAATTTCTTGTCTTGCAAATTGGCATTCTACTATTTTCAACCAAGTTGGACAGTTTTTAAAGGTGCTAAAAAACAGAATTATAGGAACTGCCACATCCATTTATAGAAGTATAATCCAAAATATAGCCTTAAAAGTTAGCATTTCTATTGAACAAATAAACCCATTAATTGTGTCATCATTCCTATTGAACAAAAAAGGCCATTAGCTTATAAGACCATCATAAATTGCACAAACAGTGTTTGGCCAAAGAGCAAAATAACAAGGCCAATACATTAAATAAAAGGCCTATTCATCACATTAGTTTATAAGACAAATAAGTCAAATAGCATATATTCACTACGTCAGCCTAGAATAGCATATATAAGCCTTTTTTAGATTTTTTCCAAACACCTTGGCTACTAGTTGCTTAGCTGTCAATTACCCGATTACTAGTTGTTTGGTTGTTAACATTGTGATTGTTAGATGCTTGAGAATTAGCAACTTGACCACCCGTATAAATTGAGGTCTACTTTTATCTTTTCTTCTAATTGGAGAAATTTTGGCCCTAGCATCACCTCTTTATTTGCCAACATTTTTAGCATCTCTTTGTCCAACATTTCTAGTAGATTCATAACCAATACCAGATGCTCTACCTCTACTACCAATACCAAATGTTCTTTTTCTTCTAGTAAGATATTCTTTTGAATTTATGCCAAAATCTCGAATTAAACCAATAGCTATTCTTTTTAAACTTCTGCTAGTATCTTTTCATTTAGTAGTACTTGAATGTAACTCAATTTTAATAGCAGAAATAGTGATAGGTTTTTCTTTGGATCTGCCTTTAGTTGTGCCAATATTTATTTTTAAAGAAGATGCATTATTTGTCTTTTGAGAAACCTATCATGTACCTTATTCATGTTAAATTTAACATATGAAGATCAATTTAATTTAAAAAAGCTAATTACCTGAAGATTGGTAAACTGAGGATGAACTTTTTTGAATCCCTTGAACTTCATATTTTTTTGCCTTGAAGTCTCTCCCACCACTAATGCCTTGCAACATTTTACATTAAATCTAACTTGACCATAGTTTCCATATTTACTTGGCTTATTTTTTTGTAACATTTTGTAATGATTTTACTGTTCATTTGGTGTTTTTTTTTTTTTAAATTTTTTCGTCTACCTGGTGGTTTATATATGATTGGAAGGGCAAAAGTAGGGTTATTACCTATAGTCCATTCTTGTTATCGTAAAATACGATTAATAATGGCATCATATGTAACCATGTATGTCTCCTTAGAATAGCAAGAACGGACATAGAATTTTGGTCTTTTTATTATTGTAAATGATAGAAACAAATGTTTATAGGAGATTCTAATCAAATCTTAAACTTTATAAGTACAACTCCATTTAGCCAAGTACACAACATTATAGGTTATATCACATTCAACTTCATATATAGACCCACCAACAGGAATAGAAAAATAATTAAAAGAGTTTTTTTTAATCTTCTCAAGTTTGTCTTGAATATCTAGATATATAAGGCCATTGTAAGACTTTATACCAACTTTCTTAGAATCAAAACTTTTCATCAATCTTTTTCTTATCCATTCTAACATGCTAATGATAGTCAAATCTACACCTTTCAATATATAAGTATTGAAAGATTCATTAAGATTATTGACCACTAAATCAACCTTTGTTCTATAGCTAAAATGAGACCTTGCCCAAGTTTTTGGATTTAATTTACTCACCTAAGCATGTGCTACTCCTATTTTGTCAAGTTTATTTCAGCACCAATATAGCTTTCTCCCATTCTTTCATTGACGCCATGCTTGCTGCCTTCCAAAAAGCTTTCTATACTCTTCTCTCTTAAAGTGAACATTAAAATTTGTATACAAATGACTTAAATAGAACTTATGCTCAAGTTGAGGGTCTATTTCTTCAAATGTTTGGTTTAAACCTTTAAAAAGAAAGATATAACAAAGAATATAACATGCCTAAAATATAGCAACTAAATATAATAATGATTAATATCTTTTGTTAGTTAGATATAAACTCTAATCCTAATTCAATGAAACTTTCAAGTTCTTGATGTAGCAAATTCAAGAACCAGGACCCAATTCTTTATTTTCTTGTTTAACAACTGCATAATAAAGAGGAAAAAGGTTGTTATTCTCATCTCTAGCAACAACACTTAATAATTGCCCTCCAAAATGACCTTTAAAGTGACAACTATCCAATTATATTAACCTTTTATATCCAGCCATGAATCCCTTTTTTTGTGCTTCAAACATGATGAATATCTTTTCAAACCTAGAAATAACGGATCTAAGAACACCAGTGTTTGCATGAAAATATTGACTTTTCATTTTCATCAATGTAGAGCTACCATAATTGATATCTCGGATCATATGACAATAATCAAACAACTTCACATATTGTAAATTGTTATCCCCTTACATCATTTCTCTAGTTTTTTTTTTTAGCTCTATATACTTGAGGGATACTAACTTCAACCTTTAATTTTTGTAAACTTTTCTCAATATCTCTATAGTTTTTCGATTCGAGTTATCTTTCAAATCATCAAAAAACTTTTCAGTCAAATAAGATGCAGTAACTTGAGCAATGATGCTCTGGTTGAAAAGTCTTTATTTGAAAAGCGTGATCCTCTCTTAACCTAGATGCATATATTCTTCATTTATAGTTTTTAGCACAAATAGCACTAATTTTATCTCTATCTTTCTTTTCAAATGTATAGTCATAACCTTTATTAACATAGTATTCCTTCAATGCCCTTTTATAAGCGGTGCCATTAATAAACTTCAATCCAACTTTTAACTACATATTTTTTATGTCAACATCTTTATTGAACATTGGGTAATGTCTATCTCTTCATCAGATCTATGAACACAATATAAATTACCATCATCCATCACTTCATCCTCTTCTAAAATAATGTTTTTAGTTTAGAAGTTTGGATTAAGTTGTCTAGTATGATGCATTTCTCTTTTTTTAGGACCATCAACTTTATTATCCTCAAAGATATTATTAGATTCTACAAAGCCTTCATCAAAGCCAAAACAACTGGGATCACTACTAGAATAACCATCATTTTTGCATGATGGTGACTATCATCCTAATCACTATCTTTACCATATTTCTTGTCATCATTTTTAGCATCTTCACCAACATTTCGAGCATCATTTTCAGCCTTACTTGCATCATTATTTTCTACCAAATTAGTAGTGCCATCATCAACCTCATTTGCATCATAGTTTTTTTACCAAATTAAAAGTACCATAATCAACCTCATTAGCACCATTATTTTTTGTCAAATTAGTTCTATCATTTTTAGCCAGCTACAAATTC